GGTGAGGTCAAATGAATGACGCTACACGGATCTTGTATGCGCGTTTCGGAGACGCAGCACACATCGATGGTGGGAGATTCTAAAGTCCTAGCTAAGGAAGCCTGTTGTCCTATTTGGCACAATGTTCGGACATTAAAAGTTCATGAGATAGTGGAGAAGATTTGTAGCTCAGGTGGGTGATTTTGATGTTGGTTTGTTCTCTGAGCTGGATGGTTTGGTCGTGGAGCATTCATCGTCATTCTAAACGACATCATCAATTTTTATTGTAGATCTGTAAAGATTCTTAAGTTTCATTGAGTAGTGGATTTCAGCCGTATCGAGTGTGAGGCAGTTACCCACCGGAGACAACGGAAGATTTATTTATTTAGACACATACATATTGGTACAAAAGTGCACCAGATACATATGCGCCACACAAAACAATGAAAATAGGAAGATAAAGGATGAAAAAGGGGAACTGAAATGTACAACCGGAAGACTCCTTCAGTTAAGAAAGTTAGAACCACTCTTTATGAAGAAAGTAAAAGAAGGTTACAGAAGGCTCGCCACTGGCTTCTATTCTGAGCTATATCTGATAACGTCTCTAGCCACTGTGTTGCACCATCTCTCGGACCCCAGCCAGGGAGTCGTGAAGGACCAACAGAAGCCAGTCCTTTGCAGCTTTCTTTCATACACGACAGCATGTCATACACTGACCACCTCTCCGCTATTTCCAACCAGTCCCAGAGTCGGCAAATAATGCACGACGTGGAAGTCTCTAGGACGACATTCGTAAAACATGTCCAAGCCACCGAACTCGGTGTTTCAAGATGGTGACACCAATTGAATTATTGTCTCTGCACCCGAACACACGATGCCGAACCTCTACATTACTAACATGGTGTTGCCACTGGATGTCAACAATCCTTCGGAGACAACGATGATCGAACACAGAGAGTCGTCTAATATCCTCAACTCGGAGAGGCCAGATTTCACAAGCATAGAGCAAAACTGCTCTCACCGACGTGTTGTAGATCCGACCTTTTACAGCCAGACTAACATCACGAAGGCGCCAAAGATGGCCCAGATTGGCGTAAGCCGCTCTGGCTTTCATTATACGTGCATTAATCTCATCACTCACGCCACCACCAGCACTTATATAGCTACCGAGATACACGAACTTCTCAACTACTTCAATCTGCTCACCATCCAGGGTGAGTACAGGATGGGAATCCTGCCAGTCTTGTAGGAGTACTTTGCACTTGGAGGGTACAAAGCACATGCCGTACCTGTGGACACTGATTGCCAACGGATTAAGTGCGGATTGCATGGCTTGGGCATTATCGTACAGTAAGACAATATCATCCTCGTACTTAAGGTCGAGAAGTCGTTCTCCAGGCAGCAGATCCACACCGCCATTACTTTCATCCATCAGAGCTGTTTCTAGGATGTCATCGATGGCAAAGTTGAAGAGGAATGGTGAGATCGAGCAACCCTGTCTAACCCCACTGCTTGAATGGAACAAGGGAGAAAGGTGGTTTTATGCCCTCACTCTGCCTGAGGTGTTCGTGTACAGGGCCTTTAAGATGTTAATAAACTTCTCAGGCACACTCTTCTTCAATAGACAATCCCAGAGAACAGTCCTGTCCAACGAATCGAAAGCAGCCCTGATATCAAGAAACACTACGATTGTTGGTCTGCGATAAGTATGACGGTGTTCTAACATTTGGCGGATGATGAAGATATAATCAATGCATCCTCGACCAGAACGAAAGCCAGCCTGCTCCTCGCGAGTCAATCGTTCTCGGGTTTTAAACAACCTACGAAGAATGATAGAAGCCAATAGTTTGGACGCAATCGGAAGTAGACTTCTCCCCGGATAGTCGTTACAGGAACAACGTGAACCCTTTTTAAAGATAGGGACGACTACCGACTTATTCCATGATGTTGGAACACTTTCTTGCTCCCAAACCTTTGTAAACAACATAGTCAATTCCTTAGTCAGAAAGTCACCACCATCTTTAAAAAGAGCTAGAGGTAAGTCATCTGGGCCCGGTGATTTGTAGCGTTTCAGGAGTTGGAGAACCTTGCGGACTTCCACCTCGTTTGGTGGATCATTCGTCACCGGCCAAGGAAGTTGGTCGCATAATATCGTGGATTGATTGAAGTGAGACATTAAAACTGCTGAATGCCGGCTCAATGGTCTAGAGATTAAGCTTTCGTGCGCGGGATCGAAGGTCCTGGTTTCGATGCTTTTTGGGGTCATGGATGTACAATGTTGAGGAGTCCCATACTGAGAGAAAATGGCCGTCCAGTGCTTTAAGGTTTTCAATAGTGGCTTAGCTTGGATTGGCTCATGATTTCATTGAAAATCAATTATATAGCTCTCTCATTCTTCGATAAACAAGGACCTAGATTCTAAATCTTATTCTAGCACGCTATATCAATTCTTACTTACTTACTTACTTACTTTCGCCTGTTACTCCCAATGGAGCATAGGCCGCCGACCAGCTTTCTCCAACCCACTCTGTCCTGGGCCTTCTTTTCTAGTTCTTTCCAGTTCTTGTTCATTCTTCTCATGTCTGTCTCTATTTCTCGGCGTAATGTGTTCTTTGGTCTTCCTCTTCTCCTTCGACCTTCAGGATTCCATGTGAGGGCTTGTCTTGTGACACAATTGGGTGATTTCCTCAAAGTGTGCCCAATCCACTTCCAGCGCTTCTTCCTGATTTCTTCCTCCGCTGGAATCTGGTTTGTTCTCTCTCACAGTAACTTGTTGCTGATAGTGTCTGGCCATCGGATCCGAAGTATCTTGCGTAGACAGCTGTTAATAAACACTTGTATCTTCTGGATAATGGCTTTCGTAGTTCTCCACGTCTCTGCCCCATACAGAAGAACTGTCTTGACATTTGTATTGAAAATTCTAACCTTGGTGTTGGTTGACAATTGTTTTGAGCTCCAGATGTTTTTCAGCTGTAGGTATGCTGCTCTTGCTTTGCCGATCCTCGCCCTCACATCTGCATCTGATCCACCGTGTTCATCAATGATGCTGCCCAGATATGTAAAGATTTCCACATCCTCCAAAGCTTCTCCGTCAAGTGTAATTTGATTGGTGCATATTGTATTGTATCGGAGAGTCTTGCTTTTCCCTTTGTTTATATTGAGACCTACTGCTGCTGAGGCTGCTGCTACACTGGTTGTTTTCTCCTGCATTTGTTGTTGCGTTTGTGATAGAAGAGCCAGATCATCCGCGAAGTCTAAATCGTCAAGCCGCGTCCTGCCTGTCCACTGTATCCCGTGCATTCCTCCAGATGTTGACGTCTTCATAATCCAGTCGATCACCAGGAGAAAGAGAAAGGGTGAGAGTAGGCAACCTTGCCTAACACCGGTCTTTACCTCGAACGAGTCGGTGAGTTGTCCTCCGTGGACGATTTGGCAGTTTAGTCCATCATAGGAGTTCCGTATGATATTTACTATCTTCTCAGGCACACCGTAGTGTCGAAGAAGCTTCCACAGTGTCGTCCTGTCCACGCTATCAAATGCCTTCTCGTAGTCGATGAAGTTGATGTAGAGTGATGAATTCCATTCGATTGATTGTTCCACAATGATACGTAGAGTTGCGATTTGATCTGTGCACGATCTATCCTTACGAAATCCAGCTTGTTGATCTCGAAGTTGAGCGTCAACGGAATCCTTCATCCTGTTTAACAATACTCTGTTGAAGACTTTTCCTGGTATTGAGAGGAGAGTGATGCCCCTGTAGTTGTTGAAATTGCTAAGATCGCCTTTCTTTGGTATCTTGATGAGAAGTCCTTCTTTCCAGTCTGTTGGTACATGTTCTTCGTCCCAAATCTTACCGAAGAGGATGTGGAGTATCTTGGCAGTTGCTGTTACATTTGCTTTCAGTGCCTCTGCCGGGATGTTGTCTGGTCACGCTGCTTTGCCACTCTTGATTTGTCTAATGGCCATGCTGATCTCTTCAATTGTTGGTGGGCCAATATCGATTGGGAGGTCTGTGGGTGCTGCTTCGATGTTGGGTGGGTTCAGTGGAGCTGGTCGATTCAAGAGTTCTTTGAAGTGTTCTACCCGCCTGTTTCGTTGTTCTTCAATATCGTTGATTACTTTGCCTTCCTTGTTTTTCACTGGTCTTTCTGGTTGACGGTAATTTCCAGCAAGTTTCTTTGTTGTATCATACAGTTGTCTCATGTTTCCCTCTCTTGCAGCCTTTTCCGCTGTCATCGCTAAATCTTCCACATATTTACGTCGGTCGGTCCTGATGCTCCTCTTCACTTGCTTGTTTGCCTCTGTGTATTCGGCTTGTGCCTTGGCTTTTTCTGCTCTTGTTCGGCTGATATTGATTGCTACCTTCTTGTTCCTCCTTGCTTCAATTTTATCCAGTGTACCAACAGTGATCCATTCCTTGTGATGGTGCTTCTTTTGGCCCAGAACCTCCTGACATGTTGAAACGATTGCCTCCTTGATACCTTTCCAGCTGCTCTCTATGGTGGTTCCCTCTTCATTGAGTAGGTTATGAAAGGCCTGGAACCTGTTGCTGAGGGTTATGTTAAATTCGTTGAGTTTGTCAGCATCTGGAAGAAAGGCCGTGTTAAACTTTTGTGATGTTGTCCGCGCCATTGTCCGGTGCTTCTTGAGTTTTAGTTTCATCTTGGCGACCAGCAAATGGTGATCGGATGCTATATCACCTCCTCTCCTGGTTCTCACATCCTCCATCGTCCTCCTGAACTTTTTGTTGATGCAGACATGGTCGATTTGATTCTGTGTAGTGTGATCCGGTGAAATCCAAGTGGCTTTGTGTATGCGCTTGTGTGGGAATATGGTGCCACCTATGACCAGTTTATTGAAGGCACATAGGTTTGCAAATCTCTCACCATTTTCGTTCCTTCCTCCCAGTCCATGTTGTCCCATGACGTCTTCGTATCCAGTGTTGTCCTTTCCAACCTTGGCATTGAAATCTCCCATTAGAATGGTCAGGTCCTTGGTTGGGCACTTCTCGAAGATTGACTGCAGCCTATCGTAGAATTGGTTTTTAGCGTCTTCATCGTAGTCGTTGGTCGGCGCATAGCATTGGATGATGTTCATTGTAATGCCCTCTCTCTTTGTTCTGAAGGAGGCTTTGATGATCCTCGGTCCATGAGATTCCCATCCTATAAGTGCATTTTGTGCTTTTCTAGACAGCATCAGTGCCACTCCTTGTGTATGTGGGGCATTTTCTTCTTCATGACCGGAGTATAACAGAAGTTCCCCTGAAGATAGTCGTTGTTGTCCAACCTGCGTCCAATGTGTTTCACTGATTCCAAGCACTTCCAGGTTGTATTTCCTCATTTCCGCAGAAATTTGGAAGACTCTGCCGGTCTCCCACATTGTCCGGACATTCCATGTACCTATAAAAATTGTCGCTCTGGTTGTAAGAAGGTGCATCGGCCTCATGACTTCCGAAGGAACTCGGCTTTCATCATGAGACGTCATTTTTCCTTCTACTCCCAGGGCAGAGTTTGAATGGTTTGAATGAATTTTTCTGGTTAGCGTTTTTTTAGCGAGTTGATTTTCTACGGGATGGGGTCGCTAACCCCATGCCCAACCCTCCTCCTTTACCCGGGCTTGGGACCGGCAGTAGCCCCTGGAGGAGCTACAGGCGGAGTTGCTATATCAATTCACCACCAATATTTTACTTGTACTTGCTAGATGCCTATTTTAGTATAATTTATTGTGTGTCTGTGGTATAAAACTGACTTCTTATGTTATGGACATCCCAAAATCTTTTAATAATTAGCAAATTGCTCACCTAATAGAAGATCGATTTATCACATGTAGGATATAATCCTAATTGAATATTATTTATTTAGAAGTATATCAGGTAGTCGAAATAGTTTTAGGGAATAAATTTGCCAAAAACTCACATCTGTGACCACACGTACACGAGAAGAGCGACAGACAGACTTCTGCAGACATCTCTAATGTTCTTGTTGAAAATGTTGTTCATTGAGACATACTATCCTACTTACTGTTTAATCATGTTTAAAGTTGTGGACGAGCTTTTGAAGTGTTCTTTTGCTTTTAGAATATGATTCTCACCTAATATATTTATCAATAGAAAGTAACAACATACAAAAAATTACGTATAGTTTTGATTGGTTATATTGTAAAAAGCATTGATATAATATGCTTTGATATTTTATAGGCTGATATTATTAACCTCTCCCGAAAGTATGTCAAAGCTTTGGCTGAAACTCAAAATGTGGATTTTGATGATCCTTACAGTGCAGAGCTGACGGGATATGGTATGTACTTTACTGTCAAGTCAGTAAATTGTGCTTTTATTAATTTGATTGTTAATCCAATAAACTCATGTTCGTAATACATTTAATAGGTTTTCATATTAAAACCATCATTATTTGGCATATCTCATCACCAAACCATGATGATATCTGATATGTCTGTAATAGTATTCTGTGGATTTAAGTATTCCATCTATAAAACGTCCTTGTGAAATTTTCGGATACTAATTACACTATCATTCTTTCTTCCACCTGTTAAGAGACGATAAACCTTGTATGTTATAGAAAACTTGCGTCATCAATAAGGCAAATGCATTGATAATTCTCTTCTAGTATTTTTTCAAAGTGAAACAACTTTGATATCGATAGGTACTACCAAATGGCTGCCATCAGTCAGAAAACTTTGGATCTACTGTACGTTCAGTATCAATTCGTTGTCTGAATCCTAGGTATTTTATTTTTCTCAAGAATCTTATGGGTTGTATACTGGATTCTTTCCGAAGGGAAACAGTTACTTAGAATTAATATTACAGATCATGGAAGAAGACAAGCGAGAAAACTTACTTAAGGTCTTTTTTCTTCCTTAATTTTACGATAGACTCAAATTTAGTCAATCGAAAATTCCTCTGTAACGTTCTACATCTGATGTGTCATCATTTAGTTGTCAGTAGAAAGTATGACCGTTCTTTCTAATCAAATGAAATTCAATTTGACTTAGAAAGGTTTAGTAATAATTGTAAGACTTGCTTATAATTTTCTAAATCACCATGATTCACTTTCATTGATTTTTGGTTGGTTAACTTTTTTTCACTTTTAAAACAAAATACATTTGTACTGCTTAATTTATGGAGATTCATGTAATTGATAAATAAGATTTGATTGATTGTTTTAAAATTGGTCCTAGCGTGTAGTTACACTAGTCTTCGAATATTAGGTTGTGGTTCTACTAATAGTACACGATTTTGTATTGAACTATAAAGCGATGGAAAGTATTTATAGCTCAGAGATTACAACAACAACTCCGACTAGAAGGTTGTATCAATAAAATAGTTGAATTATAAAGGAAAGTTACTTTGTATCCCTTTCGATTTCAGTGGTTGCATGTTGACGTTTACTTTAATTGTAAGATTTTATACCTTTTTTAAACTGACTAAATTTAATAAGTGATTAGTTTAATTTGGACTTTGAGCCACTTATATTTTTCTCTCTGTTTTCAGACTTAAAGAAAACATTGGCCGTTATTCTGGATGACATGCTACGTCGTATAGACCAGATAGAATTGAAACTCTCAAATTTAACGAACTCATCTCCTCAATTAAATAAACATTATTCCGAATCTATAAACTCGGGACCAATTATACCTCATACTGCTCGAGGTTTAAAAATGAGTAGTAATAAGAAATCAAGCTACAAGAAAATTAACTATTTGGGTAAACTCTCTTGATTAGTTTATGAGGTTGTTTTTACTTTGTATGATACTTAAACCTATATTACAATTTGTGATATGTCTACTCCTCGTGGAGCAACATAGACTGCCCATCAGTACTTTCTATCCAACTCTGTCCTGGACAATCTTTTCCAGCTCTTTTCAGTTCCTTTTCATCCTCTTCATGTTTGCTTCCAATTCTCGATTCAGTGTGTTCTTTGACTTTCCTCTTTTCCGCTTTTCTTCAGGACTCCAAGTTAGGGCTTGTCTCGTGATGCAGTTTGATGATTTCCTCAGTGTATTTCCTATCCACTTCCAGCATCTTTTCCTAATTTCCTACTCAGTTGGAAGTTGGTTTGTTCTGTCCCACAGTAGGCTGTTGCTGACGATCTCCGACCAACGAACATTGAGTATCTTATGCAGACAACTGTTTAGAAAAACCTGTACTGTTTTGATGATGTTTATGGCAGTTCTCCAAGCTTCAGCTCCGTACAGTAAAACTGTTTCGACATTCGTATTGGAGATTCTGACATTGATATTGGTTGAGAGACAGTTGTTTTGAGTTCCATATGTTCTTCAAGTGTAGGAATGCTGCTCTAAACATACTTCCTAGTTAGAACATAAACGATTATGAACAATGAATGAGCGATAACTAGTTTTTCACCCCTATTTTTAAAGAGACAACGAATCATTGATGGATAAATTTTTACTCTAATTAAAGCAAATGAAACGTGCTAGGCTGAAATAGACAGATTGAAAAAGTTTAAGTATACCAGTGTAAGATATAACAGTTCATGATATCAACGACTACTTACCCGTGCCATGTGGGGAAGTGCAAACCTCCAAGTCGATATCCATGAAATGATCGCTATCACTCAATGATTTATTTCCCTTAAAAGAGTTCAGTAACAGAGTTTAATGTAATTGATTTTTTCGATCTTTATAAAAAAATGTATAATATGTAGTTTTCCAAAGCTTACTTTGATTTATGTTCGTTTACTCATTTTGTCATCGATTTGATTTTTTAGATCTTCTACAAGATGCACAAGAAAACTGTGTTGTTCAGGCTAAAGAAATACCACTATACCCGGAATGTTTTTCAAAGATTGAAGTAAGTTTTGTAAATATGTTTCCTTTTTATAATATAAGTCAAGTTGTTCATAATTTTACAATTTGAAGTAATGAAACATGGTAGTAAGTAAACTTTTATATTATATTATAAGCCATCCGGTTCGTTGTAACGAAACAAATACTACAGAGGTTGAAACTGTTTTTTTTTGGATTATTACTAATTATAATTTTGTTGTAACTAGATTACTAATTATATGTATTCTACTTACCATAGAAACTGGTTACCGACTTTTGGACTCAAGGGCAGGGCATACAGAGAGAGACTTGCCAATTATTGAACTAATAGGGACTTAGCTGTTTATCCGAGTTTAGTGGTGGTGGTTGGGCAGAAACTAGTTAATGAAGTAAATAGTAGACGCGAAATAGAGTGAACTGGAATCAGGATTCTATTTAGTGACTTGTCACGTGATATTCATCAGGAGTCTTCAAGACATAATACAGCTCTGCCTAGAGTAAAGCGGGGTAGGGGCGGAGAAGGTTAACCTTGAGCTCAATAGTTATAAAAGTGACACCAAAGCCAGCAACAGAATTATTTTGAAGAAAACTTGCTTAGGGGTTCGAAGATTAAGGGATGTTTATGTTTGTCCACTGCTAAGTACACCTGAGATTCGATCCCTTAGACCTTTATTCTTTGATATATTGTGTTACCGTTTTCTCTTAAGGATTGCGTTTCACAAACATAAATGCTTTTCACATAATAATTCTTTCGTTTTCTTTTATATGTCCAATAAACTAAAGATAAATTTGGAAAAAAGGTGATCATTTTCCTGTTTGCTTTTGTGTTGTTTAGTATTTAATTGGTAATGATTGATGATGTCACTTATTTCATATCTGTCATTCTCAAAATGTTTCTTTTGGTTCATATAATTACTAATATGACTTTGTCTTTGTGCTAAATCAGTAATGCGTTAATCAGCACGAGTTTCCTTGAGTCAACTGTGAATCCTTATTGGTCCTCTGTATAGTAGCTTCTCGCCTAATCCAGCCCGTCCAGTCCAGAACACAAATACCAACCTTCGCTGTATGAGTCTTATATTTCAGACATACCTGGTTTATATACAAGCAGTTCAGACCGCACCACACCATAAAATGAAAAATAATAATTATACAAGATCAGGTCAAAAGTGGCTGTGAGTGTGGGATACTGTAACTGATAAATTGGGAATAAATTAAAAGTAGTAAATCGTATAACCGTGGCCAATAAGTCAAATGAAAGCTTATGATAAGAGGAATATATATATATATATATATATATATATATATATATATATATATGTTTGATAGAGAAAACAATTGTTGGAATCTATAGAATGATTTATTGGGCACTATATCCCATTAGTTTGTACACTGAACTTCAACAAGTAAATTGAGTCTTGAACAACTCTTTTGATTTTATCTTTTCATAACGTTGACATTTCAGTCTTTTTATTAAAAAAAGACTTGGTCCAAAAAGCTAATCTATTCTATGGTTTCATCAAAAAATATGACAGCTTCTTAAAAATATCAAGTATCGAAGAAATACAATTCAATAACTGGGTTGGACCTTTTTTACTGGTAATTGTGTTACTTCATCAAATTCAATTCTCTTCAGAAAATTAAACGTAGTATATCATCTCACAATAAACCATTGTCCAATAACAATTGTAAAGGCGCCAATTCAATATAGAATACTATAGTAGTTCAGAAATTCAAGCTAAACTCTAGTAAATAAACGGCTAAATGTACCTTTCATGAAAAATATATGACATCTGCTATACTTAAACCATCATAACATTGCAGTTATGCTATTATAGTACATCTGACCATATTTATCATAGAATGCTTATTAGTGACAACTATATCCTTATAATATTTGAGACTATAACGGTGTGTATTTCGTCAATAATACTGTACATTAAAGTGAAATCATCTGTGATCATGCACTTGTTCATAAATTTTATGCTTTACGTTATTCACAACTCTATCATAGATATTCTGTCAAAATAATTTATAAGTCATTTCTGTTCAAACAATGTACTCAAGTTTTTCTTATTACGACTCTCATTTTGTACCAGCCCGATTACGCCTATAAGTCGGCGTGCATTCTGTAACCATTTTAAACATTTATTATTATTATTATTATTATTATTATTATTATTATTAAAGTTTCGAAAACTGGTTAGTGTGCTCACCGTCTAACATTTGATTCATTGCCTGTACCAAGTTTAGGAGTTTCACTGCTGCATCTAGTCCATTGTCTTGTGTAATACAACTTCTTATCAGTCAAAAACCAGCGTATTTCCTGATTTTCTCATTGTTATGTTTTGCAGCCGTTCGAGCCTACTACTAATGTAAGTCCAAACGAGCCACTTGAGTGAAGAGGAAGCTTTATTAACTAACTTCAAATCGACTCATTTATAAATGTACGTCTTTTTTCCTTAGAAAATATAGCGACATTTTCAGAAATCGGTGGCCGGTAACTTGAAATAATCTTTAAGATTATGTTTTGGTCCAATATGTCACCTATCATGCTATATGTCTCTCCGTTCATTATTCGATTAAACGTCTCACAATTAACATTCAACAGTTAGCCACGTTTTATTAACTTGGAACAGCAATTTGTATTCTTATTGTAAACCTTGTAGTTGTACTTTTTTTGTCGCAAACAATCTAACGAATTCACTAAAACTTTCATGTTCACTCATATACACTAGTCAATCACTGATTGGTTACCATTTTCATTTTATGTGGTTGTTTGTACTAATCAAATTTTACTGATCAAGTTACAATTTCGTCACCTGACGAGTTGATATTTGCAAACAAACCCCAGTCTAAAAGCTTTTTTTATTGTTTTTTTTCCAACTCATCAAAGTTCAGTTACTTAATAGTAAAATGATATTCTACCCCCCAGAAAATGATTAAGTGAATAATATCTTCATTCTGCTTTAATAGTGGTTACGAACCCGTTGGAAAACTCATTCATGTTATGTTGAGTTAGGAATCGATGGATCAGAATGTTCATTTGTCCGGTATCTTAGTGAGGTAAGTGTTATATTAAATAATTTTGTCTTTGAATTTAAAGAGGATGGATTTATTCTTTACGAAACTTGTCTGATCACCGTACTTCGCTTAACTCTCCCAAAATTGAACTGAGAGCAAACAATATGTTTACACCAACAACAAAGCTGTAAAAGTGTTAGAGTTTTCATCAAATTTACATGAGAATTTCCAAGCATCTTGAGTTTTCTACTAGGGCTAATTGGTCGAAAATAGACTAACCGATGTATTTAAATTTGGGATTGATCAGAGCATGTGATACTTTGTCTCAGCAATGTCTACAATCATCCGAACTACTTTCAACAACCTACCAACTAAACTAATCACGTACTTATTAATAACTAACTTCAATATAAGTTCTGGACATCATAGTGGAAAGTCATAATTGATGAAGTTGAACTATAGAGTGAGGCAAATATCACTGATGATATTTAATAATCATAATACCGTATCAAGAATTGACGAAAATTAAAACTTCGGACTAATAGATTTTAATTCTACCGCTTAAGGGCAAAGTGATTTCCGTGAGGTTAGGTACACACCTTCTTTTAGAGTCAGGGGTGGTGGACATGACGGATGGTTCTCTAGCCAGAACGGAACAATTACCAAGTGTTCGCCAATTTCTAATGATGCTTCATTCAACTTTATTTTGTGAAAAAAACTATCTGAAAATATCTCTAATAACGTTTTGTTTCATGACGATTATAGTGCTTGATAAAGTAAGTAATCAGAGATTACTCTGAAAATTTTAGCAACCTTTACTGTCATCACTTTGACCTACATGATTCTGAGCTTTTCCAAAGAATACACCAACAATAGTTCTGTCTTCGATTAATTATAATGAGTGTTATCGAAATCGCTTGGATCGTAGCTGCTGCTTGACATACTGGCCAGACTTGTCTGTTATAAAGACCTTTGATTGATTTATATTAGCTAGAACATTTATTCCTTCAGGTCCTACCATTCTAGACAGGTCGGTTGGAGTACGATATGACTGAAAATTTTAGTGCAAATTTGTAATGTTGACTGTATTGGAGTGTGATTGCAGTAACGTCAGTTAAATGAGAATCAAATGACAAGTTCACGATGTGAAAATAAAAGAAAACTGGATGAATCGTGTGTGTATGTATGTATAAGAATGAGTTATTAATGAATGATATTCGGTGTTGATATGTTTGTATATGAAGTAAAAATATAAGTGCAAATTGAAGGTTGAAAAATTCTTTATGAATCATTGAGTTGCAAGTAAAAATAAGAATCATCAAGTACATAATTGTAATGCTAAACATAACTCATATTTGATAAATAAACTCATATTGATTTCAGTCGAAATAACGATTCATGTGAGATAAACAGGTTGAATAAAGAAAGAAAGGATCCAGTTACTTGTTGATGAATATTTGCCAAATGATTGCTAGCTAAATACCATCCTTTCTGTTTAGGCTGTTCTTATTCGCCCATACATACAGCGCTTCTGCTGCCAATCTTTATGAATGTTGAAGCCTTTCTGAAGTATTTCGGCCCCTTCAAAATTAATCCTGTGTCCCGTTTCTAACGCACGTAACGCTATTGAAGACTTATTTTTAAGTTTCCTCATGTCAATCGAATTTTCGGGAACATTTTTCAAACACTTTTTGTGTTCCTTAAACCTTACATTCAATTGTCTGGATGTTTATCCAATATAAGCTGCATTACAATCATGACAATTGATCTCATAGACAATATTTTGTTGTTCTTCATTTGGTAACCTATTTTTAACTTTCACCAATGCCGACCTTATAGTGTCACACGTCTGAAAATACACTCTTATATCATGCTTGTTTAGAATCCGCTTGTTTTCTTCCGATGTTTCACTACGGTATGGGATGACTACAGTAGACTTACAATCTTTTTGTATGCATTCTAGTTTAGTTTTTCTTTCATTTCTAACTGTCTTCTTTAAAAACACTTTTGGGTAGTTATTATCTCTGAGTGTAGACAAAATCTTATTCAATTCATATTGTTGATCTTCCTTATCTGTAATAAGCTTAAGACTTCTATTAATTAAATTTTTAACAACCGTGACCTTCGTACATAATGCATGAACCGAACCAAACTCTAAGTATCTATCTGAATATGTTGATTTCCTTAATACATTTATTTTCAACCTACTATTATTATGTCTGCGCTCAACCAAACAATCGAGAAATACTAGTTTGTGGTCAACGGACTCTATTTCCTTCGTTAGCTTAATTCCCTCCGAAATGCTGTTCACATTTTAAAACATTTCTTCTAAACAATCCTGTTTAATGATAACAAAAATGTCATCTATATACCGTAGCCAGACCTTTGGTGGACATAAACTTCTTGCGACTGCACCAGTTTCTAGGGAATGCATGAATAAATTCGCTACAATCGGAGAAACTGGTGAACCCATAGCTATACATTCTTTTTGTCTGTAAAGATCTCGAAATATGAATAAGGTGGACCTCAAACTTAGTTCCAAGCATTTTATAAACTCTGAAGGATCTAATGGGCAACGTAAATTCAAATCCATATCAGATTCTAATTAAACATAAATAATATCCAACGCTCTGTTGATAGATACGTTAGTAAATAAGGAAGAAACTTCGTTATAGTAATTATTAATTTATTTAATGTTCGGGTTATTAAATGCATCTGGTTTTTCACGTATATTTTAACTATCTCTTTATCATATTCTACTAAGGCTTAGTTTATCAACTTTTTCCCCATATAACTTTGGTCTTACTGTTTAATGTTATGTAATTTAATAATAAAGCATTTTATCTAATATTTGCATTAGACTTCGATATTTCATCAGTGTTTTATTTTAGTTGATTTATAAATGAATCGTGTTAGGTATTTTTTTTAGTGAGGGATATTTTTATTTAATAGTGCCGTATATCTCATTTATCTACTACTGTCGGTATATCTTAAAATTTCTGTAATTGATCACCTTTGTTATTTATGAGTGTGTACGGTGATGTTGTTATTTTGGAATGAGTCAAAGCTTTTCGCTCGGTTTTGCACTTTATTCCTATTCAAATAGGATTGCACTAGTAAATGATATCATATACACTTGAGTATTGTGCTCTAGATATCATGTAATTTTAAACACTAAAAATCCTTTATATACGTCTGTGTCGGAAATTTATAAGATGAATCCAAGATTAGTTTATCACCACCTACTGAATAGAAATCCTCTAAAAATATGAGTTATGGGGTTTTGTTACTACTGCGTTTTTGTAAAAGGTAAAAATAATCTGGAATCACTATTCAAGGTGAATGCCAGTCGACAAGCAAATAGATGTAAATTCAACATACAAATTATTTGGAAGAGTATATATATATATATATATATATATATATATATATATATATATATATATAACGCTTTGGAGAAATCTTACAGGATTTCAAAAATATTTCTCTTAGGACTTTTTTTTGCCAGTACCTGTCGTCTAAATAAGCCTCTGCTTAAGGTTTAACTGAATGAAATAATCAAGTTCCCGTAAATTAAAGTCAAACGAGTTAATAATAACTTTGAACTGTTCATTGTTCTATCTGCTTAATTTTAGCAAATTTATTTCCAACTAAAAATGTGATAATTTCATTTGTAAGGTGTTTGAATCTTTCCGTTGTTGATGTAAATGACTGTAACTGGTCAATTTCAGGTAAAGCGAAACACATATCTTGGATTCCAGTGTTAAGTACTATCCAAGTTTGCTTCAAAATGGGATTGTCTTAAAATTTATTATCAAGACTTTTCGTATATCATTAACATAGACTATGGTGTTTCAGTCATAAAAACATATTTTTACAGGGATTAATTTACTGGTTTTTTACATTTTGACATCTGTTTTTTAAAACGTTATGAAAGAAAATCGAACGCGGTTAGATTTTTCAATGTTTTTGAATTGGAATATTTCATTTTCAATAATCACTTTTGAATTTCTGAGTTCTTTTTCTCATCCAATTCTCTTATAACTCGTTTCTTTTCGAAATAGGTTGAAAGTTTTTGTCCACAATTGGATAGCAGAAAATTTATGAAACGTCATAGTGAAGCTCAGGTATAAATAGTGTACATATGGATGTATTATTACTGTGATTATTGTTAATGAACCAATAAATTTATTATTGTTTTCACAGTTGGATGCGTTTGTAGATACTCTTATTCAGTAAACTTGTGTCATGTCTTCATAAAGCTGCATTGATGACATTAGGTCATTCATCAACAGAAAATCAGGCTATAGTTCTGAGCTACAAAGGTATTTGGTATAATGCTAATCTCTTATGTAATGTAAAGTATTAATTATTGTCAACTAATCGCCGCCATTTAGAAATTCTGAGTCGTTATGGAGCATTTCTTTCATTACGCCAAATATTTCTTCCTTTTACTACTGACATCATATTCACCATCTTCAACTTTTGCAGGCAGTGATGACTAAACACGTTTATGGTGTTATGGATTCCTTATTTCGCAAAAACCCTGTCGCCAGTTTTTATGGCTTATGGTCTGTCCAATTCTCACGTGATAAGATCAGCAATCAGAACACGGCTTATACAATCTTAGTACTGTGCCAACCCAATAACGTATTGACTACTTTGAGCAGTCTAGAGTCCTTATTGATCCTTTCTGTCTAGTCCTGCTTGCTGAGACCAGAACACCGATGTCAGTTTCCACTCTATGAGTCATATATTTCAGACATACTTGGTCTGTATACAAGCAAACCAGACCACATCATACCATAAAATTGAAAAATAACAATTATGCAGGATCAAGCCAAAAAACTGACCGTGATTGTGAGAGGCTGTAACTAAGAGATTCAGAATAAATATATAAATAGATCCCGGAAGTCACTCATACTTTGTTTTCTTCGTATATAATATATGGAAATAGAACTAGCCCTTGGTCTATAAGTCACTTCAGACTGGATGTTTATAGTTTCACTGTTTGTACCCTGTCAATCTATATTACTAATTCAGCTGATCCATGGATTCATTTCGTGTTTTTGAGACAATGATTCGAGTGTATTCATTAGAAATTATAGTTAGAACAGTTCTCATTAACTTGTAATGTAACTAATACTAATTAAACCGATTAAAATTACACTCATCAATAAGACCATAGTTTTGCTGTGAGGAAATGACTCCTGAGATAAACCGTTCAGCATTTCTATGTCCTTAATTGTTTATGACTTGCGGACTGAGGCTTAATATATATACATTTCTAGTCATCAATAAAAAGTCAATGATTATTACTTATTCTTAAGGTCAAGGTTTGTTTCCGAACATATACAAACACAACTTATTTCATTAGGCATGGCATATGCATAAAGCATACATTCATGCCGAATTTAAAGTTGTAACTGCCGATTGTCCATTCATCGAATTACGGCATTATACTTGCATTTGATGTGATATAGTTTAAGTATTCAATTTTCATCTATATCCATAATATTTTATTAATTTGATCTGGAAGTATTGATGACACTTAATGAGGATTCTTGAGTTGAGGTCATGAAGTTGTATTTTTTGTGAAGCTGGATTTTCATAAACATAAAGGTCCTTTTTCACACAGACTTACACATTTCGCTTTATGTGATACTTTGAATATGTTTGACGAGGTTTTTATTAAACAACCTTTTTTACAACCTATGTACTGTTAATTTCTGCCTTGAAGTAAGTATCTTGAATCGTTGAAAACAAAGACGAAAACCTCATATATGGTTGATAATACTTCAAAATAGTTTGAACATTGTTACTATTTTGCATGGTTTATTAATTTCAAATAGACAGAAAAAAAAGATTGTTTATTTTGTAAAATTCAACTCCAGTCTTGATTGACTGGTATCGTTGAGACTATAACTTATGAACACCCTTTGAGCGACGCTAAAATGACCCTGAGAATGTCCACCTTCTTATTAGTGCTAAATGAGGGTTATAAAACAGTGTGAAGAATAAGGATTATGATTTACAATTGGTGGTTGGGGTTAGAAATAAGATTTATGGCTTTCATCACGAACTGATGTTAGCTAAAATGCCAAAATGGGTAGATGAATTTCGCGCTAAAATCCAAGACCTGTTATCCTAAATTTGGTTGGTTCGTTCATAAATTATACTCTCGCCCTGTTAATTGTTATTATAACTGGTATTTATTTTGTGTATACTTTTTCTTAGATAACTCGAGATCTTAATGGTTTGGTTCGCATATTATACTCAGTTAAAAATCATTTATCATCGAAATCGTTTATGATTACACGGTTAAAACGTATGTGGCCTGATTGGTTAGCAGGAATTCAACATTATATAAATGGAGTTAATTCTCCACAAGCTAATTATTCATCACTGGATCATTGTAGATTTTGTTCTCCTGATGATATAGCTTGTGCTGATATTTGTCAGTCTACCAAACTAATAGGTCAGCCGTTTTTATTCGGAAGACCGAAACTCAACGTGAGTGTGCTTTTTGTACAGTTATTGCAAGACTTTGGCTATATATATATATATATATATATATATATATATATATATTTGTGATATATTTGCGGGCATGTGTATTAAAAAAACATGATGATTAGACTATAGATACCATCAACACTACTGAGGAGTCTCATACTAGAACGAAACGGCCGTCTAGCGCTTCCAGGTTTTCAGTGGTGGTTTAACATTGGTCCATTCATGATATTAATCTAAACTTTAAAAAAGTTAAGAACATTTATATATAAAAATAACAGGCCAACTTGACTAGAAATGGAGGGTAAAAGGAGACAAGGATAATAAAGAAAATAATGTTAAAAACAATGTGAAACTCATCACACTGGATAATAAACTAATATTACCAGGTCAGGTTTAAAGTGAGAGTAAACTGTTTTTGAATACATAAAGAGAAGGATTGAATTTCCGTATGGCCAAGGCCTTAATAAACCTCAGTAGACGCTCTTTAACACGTTCGTACAACACCGCAAAAATCACGTATAGATCAATCTTATGACCTGTTCCAACTATATGTTTTTGGCAATAGAGGACGATGGATGTTTGTCATCTACTCTTACTGGGTCACTTAGTTTTATTTGTTTTGAAACGATTTCGGTACACATTCAGACACGAAGTAGGGTTGTTGAAGACAATCCCAGAGAACATTCCTATCCAGCGACTCGGCGTCTCCAATGTCAAGAAGCTCTACGATAAGTATGACAAGTATGACGGTGTTCTAACATTTGGTGGAGGGCGAATATATGATCAACACATCCTTGACCAAAACGAAAACCAGCCTGCTCCTCACGAGTCAGTCTTCTTCGGGTTTTAAAAAACCTATGTAGTATGACAGAAGCCAATAGTTTGGACTCAATCGGAAGTAGACTCATCCCCCGACAGTTGTTACAGGGACGATTTAAACCCTTTTTAAAGATAGAGAAAGCTATCGACTCATTCCATGACGTTAGAACACCCTCTAGCTCCCAGATCATTGTAAACAACTGGGTCAGCTTCTTAACCAGAAAGTGACCACCATCTTTGAAGAGGACCGGAGGTAAGCCATCTGGTCCCGGTGATTTGTAGCGCCTTAAGAGTTAAAGTTCCTTGCGGAATTCCACCTCATTTGATGGAGCAGTCGCCACCGGTCAGGACAGTGTGATCGATGTTTCCGGGGCAGCAGACCAGTTGGACTGCTACTTGAAAAACTTTACCCATCGTCCAAAAAGTCAATAGATGTTAGTAATTGGCATCAATAAGTTCATACGCCATTTATTCCTTAAGGATTCTGGAGCCCATGCCCACTATTTGTTTGGAATTAGTTTTTCTCCAACTCCCCTAGGTGGACCCTCCATGTCCACCAACCCAGTTTACTCACTGTACGCTCGTTTCTAAGCATCTCAATTTCGTAAACAATACCCGCTCTGCGAGAAGACAGTGAGTAGAACTTCCCTGATAGTGGCTGTATAGTCGAGGTTATGTGAAAGCATTTCAAGGAGGAAAGTGGACTCTCCCCACCCTCTGCCGTACCAGGGCATTTGGGGGCCACCACTGAAAACCTGTGAGTTTTGAACGGCTGTTTCGTCCTAGTATGGGATTCCTCAGGAGTGTAATAATGATATCTGTTGTTTTGCTAACCATCATGTTTTTTTTAATACAGTTAATCAAATATTCCGTCTTTAAAACACAACTATATAATTAATTATAATTGAAAAACTAGATTTCGTATTAAAATAATTTCAGTTTTACAGTTGTATTTGGTTTGACATTATATACATTGCTCCTGAGTTAGATGACCTGTTTAAACTAACTGTATATTGTGGTAGTATGTATGAGGTTTTCTGATAACATTGCTAAAGTGTAGAACGAATAGTTTTTATTCTTATTAGCGTTTTTTTGCCTAGGTTATTTTCTAGAGGAGGGGTTTGCTGACTCCATTACCAACCCTGCTCTTTTACCTGGGCTTGAGAACGGCAGTAACTATAGAAAAGTTATAATCAGAGTTTTAAAAAATATAGTTGAAAATAGTAAATTTAAGGTTAGACAAGTTCAATGGATAAGCACGTAATGTTTACAGATGAATAAACAAATTGATTTTTTTTTGACATTCAAATCTCTTTTCTGTTTATTTAGCCCATGTTACACATGATTATCTATGTTTTGTATTGTGTTTATTTTCGAATATACATAAATAAATGAATAAATTTTATCCACAAGTATATATTCATCTTTCGATTCATTTGATATCATTTACCTTTATTTTAATTAGATCCTACTTCATATGGGGTTTTTATCGAATGATTTCTATAAGAATTCTTTTGAATCATATATTTCTAAGGGTAACTACTTATATTTATGATTATTATTCTTTAAAAATTTATATATTTATTAATTTATTTGAACACATAAATATTGGTACAAAGGGGTACCAGATACATATGCGTCCCACAAATCAAATGAGATTTGCGTGAGGGCTGTGATACTACCTAGGTGCCCAAACTGAAGCAGATGGTTTTCTTAGGGGGCCACACCCGGAGCCCTTGACCTAAAGATCTAATCCATAAGGCAGTGGAGCATCGTGAGGAGATGCAGTCCCATGGTAGCCTGTGACCAACGATTGGTTCATACGCCATTTTTTCCTTCAGGATACTGGAGCCCATGTTCACCATTGGTTTGGAATCAGGGTTTTCCAACTCCCCTAGGTGGACTTTCCGTGTCTACCAACCCGGTTAAAGCACCGGACATTCGCTTTTCATCCTCTCAATTTCGTAAACAACACCCGTGGCGTGAGAAGGCAGTGAGTAGGACTTCCCTGACAGAAGCTATGTACATGTGGCCATATGAGAGTATTTCGAGAGGGATAGCGGACTCTCCCTACTCTTGACCGTACCAGGGCATTATTTATAATTTTGATATCATAGAAGATGTAACCAATTGATTTGGTACTCACTTATTGTGTTACGTACATCCAAGTACATCGAAGTTAATTCACATATCGGATTAATGACGTGAATAGTGAACAAGTAATTTGTGATTTTTTTTCTAAAAAGAAGTTTTTCAAATCTTTTGGTAATTAATAAAACCGACTTGATTGATTCACCGGTTAGGGTAAATCATCAGGGTTTTTTCAATGTTGATTTCATATTTATTAGTTACTCATGACAATAGTTTATTTTGTAGGCTAAATCTATCCCATTTGTAATATCAACTGAGAAATTTTGTATTTCTGTATATTTTCAAAAATAATAACGAACATTAATGATTATCTCAAAACAGACCTGGTTGAACTCCACTAGTCACTGCTTCTCACTAGAACTCCAAGAAACATCTCTTGAAGCCAGTCACTAGCGATATTTCTTTGGAGTTCTAGTGAGAAGCAGTGACTAGTGGAGTTCAACCAGGTCTGTTGTGAAATATCAACTCACTGATGACACTGGTGAATGGTTGCTCAATTTCGTGGATTGGTTGAAGTTAGACATTAACATCGTTGGATGCCGACTCAGTGGTCTATTGGTTAAGCGCTCGCGCGCGAGACTGATAGATCCTGGGTTCGAATCTCGCGAGGCGGGATCATGGGTGCGCACTGCTGAGGAGTCCCACAATAGGATGAAACGGCCATCCAGTGCTTCTAGGTTTTCCATGGTGGTCTAGCTTCAATTGACTCATGATTTCAACTATAAAATTGATGAAATCTCCACAAAAACTCTTTCTGATAAATGATTATATTTATATATTCATATCATTTAACTTCAATGTGTGCACCTATAAAAGACAGTTAAAAGCACTGACAACGAGGTCAAATCACATTTCCTTATGTATTTTAATGCAATCTCAGGTGGTCCCCTTGGTGAACTTGTTCAATGGACTGATCTCATTGCTGCCCTCTACATTCTTGGACACAACATAACAATTACTTATGAAGCTGCTGAAGCAAAATTGTAAGGTTATGTTGTTTGAAAATGGTTTTTTTTGCGGTGAATGTTTTTGTACACACACGATTTCACAATACTCTTATACATTTGCAAATTTGTTATGTAACACATAGTCATGTTGATAATAACAATAATAGCTGATTTTAACACCATTTGTTTAATTATAATGAATCTTGTTTAACAATAGTTTTCTATTCTTTTTTGCATATAGCTTAGGAATATTCAGAAAATTTATTAAAATGTTTCTTCGGCATCAATAATTAGCTTGTAATCATACTTATCTATTAACATTTTTCAATACTTTTACTCCTTTGACATACCTTTTTTCATCGTATAACTTACGTAATTAACAATTTTGACCATTGTTTTTCTGAAGGATAGACGTAAAAGAGGATACATTAATCACTGTTGTTGTTCCACGTGTAATTATGAAGTAATTATGCTTCGTGTAGTTATAAGCATTATAAAGAAGGCATATTCATATTTGCATTTAACATACACAATGAGTCAATTGACATAATTATTAAACATAATTAGTGTGATATATTCATAGTTAACAAATTTATAGTCATGGAGTTTAAACATTTCATCATTATCTAATAGTTTACCTTCATCAACTTGATCAACACAATGAACGAAAATCTCTTTATACATTTTATAATACTAACTGTGTTTGGTAAGTAGTGAACATGATCATCTATAGATAGTAGACTTCATTACTATTAACACATCAGATTATTTTCCAAAGTGTGGAATATCGTTAAATATGATATACATAAATAATATATATGCCAAATTGACTCCTAAGCCTTTTAATGTCTATGAATCATGTTACTATGTTGTTTAGCATTTGGAGATTGTTATAAATTGGACACCAATCGTTATAACTTACTTGATATTGCTGAAGTTTTAACGTGTAAAATTTCCATCTACCGTTTTTGATGATATAGATGCCTACCACATGATATAACATTACGGTAAAATTATGCTTAAGATCATTTCCTTTTAATTTTATGATACGAGATGGTGAATCTCATTGCCTCCGAACCATGTACATTTTTGAGATAAACAATTACCTAAATTGAAAGTTATTGAAATTCTGCGTTCACTACTTACTACTTACTTACGCCTGTTACCCCTCGTCGAGGAGCATAGGCTGCTCACCAGCATTCTCCATTCAACTCTGTCCTAAGTCTTCCTTTCCAGTTCTTTCCAGTTGCTATTCATCCTTTTCATATCGGCTTCTATTTCCCGGCGTAGTGTGTTCTTTGGCCTTCCTCTTTTCCGCTTCCCTTCCGGATTCCAAGTTAGGGATTGAGTCGTGATGCACATTGGTGATTTCCTTAATGTATGTCCGATCTACTTCCAACGTCTTTTCCTAATTTCTTCTTCAGCTGGAAGCTGGTTCGTCCTCTCCCATAAAACGCTGTTGCTGATAGTATCCGGCCAATGGATGTTGAGTATTTTGCGTAGACAACTATTTATAAATACTTGTACCTTCCTGATGATGGTCATAGTAGTTCTCCACGTTTCAGCTCCATACAGTAGGACTGTCTTGACGTTCGTATTAAAGATTCTGACCTTGAAATTGGTTGAGAGTTGTTTTGAGTTCCATATGTTCTTCAATTGTAAAAATGCTGCCCTTGCTTTTCCAATCCTCGCCTTTACATCTGCATCCGATCCTCCTTGTTTATCAAAGATGCTCCCCAGGTACTTGAATGTTTCCACCTCTTCCAGAGTTTCGCCATCAAGTGTGATTGGGTCGGTGTTCTCCATGTTGCATTTGAGAATCTTGCTTTTTCCTCTGTGAATGTGGAGGCCTAGGGCTAGGTTATCTGCGAAGTCCAAATTATTTAATTGATTCTGAGCTGTCCATTGTATTCCGTATTTCCCGTCAGATGTCGAATTCTTCATAATTCAGTCAATCACCAGAAGGAAGAGAAATGGGGAGAGTAGACAGTCTTGTCTGACTCCGGTCCTTACTGGGAATGCATCTGTCAGCTGTCCTCCATGCATGACTTTGCACTGTAATCCATCGTATGAGTTTTGGATAATGTTGACAATCTTTTCAGGAACTCCATAGTGTCGAAGAAGTTTCCATAATGTTCCCCTATCCACGTTGTCAAACGCCTTCTCATAGTCAATGAAGTTGACGTATAGTGATGAGTTCCACTCAACTGATTGTTCAACGATGATCCGTAGTGTCGCAATCTGGTCTGTGCACGACCGATCCTTACGGAATCCAGCCTGATGATCCCTTAGTTCGGCGTCTACTGCGTCTTTCATCCGATTCAGCAGCACTCTGTTGAAAACTTTTCCTGGTACTGATAACAAACTGATACCTCTGTAGTTCTCACATTGGCTCAGATCTCCTTTCTTTGGTATCTTGATGAGATATCCTTCTGTCCAGTCCGTTGGCACTTGTTCCTCTTCCCAAATCTTTTTGAATAGAAGGTGAAGCATGTTTGCAGTTATTTCAATGTCTGACTTCAGTGCTTCTGCTGGTATATTGTCAGGTCCTGCCGCCTTCCCACTTTTGATTTGTCTGATGGCCATCTTGACTTCTTCGACCGTTGGTGGAGTGACATCTATTGGAAGGTCAGTGTGTGCTGCCTCGATGTTCGGTGGATTCGATGGGGCTGGTCTATTTAGCAGTTCCTCGAAGTATTCTGCCCATCTTTTCCTCTGTTCTTGAATCTCAGTGATTATCTTTCCTTCTTTGTCCTTGACTGGTCTCTCTGGTTTGCTATATCTCCCTGCCAATTTCTTCGTTGTATCATATAGTTGTTTCATATTCCCTTCTCTTGCAGCTTTTTCCGCCTTCGTTGCTAGTTCTCCCATATATTTCTGCTTGTCGGCTTTAATGCTTTTCTTCACTTCCCTGTTTGCTTCTGCGTAGTCTGCTTGTGCTTTGACTTTCTCTGCTCGTGTTCGGCTGTTGTTAATTGCTAGTTTCTTGTTCTTCCTTTCTTGAATTTTGTCCAGGGTTCCCATAGAGATCCATTCCTTGTGATGATGCTTCTTAGGACCAAGAACCTGCTGACACGTTGAAGTTAGTGCTTCTTTTATCCCTTTCCAGTTGTCCTCCAAAGTAGTTTCTTGTTCTTTCAGTAGATCCTGTAGAGCTTGGAACCTGTTGTTGAGAGTTATCTTGAATTCATGGAGCTTGTCAGTATCTCGAAGGAAGGCTGTATTGAACCATTGTAGTGCTATTTGTCCAGTTGTCCAGTGTTTCTTTAGCTTCAGTCTCATCTTGGCCACAACCAGGTGGTGGTCTGAAGCTATGTCAGCTCCTCTCCGGGTTCTCACATCTTCCATTGATCTTCTGAATTTTTTGTTGATACAGATGAGATCTATCTGGTTCTCTGTGGTGTGGTCCGGTGAGATCCATGTAGCTTTGTGTATGGGCTTGTGTGGTAATATTGTGCCGCCTATAACCAATTTGTTGAATGCACATAGGTTTGCAAGTCTCTCCCCATTTTCATTTCTCTCTCCTAGTCCATGTCATCCAATTACATCTTCATATCCTCTGTTGTCCACTCCAACTTTATCATTTAGATCTCCCATCAGGATGGTGAGGTCCTTTCTTGAGCACTTTGCTACAATTGATTGCAGCCTTTCATAGAACTGATCTTTATCATCGTCGTTGCTATCATTGGTGGGTGCATAACATTGGATAACGTTCATTGTGATCCCTTGCTTCTTTGTTCTGAATGATGCTTTGATTATCCTGGGTCCATGAGATTCCATCCCACAAGTGCATTTCTTGCTTCTTTGGACAGCATTAGAGCAACTCCCTGAGTGTGTGGAGCATTTTTGCCTTCGTGACCGGAGTACAGCAGCATCTCTCTCGTACCTAGCCTTTGTTGTCCAGTTTGTGTCCAATGGGTTTCGTTGATTCCGAGTACTGCCAAGTTGTATCTCTTCATTTCCATTGCTATTTGGCTGGTCTTTCCTGTCTCCCACATTGTCCGGACGTTCCATGTACCTATAAAGAGTGTTGCTCTGGTTGTTAGAAGGTGCATCGGTCTCGTGACTTCCGAAGAATTTCGGCTTTCATTATGAGACGTCATAATTATTCCTTCAACTCGGAGGGCAGAGTTTAAATGGTTTGAATTATTTTTTCTGGTTAGCGTTTTTTTAGCGAGTTAGCTTTCCTACGGGATGGGGTCGCTAACCCCATGCCCAACCCTCGTCTTTTTTGTGTGCTTGGGACCGGCAGTAACTTTAGAAGAGCTACAGGCGGAGTTCTGTGTTAACTAATGTATTGAATAATCAGTTTTCGTTTTTCAAAATCTGTGTAATTGAGTAAAGACTACATTAGGCATACAAACGTTATCAATTAGTCAAAATCAGTATGTAGCCTGACACAAATGTACATTAGCACTAGTTTTCATACCGAACATGACGAGATGAAATTGACAAGATAATTCGTAGATAAGTCGAAATAATAAAGTGACAACAGTAATTAAAAAGAACTAGATATTCAGAATATGATTAAAAGGACAGAATGAAAAAGTATATATGAACGAATACTGGAACTTAAAATCTTGGGGAAAATGAAAGGTGAATGCATCTGTGTCATCGTAGCTGACTCTGAGCCACGATACCCAACGTCTCCAACCACTGATTGTGTTTAACTCGCAGACTCGAAACAGGTAGTCTGTATCTACCATCATGACTCAGTTAAACATTTAGTGACCTCATGAATTGATTCCTTGTCTTGGCTTGTCTGCACTTAGGTTTCTTACAACCTAGTACTACACCAACTGGCTTTTTTCAAAGCAGGGAGTGGTTCAGTATACATAACATATGTACCAGCCATCTCCGTTGATTAAGATTCACTACTTCACCAACCGATTTAATATTTCTACTTGATATTATACATCTAAACTCTATATTTCTGGTGCCATTTTCCTGCAATGCTTTGAAGATGCTTGCTAGCAAAAGCCTGCAACCTATAAGTGTCTTCTATTTCATAGACGATGTTCTACACCCATTTAGTAATAGAGCCGATCTCTGGTCAATACACTAGCAGTTCAGTTAACAGATGAACATCTCGCTTATGTCACAAGAAACAAGTTGCCGAATACCAACCGAACTTTCATCAAAAAGCAACTCACTCGGGGTGACGTAACTCTCAAGAAAAAAAGGAAGTGGTCAACTCATTCAGTTACTTCGCTTCCTATGACCAACCTTGGCATTGACATAAACTAGTCCTAAAGCAATATTTTGCACTCATAGAAAGAGACATTCAGACACATACGCTATATCATAATCTGACTGGAATCTTAAAAATACCTATTAGTTCCCTCCCCCATCCAGTGAATTTTTTATCTACATTGATTTATGTTTGTTAAGAACCCATATTAACTGATTTTTTTCTACTTGTTTTTATTTTCCCAATTAAAATCAATAGAAATCTTTTACATCCCTACTCATCTTCCGTAGCTTGTCAGGTAGAAAATAATAAATACGATTTAATATATACAGATATTACAGGATTTAGAAATTTGAAAAAAGTGAACATCCGGTTAGTTTATAGATTTATAATTAATAAAAACTATTGCATAACTTAAATTAAATTACGCCATTTTGTACATTTATTTATTTATTTATTATTAGCTTTATTCAATATTATATTTTTGGTACAATATAGAATTCTCAGCACAAAGTACTTCAACAAGTTTCCGTTTCTTACTTCTTCGTCCTTCCTGACGATAAATATTGAATGATCGCCAGTTAAAAGTTATCAACCCAGTCAATCGATATCTAAATAATGTACATTCTTCTCGCTGCACATTTCCAGCAACCACGATATCTCTGATTGGGCCTTCTGTAACCTTTACAGCGTTAGGTTTTACACTTTTCAGAAACGCACCTGAATAGGTTGTGCGATTAATAGGCATAATGATGTATTAAAACAAACGAAATTAGATAACTTGTTGAAATATCTAGATGACAGGAACAGGTAGCCCAGATGTTCAAACAGACCGCCAATTATATTATTACATATTCTACGAAATAAATTGAAATGTGCTGCACTTATTTTCTATCCAGTTAAATCAATGGAATTGTTTCAATGTCCTAGATAAAGTTTTATGCGTAATAGTTGTGTACTACAGTTAAACTATTTGATATAGTTTTCTATTAATAATCATCTCTTCATGTCAATAACAATGATGTCATCTTGTACTTGTCATGTAAAAATGTACATTTTTAAATAAATCAATAAAAACCCTTTTCAGTAACGTAATGAGAAGACGAAGATTATCAGAACTATGTGATATATTAGCGCAATACATTTCGAACAATCTGATCACACATATACTTGTTAAGAACATTTATATATAAAAATAAAAGGTCAACTAGACTGGAAATAGGGGTAAGAATAGACAAGGATAATAATGATACAATAATGTGAAAACAATTTGACACGTAATCACTCTGGATAATAAGCATATATTACCAGGGTAGGTTTAAAGAGAGAACAAACTGTTTTTGACTCACGCTTTCAACTATAGTAAATACTAAATCTCCACAAAACCCCTTCTATAATTAATATAATCATATGCTCACTAGTGACTTCGAGAAGTATATCTAGGAGCTCTAGTGAGAAGCAGTGACCAGTGGAGTTCAAAACCACGTCTGTTGTGAGATAGGAACTCACTGAAGACAATTGGTGAATGGTTGCTCAACTTCGTGGATCAGTTGAAGTTAGACATTAACACCGTTGCATGCCAGCTCAGTGGTCTATCGGTTAAGGGCTTCGGCTCGAGACTGGTAGGTCCTGGGTTCGAATCTCTCTCGCGAGAGTGGGTTCGTGGATGCGCACTGCTGAGGATTCCCATAATAGGACGAAACGGTCGTCCAGGTTTTCCATGGCGGTCTAGCTTCAATTGACTCACGCTTTCAACTATATCTTTTTGAATACACAAAGGGGGTTTGAATTTTCGTATGGCTAAGGTTTCAATAAACCTTAGTATACGCCCTTTTACACTTTTAAACAACACAACAAAAGCCGAGTTTAGATCAATCTTATGACCTGTTTCGATTATATGTTTAGCAACAGAGGATGATGGATGTTTATCCTCTACTCTTATTGGGTCATTCGACTGTATTTGTTTTTGCAACCATTTTGGTACATGTTCACCCACCCTAATTTTCAGATCACGATTGCTCCTCCCTATGTATGTGTGACCACACACACATTTAAATTGGTGAACGCAGTGGGATGTGACACAATCGTTTTCATGTCGTCTAGGTTTTGAATGAAGCATGGACCTCGTTCATTCCTTGATTATGACTTTCGCAGCACAATACGTTTTGTTGATAACAGATTTAAGCCTTTGTTTCAATAAAAGGCTATTTGAATCACCTCTAAATGGTAAGGTGATGTAGACAGGCTTTTTCTCTACCAAGGCTACAGTAGGTTTCGCTGTGCCCTGAACTTTCCAACTATTGATAAATTTAGGTGTATAGACATTCCCGATTAATGTCTTAGTTAACAACTTAACATCGTCATCAATAGCGTCATTTGTGCAAATACGACGAAGCCTGTTAAAAAGGCACTTTACCAAACCACGTTTGTATTGTACAGGGCAATAACTATAGTAACTAAGATATTGACCCGTCCACGTCGGTTTTCGAAAAATGGATCGTTTTATTGAGCCATCTTATCGTCTGTTTAGAAGTACATCTATGAAGGGAAGCTGGTCGTTCTTCTCCTCTTCACATGAAAGACTGATATGGTTTTGGATAGTATTAAATTTATTCAATAGGCAGTTTATATCTTCCTTTCTTCCACCGATTACTAAGATATCGTCCACATATCTCTTATAAAGTGACATGTTTTCGATCAAGTCTTCAGATAAAATTTCTACATGTGCCATAAACACATCTGCTAGTAATGGTCCTAACGGACTATCCATAGCGACCCCATCAATCTGGCGAAGGTATTCGCCTTCAAAAGTGAACTGAACTTTATCAGTACATAAAAGTAATAAATCTTTAAGAATTTTTAAGGGGATAGGTAAATTAAGGTTGTTTGAAGATATATAGTCACATAAAATGTCAATAGTGTTTTTTAAAGGTACATTTGTGAATAAGGAATTCACGTCAAATGAGCACATAGGTTTTCCTTTGATATTAATGTCACCTAAATGATCGACCAATTCAAAAGAATCCTTTAGAGAATACTTACATAAACGTCTTCGAATAGGATCCAATAATTTTGTTGGCCATTTGGCTAGGTTGTGTGGGTGATCGGCACATTGATAAAATTGGACGCAAAGGAATATTTGATTTGTGAATTTTAGGTAGTCCATATAAATCAGGATACTCTGAACCCATAAGTTTTCAAACCTGGAAAAATTGCTTCACATGAATATTATTGATAAAGAGGAATTTAATCTCATGTTATATGGACTACTAAGCCATACGAAAATTCAAACCCCCTTTGTGTATTCAAAAACAGTTTGTTCTCTCTTTAAACCTACCCTGGTAATATATGCTTATTATCCAGAGTGATTAGGTGTCAAATTGTTTTCACATTATTGTATCATTATTATCCTTGTCTATTCTTACCCCTATTTCCAGTCTAGTTGACCTTTCATTTTTATATATAAATGTTCTTAACAAGTATATGTGTGATCAGATTGTTCGAAATGTATTGCGCTAATATGTCACATAGTTCTGATAATCTTCGTCTTCTTATTACACTATCGAAATTTACCAAAGGGACTAATTGCTTTAAAAACCCTTTTGTTAAACTTTATTTCACAATTTCTATATCCTTCTTGTTTTAAAATGCACGGAATAATAATATCAATAGTCATTGAAAATAAGAAATATTCTAATTAATAATCGGTACTTATCTTATTTCTTAGTTATCATCTTAAGTTTGAAGAAGTTGTCAATAACTGTCTTTATTCAAGATGAAGTATTTTTACAATGCTGTTGTACACTTTTAAGAGACCAAGAACAAAGATTCTTCCAAAATAGAATGAATTAATTTTATTTTGTTTGGTTTCTTGTCAGCTGCTTACAACCTGTGGTATTTAAAAAAAAGCAGAATTACAAAGTGGGTTTAAATTGCATACGTGAGAGATTTTAGTTGGTAATTATTTTGAAGACATATCAGTATACTATAGGAAGGATGTAAATATATTTAATAGACTGAATATTGTAAATATATATACTTTATGTGAAAGAGCATTTTACAACATTAATTGTAACAAGAGTTCAATCGGCCGGAAACAAGTGATTACGTAATGAGTAAACGCTGATAGGAACAAAATGAGTGAAGCTCAGTTAATAAGATTACTAATCTGTAAGATAGTCGAAATAAAAAGACATAATGATGTAATAAATGCAAGAACGAGCTGAAAGAAGTTTTTATGATGCAGCGAAGGAATATTTGTCACCAGAGCAAATAAAGATTAATAACCTTGTCGTTTTAAACACATCAATCAGATTTTTGACGCCTGTTAGTAACGGATTCAGATGTTATACATGTTCGATGATAATTGGCATATATAATCATTAAATTTTATTCACCTTCGTTAGTTGATTTATATTATTGTCTTGCTCTTCTCTTTCTCTATGGTTTACTTATTGTTGTGTTAAGGAGTTGTCAAAAGTGAATTTCGGTAATTAATTTTAGTTCTATGGGTTTGTGAGTATATCTAAATCTGTTTTTGCTTTCGTTATGACGTGAAATGGACATGATTGTTTAAACTACTTGATTACTTTAACCAACTCTGATTAAATGAGTCTTATTTATCATCAAAACTAACTATTTCCTGTTGTCTATATTTTCGGTACTTAAGTGATATGTTTTGATCAGAATACAGGATTCTTCTGCACTGATGATGCTTTTGCATTCCGAATGGTCTTATCTACAGTTTATACTGTAATGACTAGCAATACATTTCACATTAGAATAAAGAACGATTACTGAAGGACGGAGTAATCGTTTAATGATTCTCTGGTGGATGTAAATTGCAGATAACAGCCATTTTCAATTGACAGTTTGTTATTCTACAGCTTATAAAACCACTGACCCTATCGGGTTTACCAAACTTTTATATACAATAAATACTTAATATAAATTCATTTTGTATCGTGTTTTCTCCAAATTAAGGACTCCATTATGTAAATTTCGTATATTGGATACATTTGGAACGGAAGCCCTCTATAATCGTAAAAAAGAACTTTGGAGTGGATTACATTTGAATTTACAGCAATTCTATACATTTTTCCGTAAGTTATTGATTGTTCCACATTTTAGTGGAGTTTTGTTCTTTGAGCTGTATGGTTTGGTGACGACTGAAGACATTCAGGCAGCAATGATGTATTAGATAAAATCAAAATAATGCGTTCGGAGAACTGAAGGTTTTGAAGTCCCTTCTTCAGGTTGTGCTAATCAATTTGAACAGTGCTCTTAATTGTAACCATATTCATTAGTTTTCCTCCTATTCTTTCATTATAATTTTGTCTTAATTAAAGCTGGATTTTATTCACTACGTATTTCTGCCATAATATATTATTTCAGTCTACACATTTTCAACAATGATTGAGTGTTATTATTTTAAAAAATCCATTTAATTCACTTTGATTGCACATTTTTGTTTTTGTTATTGTTTCCTTGTTTTGATGCTTCTAGCTCATTCACCGGATAACACATTTCTGGGTTTCGTTGTTGAAATACTCGCACCCAAATATAAAGCATCTCGTCAATCATCATCTAAACCTGTTGCTCTTGTCTATGGAAAAGAGTCTTACATGTGGGCTGTAAGTTTCCTTTCATATAATAATAACCAATAAATTATGTGTGAGGTAGTCAAGTTGTGAATTTCTTCCATCGTAATTATAATTAAGTTAAAATCATCCATTATGCATGAACAATGCTTCAAAGACACCTATTATCAAATTATGTGTAATTTAATTGTTTTAGGGATTCAGTCAGATACATGAAATAGTCGGAAAGATTTTAAGCTAAAGCGGGCTGATTTTGTTGGAAATGCGTTTTCTGAACTGGGCAGTTTTATCATAAAGCTTTCATTATCTACCTAGACTGCACATCATTAGCAAAATATCATTATAGTAGAAGTGCGCTATTGTTATTTAATCATACATAATCAACAGCTTGTTTCGCCAACATTCAGTTTGATTGATTGTTGTCATCACCTGTTCTGTAATTGTCTGCATGTATATGTATATGTTGATTGTCCTACATTTTGACCTAGTTTTCAACCTTATGGTTGGTCAATTGAATAAATGTTGGTGGCTTGTAAGCTTAGCTTGTTTCAAGCAGTTTCAATAAACTGATTGCAAATTCATCATGTCATTGATACATGGATTATTCGTTTGTTGGTATCCATATTTTATTTCGTGCTTGTTGATGAGTTTGATACATGGGTAGTCGTTCTTTAGAAAAAAACCATCACTATGTATTTTTTTCAATTCTTCATGTGGTAGATCGATGTTGTAGTGTTTTCGTCCTTTCGAAATAGCATTTGTAAGAAGTTGATTTTTAATAAAGGGAGTAAATAGATTAGATAATTTTCAAAAGTTTGGTTTTCAGATCAGTCAACACCTGACAAAACACAACGAAATCGATCCCATTTATCAACCAATTTTTAAAAAATCATAAATGATCATAAGGCCAAAAACTAGGCCAACATATACAGACAATTATAAGCCAAATGTTAACAACAAGAAATCAAACTGAATGTTGACGAAACAAGCTGTTGATTATGTGTGATTAAATTCGAATAGCTCACTTCTACTATCAGGATGTTTTGCTAATGAGTGTTGTCTAAAGGGATAAGGAAAGTTTTACTGTTAAATCATCTAACACAAAAGTTGTAAGTTCACCAAAATCGTAGTGTTTCTTGATATCAGGGCTGCCTTCGATTCGTTGGACAGGACTGTTCTCTGGGATTGTCTATTGAAGAAGAGTGTGCCTGAGAAGTTTATTAACATCTTAAAGGCCCTGTACACGAACACCTCAGGCAGAGTGATGGCATAAAACCACCTTTCTCCCTTGTTCCATTCAAGCAGTGGGGTTAGACAGGGTTGCCCGATCTCACCATTCCTCTTCAACTTTGCCATCGACGACATCCTGGAAACAGCTCTGATGGATGTAATTAATGGCGGTGTGGATCTGTTGTCTGGAGAAAGACTTCTCGACTTTGAGTACGCGGATGATATTGTCTTACTGTACGATAATGCCCAAGCCATGCAGTCCGCACTTATTCAGTTGGCAATCAGTGTCCATAGGTACGCACCTTTGAAATGCTAAGTACTTCTACAAGACTGGCAGGATTCTCATCCTGTACTCACCCTGGATGGTGAGCAGATAGAAGTAGTTGAGAAGTTCGTGTATCTAGGTAGCTATATAAGTGCTGGTGGTGGCGTGAGTGATGAGATTGATGCACGTATAAGGAAAGTCAGAGCGGCTTACGCCAATCTGGGCCATCTTTGGCGCCTTCGTGATGTCAGTCTGGCTGTAAAAGGTCGGATCTACAACGCGTCGGTGAGAGCAGTTTTGCTCTATGCTTGTGAAATCTGGCCTCTCCGAGTTGAGGATATTAGACGACTATGTGTGTTCGATCATCGTTGTCTCCGAAGGATTGTTGACATCCAGTGGCAACACCATGTTAGTAATGTAGAGGTTCGGCATCGTGTGTTCGGGTGCAGAGACAATAATTCAATTGGTGTCACCATCTTGAAACACCGACTTCGGTGGCTTGGACATGTTTTACGAATGTCGTCCCAGAGACTTCCACGTCGTGCATTATTTGCCGACTCTGGGACTGGTTGGAAAAAGCGGAGAGGAGGTCAGTGTATGACATGGTGTCGTGGTATGAAAGAAAGCCGCAAAGGACTGGCTTCTGTTGGTCCTTCACGACTCCCTGGCTGGGGTCCGAGAGATGGTGCAACACAGTGGCTAGAGACGTTATCAGATATGGCTCAGAATAGAAGCCAGTGGCGAGCCTTCTGTAACCTTCTTTTACTTTCTTCATAAAGAGTGGTTCTATCTTTCTTAACTGAAGGAGTCTTCCGGTTGTACATTTCAGTTCCCCCATCATTACTCTTCTCCTTTTCTTTTTTTCCTTCTTTTGTATATACACATCTTCCTTCTCCCCCCATTCTCATTATTTTGTGTGGCGCATATGTATCCGGTGCCCTTTGTACCAATATATATGTGATTAAATAAATAAATAAATAAATCACCAAAATGCCTAGATGAATATTTATCATCATATCTCATAATCTATGTATTTATTGAGGTTAATGAAATAATTAGCACGTTCCATGTCCGATTCAAATATGATTTAAATTATGTCTGTTTTGTCATTTTACCTGTTTTAGTAATTTATCAATATTCACTGAACCCCCTCTTTAAATAAATTTGTCTGCAAATCATTCTTAGCTCATGTAATACAATATACATTTATCAGGTCATATTTTTATTAAGACTGTCTGTGGAATTATCCCATGAAACATACTGTATTGAAAATGATAATTAAATTGCGTAAAATAAAATTATTCATGAGAAATCTATCACTGTTTGATGTGACTAGTTGGCTTTAGAACTATTATAGATTTTGATTATTGTTGGGAAGATTCAGAGTGTTCCTCGAAAAAAGCCGAGATGGGTCTTGAAAACGCTGGGAATTACTTTATCCTATCAGAAATAAATAAAAGCCTCTCAAAAACGTTTAGAAAGTGAAGAGTCATGTCTTATATCTCTGATGTGACGATTACCTATCCTGCTTCTATGTTTAGTAAGGTTCCAGAACTTTTCAAAAACCCAAGGCCATCTGAAATGCTATAAATACCCTCGATTTTCTACACATAAACTAACCTTAAAGTAAAGCTTTCTTTCTACATTTCGTGCCTTTCGTGTTCCAGTTTTCATGCAGATTTAGCCTTGGATTATTAAAACAGCTTAGGAAACCGATTCAAGCGCTCAGTCAGAAGATTTATCAGTTATGTTTACTGGACTGAATTTATTTATATACAAAATAAACCGATTAAACACTTTACAATCAATCTAATCAGGATTGAATTTTCACAATTAATGTTTAATGATTTGCCGAGGGTTCATGACAAATGACATGTAGTTTGTAGTAATTTCTGAAAACTGTATTATAGATTCCAAAATATCCGAAATGTTAGCACATTGTGTGACTGAAAAACGTTAGTTAATAACTCTCATTAATTAGTTAATATGTAAGATTCACAAAAAAAACGTCAGGAGTTATTGAAAGATCATGACTACAACTATCTTTGCTGTGTTACATCTGTCTCTAGCGTTTTTGGTCGAAGGATAATAAATGTAGTCGTTTATTTATGTTTCTTTTTTCTGCAAAATAAACGGATAGAATAATATATCATCAGTTACCATTTTAGCACTAAAAATATGTGTAAATTACTTCATTATAAGTATAGAGTATAGAATAAACTTTTTAAAAAGGAAGTGTCTCATCAACGGTTTTTTCTCGACGATGTCATTTCTCAAGCTGTACAATGGTATTTATAAGTTAGTAATGCTACATGTGATAGTCTGTGGTAAAATAGACGAGTGTTATATTACCAAACACAGTTGTTAAAAATAGTCAAACATTCTCTATAAATAAATAAATATATTTGTAATATCCCAATGAGTAGAAAAATTAGATTTCTTTCATGTCGACACAGAACTGCGTCTACAAATTAGGTTGTATCGATTGTGATGCCTTCTATATTGGAGAGTCATCTCGCGAAATCTTGACTCGCGTCAAAAAACATATTAGGTACACAAAGAAACCTCCTAATAATCCTGTAAAATTAGATAGACTTCAAATTAAATCGGCGATAGCAGTTCACGCCGTTTTCAACAATCATCAAATTGACTTCAAAAATATCAAAATACTACAAAAAGGTTTTTTCAACTACAAAGAAAGAAGAGTAGCTGAAGCTTTCCATATAATGCTTAATCCCACAGCTCTCAATAGAAAGCAAGGCCTTACCATACATCCTACCTGGACCATCTATCCTAGTCACTTAGTCTGATATTATTTCACACCATTACATTACAAATTAAACTCTATCCTATTTCATTATAAAGGTCACACAGTTTTCATTATTAACAGTGCATACATACACACAAAATTACTTACAAGTCGCTTATGAATCACCTTGACCGAAATGAAATGACGTGACATTGATTTATTCAGACCTGTTTTTGATTGATCACCTAATATTCTTTGATTGTTCCGTTGTACTATTTAAACTTAATGTTAATTTGGTTAGTTATTCTCTGAAGAAGTGGCTTACACTGAGTCACGAAACGTCAGAAAATCTAATTTTTCTACTCCTTGGGATATTACAAATATATTAATTTATTTATAACAATCTACCCAATGCTCAATTTATTCAAAATTATCAAATCAAAACTTGGTAATGATACCTACAAACATTCTCTATTACCGGATATACAGACGTTTTGAAAAAAATGAATTGATGTTACATCATTTGGTAAAGTAATCAAAATTGTCGAGGGATCAAGTTATGCAATAGTCTCAAAGCTTGTAAGAAATAGTAATTTATATAAGAATTTTAAAAGGCACCTGTCTACTTTATGAAGAAGAAGATAACAAGCAAGATTGTAATTAACACTTACGATTTGTAAAAATTAAACGGAATGATAAGACCATGAAGGAATGAAAAATTGAACATGACTCTTTTGTATATAGTGATTGGATTTGAACTGATAATTTAATATAGCTTCAGTTGTACATTAATTGCCGATCCCGACTTTATTCCAGAGAATTCTTTTTGTAGATAATCGTCAATGATGATTCTCGTGGGGCATGACCAGAATCAACTATCCGTTTAAGGATTGAGTTATTGATTGGTTTCCATTCCCTTTTAGATACAGTCATGCAGGGTTTTGATCGAATATTTGTTTAGTAGGTTTGCGATTTATGCGGCCAATATAACCTGCTTCGCAAATCAAATAAATTGATAAATGTACATCAAGGTAGCTCAACCCAGTCAGTTTATTCTTAACATTTCCATAAATCAGGTTGTTACAAGAAAAAAGACAATTTGTAGTGCACCAGAATAAAAGATCTACCTCGTAGACAATTTAAAACGGTGCATTGTAAGCTTCGAAACTAACTAGTCGGCTTACGTGGATCATTAACGACCATTAGTGATGTAATTTTTAACCGTTATCGAAATATTTCCTTTATGTTATAATTTTTCTCTATATCCATCGTCTTTTCAACCCAGCACTCTAATTTTAGCAATCTGTAAGACCAAACTGATCCATTTTACATTTTCAATCCTTGTTCACCTCTGTTTTATATTTCTGCCGTATGATTCTTGTGTATTTTTTTCCATATCTTCGGTATTACATCTGACTTAAAAGTCAGTAGTGTTAAGGGTTGATTTCAACTAGGTGTAGGTTTTAAAAAAACTTCAACAACACAAATACCCAAACTCTACTCTAGGCTAAAATTAAATTCATATATCTATCCATTTCAATAAAATTCAGTAACACTAGATTATGGAGTAACTACTGTTACTATATCATCGTTCTGTCAAAATAATCTTACTTATTTAGTTACTCATTCAACATTCATACTCAGATACTTAACATAATTAATATTGTACTATCAACAGATCAGTTGCGTTTTCGCATATTGTTTAGTAATAACTCACCCAAACATGTTTTCATTGCAAATGAAATATGGATGTTTAACTGTGTCCTATTTGACTCTACTATAATTTGTTATATTCAATAATTATTACTTATTATTTCTCTCATTAATTTACTCATCTTTGTTCATATCATGAAATTATATTTTCTCTTAAGAATAAGACGAATTATTTGCGAATTTTATCGGATTACTTTGAAATACATGGGAATGTGTTGGATAAAGTTGAGAACTTACCAAAATTTGTACATATACACCAAATACAATATGGTCAACCATATTTAGAATTAATGTCGAAAGCTCAAGTAAGCTGCTTATGTAGATTTTGATTTTGAATTGTCTTGTTAAAAATAAGAGAATAATTTCTTTCAATGTATTATCATTGAACTGATTCAGAACCCAATTGATAATCTGACACAGTTTATATGTTTGTTTAAAACTTATTTACGCCTGTTACCCCTCGTGGAGGAGCATAGGCCGCAGTTTGTTTAAAAGTATTAAACAATAAATAATGTTCAAAAAGAATAACGATAAATTTGAAAGTACATAGCTGACGAACTGGCCCTTCATCATAAATAGTCATTAGCATCGTTTATTTCTTAAGTGATCAGTCAAATATTAACAGCGAACACTGTATTTGACCCATATAAATTCTTTCTCATAGGGATTCAATTGATAAACAGAGTGAAGGTAACTTTAATGACAGTACTTCGTCACTGGAGAATTAAGACAAGTGACAATTAATTTTAGTTATACTCACAACGTTCTGTCCTTCTCTAAGTTCTCCAATTATCTATTCACATTGTCACCTATCATTTTTTCGAATGTGAATACTACTACTAAAATAGTGATAATGGATCCAATGAATTAGTAAACCATCTTACCCATGCAACAAAAGGTTTTGAATAAAAGATAAAGTTTACTTTGTTCTTTATTCCCATAATACCGACCTTCAGGTTCAACGATCTGGAAATACTTGTTAACTACTTTATTTGGAGACAGATGTTTCACAAATCTAATATTTTGGTATCTTATTTCTTAGTCCAGTTGGAAACCGTGATCGTCTTACAGTCAAACTATCCATAAATGTCAGACTTATTTATTTATTAACTAACTGAGGATGCTAAAACGACAGAAATAAGCAGAATGGTTGTCATCGTTGACTACTGCAACCTATATAATCAATAGTGATATATTACGTGAGATTTTCTAACAATTATCTTGATAACTGATTCATTAGTAAGCAAGTAATCTTTGGGTTTGTCTCACATTATGTTCGCGTGGTCATTAATTTAAATTGTGATAGTCAACTCTTGATCAAGTTTCGACCAAGGTGTTATCCTCTTTATCACAGCCTAAAATTTATGATGGATGAAAATAGTCGACGTTGATGTGATTGTGTCGTATTCTTCGCTAAGTCTGTGTCGAATTTTACTGATCGATAAGACGTCAATCATTCATATTTGGTAGTTTGTATGTATAAAAAGTCATGTTTTCAGTTATATCTTCCTAGTTTATTTCCTCTAGTTATCTATTCACTATAAAGGGGGAACTAAAGTTATGTGAAACAATATTATCTGACAGCTTAACGTGACTGATTTCTTATGGAACAAACTGCACTTTTATGATGTCATAATGGTACATTTTCATATGATATTTTTAATTAGTGGAGATCTATTTAGTTGAAATCAATTAAGGTGTAGAGTTAAGTTGTAACTTTGAAGTTGTTGAGAGATGAGTTTTAATTGATTAACTGTAATGGAATTTTGTATTTATTTTTGTTTCTCTTATAACATAAACCACTGTAATGTTAACTAATGAAATATTTTCTAAAATATATTGTAGATTATGATTGGATTGGGATTTCCTTACGAAGGTCCTGCACCTTTAGAAGCAATCGCTAATGGTCTCATTTTTCTTAATCCTCGTTTTGATCCGCCTCACAGCAGAAGCAATCAAGCATTTTTTACTGATAAACCTACTTCACGTTCTGTAAGTACTTATTTTAAATAGTTTTATTTGATAACGTATTATTTAGTATGTTGGTAAGAAGCGACTAAAAAAGATATCAATGTCTTAGTTGACTAGTCAGTTTGTAAGGTTGAAATTATAAGCTTCATATTTTGATTCATTTTGCTGAGTTTTCGGAACACATATTATTGGACAACCTACTCTGTTACTAAGTACTTCAGAGCAAGCCATTTAATAACTTTGTCATCTTAATTTTTATGTATCTGAAAGCGTTTATAAAGAGTAGTAGTTTATCAAAGTATCGATTCTTCGCGGTCAAAGACAAGGTTCTGTCTTCTGACATTCCGTCTCTGAGTGCGATTTGAATGCATTGGAACAAGATTCACATTTTGTTGCTAATTCGTATATTAACAGCATAAATCCACTTTGATTGTCGTTTTTATAATCCACTCAGTCATACTATATACCTTTGATATATCTCACATTACCAGTTGTTTAAACTACTGTCTGTTTTATAATTTTAAAGGTCCCCATTGTAAAAATTAGAACAACACATGTAAGCAAACAATTGTTTTCAATTAGATCGTCATCAGGCTTTATTACAATTATACATGAGTATTTATACGAAAATGTTGAACCAATCAATTTATCTTGTTTGATTCAGAAAAAGTAATGAGTATCATTGACTTCGAATAAGTAAAGTTGGCGTTATTTTTAATTACTCCAATTTAGACTATGACATCTATGTTGTTTTCTTATAAAAATCTAAGCATATCAACAACCTATTGATTAATTCTGAAATTCGATTAAATTCATTTTCGGGCCTTTTCCCCACTCATTTAATATATGGGGATTTCATTCTAAACCCTTACTTCTAATTTTTTTTTCGTTAAGCATGTTGAATTGTGCTACACTGAAATATTCATAGCAGATAGATGTTGATAACTTATAATGTTTGAAATGAAATTCCTAGTAAAATATTCACTCTTATATGCAGCACTTTCTTAATGAAAGGAAAATTGCTCGGTAAAGTTTGATTGTAAAAAAGTATGAATGTCCTCACATGAACCTTACTGTCATAACTGTTTATGCATCGGTTAATTGTACGAACTAGGTACGAATATCACATTTGCTCTGTATTGACTAAATTCTTGTTAGTTTCGTATTACTTCAGTGTAGAGCATTTTATTTAGAACCTTTTGCCATCTACAATCCTATGAATTCAGTAGTCCAGATAGGAAATTTATCATTTTTCTACTACAAGGTTTATCGTCGAATTATTCTCACATCACTCTCTCGTAAAATGGAGAATTAGGACTACTTTTTGTTATATTTTTTCAGCTTACCAGCCAACATCCGTACATAGAAAATCATATCGGTGAGCCTTACTCATATTTGGTTGATATGGACAATGAAACACAGATACGCTTAACTATCGAACGTTTTCTGACCAACATTTCTGTAAGATTCCATTGTAATTTCATTTTTGAGTATTTCTGTCTTTCACTGTTATCATTATCATAACTTTAAGCGAACCTTGGTATTGTTAGTTTGATTCTTCCCATTGATGTTTAGGACTGTATTTGATCAGTCTCTTATTAGCATATGTGCATACTGCGCGTATTGCCTCGATATAATCTTAATTCACAAGCATTATAAGGAAAGATGCGTAGTGGCTAGCAGTGGAATCCAGGACGCGCGTTTTGTCCTAAGTGAATTACGCGATGGCGTTTGAAGCAAACGGTACTGGATTCGAGTCCCAGAGTGAACATCAACTCTGAGATGCAGGTACATTCAGCTGACGAGTCCCAAATAGAACGAAACGCGCGTCCTGCTATTCCACTGCTAGCCACTATACTAGATACTTGAGCCACATTTTCCACCAATGGCGTGTGTCCGACTCCTTGGAAAATGAAGTTAAGTCTTTGCCAATAGCGTAAACCTATTGTTTAGCGAATATCTGATTGGTTCACTGCGTCAACTTTATATGTTCCACATAGCAGCAGTCAAGTAGTAGTGTAGAGACTTCAATTAAAAGTCTGAGTTTAGCTTAAAAAAATAAATGTTGATTAGAAATCCCAATAACCTGAAAAGATACTATCACATACCTCATCATAACATGGTGAAATTTGTTGGATTTAAAACATATAAGCCTTTTATACTTTAAGATAAATATGCTATGTAAATATATTATCCCCTCATAATCGCTTATAAAATATCAACTTTTTTTATAAAGATGAATCGGATCTATGAGTTTTTATCTATAAGTTATGCATCTCTGCTGCGTGTTTAATTACTGTTTGTAAATTTTAGAACGGAACCTATCGTCCTCACGAATATAGTCCGTGGGGTTTTCTCGAACGTCTTAATGCTTATTTGACACGCCAAAATATCTGCGCCACACCTTTTTACAAAAACTTGATCCAGTCTCCACTGCCGATAGCAAAAGCTGACACGCCTCCTAAATTTAACTACCTAGATGTCCCTGACATTGCTGTTTCATGGCCTCCAGCATCAAGTTTAACAATAGTTTTGGGGTCTCGTGGTAAATCTTGTGCAGATGTGTGTATGAATCTGGGAACTTCAGAACATACTTTATTACTGCCTTCCAATATTTCTACTTACTCTATTCGTAACAACACGCAACATCAACAAATACAGAATGGTTACATTTACTATCGTTCTATTCACTCTACGCCTTCGCCAAACTTGTCTTATCTTTATACGTTTCGCTGTTCTCCAGAACATTTTCCAAGTGTTAATCATCGACTAAACCTTCAGTATTTAGGTGTTTCTTGTCCTAATATTACCTACACAACTAGTTCAATGGCACCATATTGGGACGACGCTGGAAGATCATGTGTTTTTCAAGCTAGTAATGAATGGTTTGACTGTACTGCCTCAGGAACCTCTAATGGGTCTGATGTATTTTATCGTTTTTGTCCTTGTCGTGATGCTCTTCCTAACCAGATTTCTTTATGTTCTAACTGTTTGTGACAAAATATTCTATTCCATAATGATTACATGTATAGAAAATTATAAAAGCTACATTTATATTTTCACCTTTCTGTACGGTTGTATATAAATCGTATTATGTACTTTCTTTAACATTTTAAGTGTACGGTGAATTACTGAATATTTAATTGTTATTTTCTGTCGAAAAGCATTTTACCCTTATCAGTCTGTAAGATTGATTAATATGTTTACTATTAACTGCATTTTAATTTTGTATTTACTTCTTATAAATTCTAGTTTACAATATTTTTCTTTTCTAAAGTTTTTGTTCCTTCAGATTTTTCCTCATAAGAATTTAATTTAAAATTTCTTTCTATATTTATTCTTATTTTCATGTTTGTACAACGTATTTTCGAAATGTATGAAATAATATTATTGTGTGTTAGGAAACTAAATTATTTTTCTATATGTGTTTACAATATCAAGTTGATCTCAGTGACAACTGATTTGGTTGCGTTTTGTAAATGTAGAACTGTAATTGTCTGTTTCAGTATATCACTTAGCCCCCAAATGCTCTGGTACTGCCGAGAGTGGGGAGAGTCCGCTCTCCCTCTCGAAATGCTCTCACATGGTCACGCGAATATATAGCCTCTGCCAGGGAAGTCCTACTCACTGCTTTCTCGTGGCGGGGGTGTTGTTCACAAAAGTGAGAGGACGAAAAGCGAATGTCCGGCGCTTTAAACGGGTTGGTGGACACGGAGAGTTTACCTAGGAGAGGTGGAATACCCTGATTCCAAACCAATGGTGCACATGGGCTCCAGTATCCTGAGGGAACAAATGGCGTACGAACCAACCGTTGATCACCGGCTACCATGGGACTGCATCTCCTCACGATGCTCCACTGCCTTGTGGATCAGACATTCAGGCCAAAGGCTCCGGGTGTGGTTCCCTAAGAAAACCACCTGCCTCAATTCGGGCACTCGGGCAGTATCACAGCCCTCTCAAAAATCAAATAAGATATGTGTGGCGCAGATATATCTGGGGCCCCTTTGTACCAATGTTAATGTGTTTAAATAAATAAATAAAGAGATACTTGATAACTTTTTAATAATCATTTTTATGTCTGGATAATGTACCACCACCATCGTTCTGTAGTGATATTCAATAGTTTGCTAATTTTTAATACTTATTTGGGCTACGGGAAGAATAAATTCAATCCTGAGTGTATGATATTTAAATGTCATACATCTATGCAAGAATTGTATCCAACTGATACTTTAATATGATAAATGAGCGTTTGGTAATGCTTCTCCATCATAACAGGTTTTAAAGGGTCGATAAACAGAGTTTGTGTCTTTCGGTCTCAAGATGGAATATACCACCAAATCTAGAATACATTAACACCTGAAATTCGACAGAGTTTGTAATCTTGAAAGGTTGGTCAATAGTCAGGGTAAATAGTAAAAAAAAACAACGGCTTTGCGTTCGACTTATGAATAGTTCACATTTAACCATGTAACGTTGTGGAGTGGTTTAGTATAAGCAAACGAATTATCACAACTTTGTAGCCACCGTCAAAATATAAACCACCGGATTCTCTTCGCTTGTAATAATCATCACACAATTACAGATTAATCATAAGAATAAATAATCCAGTCGACAACTTCGTGTGGCTAGTGGAATAAAATTCCGCTCGTTCGATAGCCATAGTTTTGCTGTGGTTCAACAGGACTAGAGTTTCAATGGATTGAAGTTATATTAATAAAGATATTGTAAACGTTACTTGCAAATCCACATTAGACTATAGTTTTCTATCACCTTTATTAAGTATTTGGTTTTGTGGTGTGATGATTACTATTGCACCGAGTTAGATATTCTGTTTCAGAGAGTAACTTGTTTGTTGTGGATCCAGCTGCCATTCACTGGACAACTTCCGTCTAGAATACAGGAAACACGGTATTTTGTGCTATTACCAAGCTATCTATTAGCCCGATGTTACGAAAGTGACATCCAAACTTTGGCTATCGATTAAATCTCTTTTTTAGAGTGTACATTTTAAGTATATCATACAGTTTGCAGGAATCAGCGCTGAACAAGGCATGTATGATTTAACTGTTCAGCTTGAATTATGTGTCTGTCATACCATGCTCACAAAAATCAACCTCATTAGAAGAAAACCCTACTTTGCTTACCAAATAAGAAGGAAACAGCTATAAGATACGAAGCTCAATGGGTCTAATTTCGTATTGGTGTGTACAAACATTTATAGTAAATAGTTTAGAAAACTACGATATGTACAGTGAGCCTTCATCAAATGAGGTTGTTAGAATATGTATTACAGGTTGGTTAGATCCACACAACTGTATATTTATTTCGGAATACAAGTTCTCACTGTCAAATGTGTCAATTCGATTTTATTAGCTAAATTGTGCTCAGCTGTGTAACCAATTCTGACGTCTTATGTGTATATCGCAACAACATGTCTCTGTATGTGTGGCTGTCTATCTGTTCTGTTAATCATATTCCATTATTCTATTGATCCAGAAATAAGTAAGACACGTTGACTGAATGATACTGTAGACTTATTCGAATGCAACTCATGTAGACGTAATAATTCGAATCATGTATTTATTTTATAATAACAAACTTGATGGATATCGTATTTCTGATGTTATTTCTATTTTGATAAAAATGCTAGTGATTCTAGAACCAGTATCAATATAAATACTATCTAGTATAGTTCTGGTGTTATCTATTATAACTTTAGTCCAGTTGTGTTCTTCCAGTTCATCCACATTGCAGTTTTTTACTTCTTCGCATGTCAGTTAATTAACACCGCCTGTAGCTCATCTAGGGTTACTGCCGGTCCAAAGTCCGAGTAAGGCAGAAAGGCTAAGCATGGGGTCAGCAAACCCATTCCTTGGAAAACAACTCTGCCAAAAAAGCGTTAATCAGAATAAACAAATTAAACCATTTAAATTCTACCCTCTTAGTTGAAGGAAGAATTGTGACGCCTCATGATGAACGCCAAGATTCTTCGAAAGTAACGAGGTCGATGCCCCTTCCAACAATCAGAGCAACAATCTTTATAAATACACGGAACGTCTGGACAATGTAGGAGACCAGAAGAACCAATCGAATAGCAACGGAAATGAGAAACCCATTGGACTCAAGCTGAACAGAAACGATCGGATTCGGGAGAGATACTGCTGTACTTTGGTCACGAAGAAGAAAATGCTCCACATATTCAGGAAGTTGCTCTGGTGCTGTTCAAAAATGCACTTAAGGCACTTATACGATGAGCATCTTATGGATCCAGAATCACCAAAGCGTCATTCAGGACAAAAATATGAGGAAATCACAATGAATGTTATCCAGTGTTGTTCACCCGCCAATGATAGAAATGACGATAAAGATCAGTTTTATGATATACTGAAGTTAAGCGTAGATAAGTAACTAGGAAAGGACTTAACAATCTTGATGGGAGATCTAAATGTCAAGGTCGGAATGTGAAGATATCATGGGACGACATGGACTGACTGGAAGAAAGGAACGAGAATGGTGACAATTTTGAGAATTTATATGCGTTCAACGAAATTATTATAGGCAGCATAATATTCCCCCACAAAACACATACACAAAGCTACATGTGTCTCACCGGATCACACCACAGAGAATTAGATCGATGATATTAACATCACTAACATTTCAGAAGGACAGTGGAAGACGTGAGAAGCAGGAGAGGTGTTGACATGGCTTCAGATCACCACCTAGTGGTTGTCAACTGTTGCCAATTGTTTGGAAACTGTTGCTACTTTTAATGATAGTTATCGTTATGTTCAACCATGTTTATAAGATAATATATGTATTGTAAAAATAATGACGTAGAAATCCACAATTATAATTTTAATCTAGATATTAATCGGAATCGAGGCACATTACGTTGAATTATGTGAGTTTGGATTGTATCGTCGGAAATCGATTCGCGTTCGCACGTCGGGCTTACCACTTTTGTGGTGTGTGTAACTTCATTAAACGGAAACAACACTTCAGAAACTTGCGGTGAGTTTAGGCTGTCAAGTTTCTGCGATCACATTATCATCTCAGATTGGTTATACGATGAAAACCAATCACGAAGTCAACAGCACGACACACTCAGGAACCGCTTGGAATACTGTGTGTTCAATCTGGTTGCTTTTGGATTATTACCACTTGTTGCAGCCGGTCTTATATACGTTAAATCTATTGGATGATCTAACCCCTGAAAATAATTCAGGCTAGTTTTACTTTTTAGCTGGATGACTTACTGTTTCGGTATTTAACATACATATATTTTCACTTAGACTAGCCTGTTATATTTCATGCAAACCATCACACTAGACACTACTATCCCTTCTAAAATTGCTTTTAAAACAGTTGCTCCCTATATCAACCAAAAGGCTGGGTCTAAGCTGCGGAAACTAAAAAGGATGTACCATATATCAAAAAACTTCAGTGCCCTGCATCAAATATACTCTGTACTTGAGAGAGGTAAAATTCAAAACAACAAAAGTAATAATAATAATAATTTATTCTCAAATAACAGATTGTTACATGAGGCATGCCGGTTTACAGGCAAGATCAAATTGTTAAAGAAGTTACAATTTTCACTGTTGAAAATTACTCAGCTGGGTTGATATTTCATAAGATATAAATGTAAATGGATTTCATAAGAAACATGTCAATATCAATATCACACTTGGCGCACTTTATGGAGGTAGCGTTGCAACATACAACTGATGGTCGAGAATAGATACATGCGAAGTTGGGGGCTTTCAGAAGTTTCGAACTTATATCCCTCCAGAATACCGGAAGCTTTAATAACGGTGTAGGACGAAGTCACCCGTGCCATATCTGTTTTCGGTGGAGTATCTGCAGGAGGCTGAAAAAAGTGTAAGAAAAAGGAAGGTCGAAAAGCAGAGCACACAATATTCATGGAGGAATAGTTAAGGTATAACCATTTAGTCTATTTGTCTGTTACTGAAGTATTTATTAGGTAAGAACATACTAATGTGTTAAAGAAAAATAAGTGTGGGCAAGGTATGAGTGGATAAGGAACTGTATAAATGAAGGTAGTTTAGAAGGAAGTATGGAATTGTGTAATTATAAAATAAAGTGCTGAAAACAGTATTCCGATACAAATGACTGTCTCTCTTTACTTTAGAAGCTGTTTGAACTCTCTTTTTTTGTTTTCAGATTTTATAGGGTATAGAGTGGGCTTCGTTTTTAGCTAATTGTCTAGTTTGCTTGTATTAGGATTACTTGGTAGGAAGTGGAACCAATTCAGCTTTTTTTAACATGATTCAAAGTGGTATTTTGCATGAATAATTTCGCATCAATACCGTTGGTTCGTGACATCCCACTAGACATAAGGAGCCGTAATTAATATGTTCTGCCCCACAGACACGGGTGGATTGAAGTTATCTCCCCACCATCATGTTTGCTGGTCAGTAACGCCACCCTCCCTCCTTTTATGATGTTAGGCTCTCTTACGTTTGTGGTCGGTATGAATATTGCTTTTATCAAGGACCATATTTGGAATACACTGTCTGTACGAGTTCCATGTTACAAGCAAATCAGATGGTAATAACATTTGTATTATGGGTTAGATATCCATTTAATATATCGTACTACTATGAAGATAACTAATAGTAAAGGTTAGAAGAGACAAGTCAGATTATATGTGGTTAAGAGATGGTAAGGGCTAATAGCAAACCAGAGGATATGATAGTAAATATTGTAAAATTTTCAGGGTAAGAAAAAATAAAACATTGAACAAGTCACAAAAATTTAGGACGTATGAGCTTCTTTTGATCGGCCTTAGTTGGTCAGCATCCATAAGATTAGTGAGTTATCTGTCTACTTGTAATAAGAAAAATAAAAGGACAGGACACTTAGGAAGAATAATTTAGATTTATCCATTAGAGAGATTCGGAAACTGAAAATGTGGGTTAGGAGCGGAAGGCCATGGTTAATAATCAATAAATAATGGGGAAGGATAAAGCATGTTTTCTTTAATTTTGCTATATTCACACTGACGACAATGGAGTTCGTTATATTCTTGTTCCGTCTAGATATTGGTCGGTCCATAATAAAGTGCCTCATTGGTAGGCGGGAGTTCAAGGAATAGTTGGTGAAGTTCTTTAGAGTTTAGTAACAGGGTTATTAGCCTTTTAAATTTGGTAAAGGTGTCACAGTTACGGATAGGTATTGACAACCTGTTCCACAATAAACTATACCGAACTGTAAAAAACCTACAACGCATTTGTTTTTGGTGTTTTTCGGTAAATAGTTTATATGCATTGTTTCTTAGTCTATAGGCTGGGTCATTGATCATAGTTGGACAGGAGGTTAGGAATGACAGTCCATTTATTGCTTTGTAGAGAAATATCAGATTGTTCCTTAACCTACGGTGCCATAAAGGTTCTAAATAGAGGTGCTTACATCTACTTGTGTAATCAAGGCAGAGGAACGTACTGAGCTCACTGCTGCATCTGAAGCCCAAAACTTATATCGGCTCCTTGAAAAACGCATAAGAAAGAACGTGGATCACAACATCCACTCTATACTGAACTATAGTGTGACTTATTATGACCAAATCGTCATATGGAAACTGTTAAGTGAATGGTTTCTCCACAATGGCAATACATTTCATGCCCCAGATATTAATATAAATGCATCAGCAAAAGTTACCATGGTATCATTAACTTTGGTTCTAGGAGTATACACTGCCATCAAAACCCTTGAACGGAATGCAAGTTCTGATGTTGATAACCTCCCATCAATTCTTTATAAAATGTCAGGACCGGACATATGGACGCTCTGACTCAAAATATTAACATTATCTTTAGAGGCAGGTACGTATCATGAAACCTGGAAGGAAACTTATGTTGTCCCCAAATACAAATCAGGACCAAGAAAACTGGTGGAAAACTACAGACCTATAAATATCACTCCAGTTATATCATGAATAATAGGGAAAGTGATACAATGTCAAATATCTGACCACTACTTTAGGAAGATCTGATAGGACAGTCACAACACAGCTCTATTAGAATAAGGTCCTGCAGTGTATATCTGATAGACATCCTTGACGAGGTTACTCTCATACGTGACCATAAGAAACTAGTGGTTTTATTATATTTCGACAATAAAAAAGCATTTGATAAGGTACCTCATAACCTCCTAACCAACAGACTCCAGTCAGTTGGAATTACAAACCCCCTTTTTCAATGGATTAAGTCTTTTCTTACGAGGAGATACCAAATAACCAAAATTAACTCTACAACATCTACGCCTCGACCAATAATCAGTTGTGTTGTGCAGGGTAGTATTTTGGCTCCAATGCTTTTTACAATCTACCTCAACAATAAATGCAAGTGTTTTAACACAGGTAAGACATACCATTACGCTGATAACCTAAAAGTTCTCTATAAAACTGACATTTGTGATGTACGTAGTACTATGACAAGAATTCAACATGAACTCAACGAGGTAGACAACTGGTACAAACGCTAGAGATTCGAGCTCAACAAAAAGAAATGCGGCTGGCTATGTATTGTAGACATGCCTCTTCAAATAAAAGTAATACTTAACAAGAGCACAATGCCCAGACTGATATCAGTAACTGACCTAGGGGTTCATTACTCACAAAGTCCAAACTTCCCTGAATATATCTTGTAGCTGTAAATAATTCCCCAAAATAAATAGCTCATTAAGTGTTCGACATTGGATGCTTACCACGTTGTTTAAGTGGACTTGTTTAGCTGAAGTCTTTCGGTCATGCATTCGTACCAGATCACGTTTCATCTCGGCGTGGGACACTGCTCCTACGTTTCTATAGCCAGCTTATAGTAAAGGTTCCTCGATATATTGGTAACGTATCAAATATATCTTTCCCACCTCTTCTTGTCTGACTTCTGATTTCCTCTGGCCGGGAACAATCGATTATAGAAGATACTACTGGTTGCTAGTTGTAAAACTAGAATATCTGTTGTATCCTCAATCTTAACCAAAGCATTTAAATAGCGGAAATTGCTTCGATTCATTCTTCGTAACTTTCAAATATATGTGTAAGATCTATCGTTGAATATTGTTCGTTCTTATTTTCCAACTTACACCTATCCGATATATCTAAGGTGAAAGGAATCCAAGGAGATTTCATGCGCAAAATACTTAAGACCGACCCACTCATTGACTACAGTTCCCGATGCCATATCTTAGGACTAGGACCCCTCTGGAAAAGGAGGCTTAGGTCCATTTTGATTCTCTACCTCAAACTCTTCAAAGACCTCACTTATTCCACATGCAACATAGTTCTTCCACAAGACCAACATGAGTATGACTTTGGGGACAAAGCTTCTACTGCCAAAGTTGAGAAATACAAATGGAAAACTCGGAGAAGCGTCCTCCTAATCAAGTATGCATTATTATGGAACAGTCTTCTCCCTGAGATATGCATGACGGATGAATTACATTCGTTTGTAAGACTCGTTGATCAAGCCCTCCCTCAAAAGAAGGGAGGGTGAAGTTACTGAACAGCAAACATTGATGGTGAGGGCGATGACTTCAATCCACCCATATCCAATTTCATGCCGGATTAGCTATTTTATTAAGACAACCTATAACATACTAACTCGGACTTTTACACTAGGACTGTGCGGCTAGCATCGAATGAAATAAAACTAACTAAAAAATATTCAGACAATAAAAGATATAGTTTTTAGTTTTTTTGACACTTTACTCTCTTAGTGCACTTTCCGTCCTAATAAACAGCGTTCCTTATTCCAACCCTGACTTCCCTTCCTTCATTTGAACCTACTCCACCTTGATAAATATCACAACTCACTGTTCCTTATTACTGCTTTCTCTCATCTGGAGGCTGTTATCACATTTGGCTCTAGTGACAAGAGCTAGTAGTACCAACACTAATCTGGCTTATCCGTCTCTAGTGCTCTAGAGACAGATTGCTTTCATGTAGCACTCTTTCGAGGCGTTTTAGAGCGTCTACGATGATGATGATGAAGATCGAAATAATGAGTCAGAGTGTGACGGAAGTTCGTGACGTCGTTTGTTTGAGGCTTTTCTCTGACATACTAGATCTCTGCATTTGATGTTCCGATTGTGATATTTAGCCGCTTCGTCCACAGAGCTATTTCTAAATGAGACGAGGACTACCTGCACTTTCGGTAAGCTTTAACAAGAAGAGATGTCTAAACAGGCCCTCGTCAAAGTTTAGTTGATCAATGACCTCTCGCATTCGTAGAAAGACGTTGCAACTCAATGTTGTGGAAAAGTTCATCCAATCTTTTTCGATCGATCAAGTCGCCATGTTTAGGAATAGCCTTTTTCAAAGTGTTGTAAGGTTCCAGAACATCACTAGTAAACATTCTTAGTGTGATGTACCTGTTAAGGTCGCACGGTAGGGCCTTCATTACTGCGAGGAACTGTGTGAGTTGGTCTGTCCGCGGTGCTTGTGGAAGTCAGCTTCTGGGTAGCAGCAACGGGATCAGATATTATCGGGACAGAGGGGATAAATTGAAATGTGTGAGATGAATCTTTAACTAATTTAGGAGTCCGTTCTGCTATGATATTTTTAAAGTGCACTAATGAATGAGAGAAAAAAATATTCGAAAATACGAAGACATTATGTAAAAATAAAAATCAACAAATGATATATAATGTTCCAACAAGGAACAGACTTACAGTTTACTGTTTGGTTTGTCAGATCACATCGAGCTCACCACTTGAGATGTCATAGGTATTCAGAGTTTGACAACGCCTTAACCAGTAACACCTTTACTAATCGATATCTACCAACCCAGTGGAATCAGAAGTCAAAAGCGGAGGTTCAAGGAAACATTTGAATGGCTATCGATATAACGAGAAGCGTTTGTTATAAGCAAGCTAACGGTTGTAGGAGATGCGTAGCACTGTGTACCCTTTCACTATCTGGTGCGGATGCGTGACCGAGTGCCCTCAGCTACATGTATCGGTTAAAACTTATGTGGTCAGCATCACATACCAAAGGACTACAGAACTACTTATTTCCCGCTACGGTACCGAGAAGGAAACATCAAAAAATAAATAACTAAGGTTTCCTAAGGACCGAATCATTACCAAAGACAATGGTTACAGGCTTTTAATAGAGACTTTGGAATGATAAATGTGGCAGAGGTACATAACCTCAGATCGTAGCAAAATTTAGTGTCTTTCCTAAAATATCCTTGCTCTTCAAGTCCAGCTCAAATTTTGCGCCTACTTCACTTTTGATGGACAAGAATGAATTATTATTTATCATACACAGGACCCAAGAAACAAACTGTTCATAATTTCCGCTTCGCAAAGTTTGAGGTTTGAAACTTTGTGGGCGCTTGTCTTAAAGGTTGCCCAACGTATGGGTCGCAAGAAAGGTCAAAGGCATGACCACCAGCTGAAAAGTTCCAATGTGCAACAGTCTTCTGAGAAACTAGCCACAGAAGGCAGCACAAGTGAATCTGCGGACGGTGTTAAATTACCGGAGTCACCTGGTCAAGATGCTGCTGCTAGTAGTGGGGAGACTATCGATGTTTTAGGGAATGGTCTCATCATTAAAAAGGCAAAGTTAATTAATCCATAACTTTTCTCTAGACTTTGAAAAAAGGTCTCGGTGGGGAAACTCGTCCCAGTCATGGTGATTCTGTCGTTGTAAATTACAAATGTTGGCTGGAAGATGGAACGCTTGTTGACGACGCCGAAGATGTGAAAATGGTCCTTGGTGATGGTGATATAATACATGGTAAGAGAGTATTTTTAAACTAAGGATTTTGAACAGCATTTGACCTCTCTATTCCACTGGCTGAGCACAAAGAGATTTTCGAACTGACGACTGACTCCCGGTTCGCTTATGGATCCCGTGGACGGTAGGTTGTGAGAAATAACTCTCCTACAAGATTTGTTCCGAAATCGCTCCATGCTGTAATGTTTGAGGTTCCGACTTTTCTCAAGTGTTATGTAAGTATAAAATACTGACGACTTTGGGCGACTTATAAGCCAATCAGGGGACGTTGTTTAGTTGTAATGGTTAATGATCCAAAATAATGAGCTAACAATGGAGCATCAACCCTCAAAAGTCAAATTGTCCCCGATAAAAAAGACCCGTTTACACGTATACGTACCAGGAGTTGGGTTAGTATCATGAGTTAAGGTTATCATCCCATAGTTTTCGTCATCAAGTGACATCTATAATACAAAAAGGTTAGGACTATATATTAAGAGTTAAACTGTTTTGAGTGTGAGATTTTAATTTATGGACGACTTTTAAGCAACGCTTAAGAGACAAGGATTCCCTTAGTAACTGCGAGTGGACAGAGATTAGCCCAGCACCAAAGCCTGCGGTTAATTGATCGTGAGACAATGTAGTGTTTGGGCTGGCTTCAGGCATTACTGCTCTGCCCCAAGTCCAGCGATGAGTACGGCTTCCTATTTTGGTTCAAAGAGAGTGAAAAGCCCGTGGGAAAGAGATCAAGTGTGACAGTTCTGATCTGAACTACCCTTGGAGTCGGGTCGTTTGTGAATGCAGCCCAAAGTGGGTTGTAGACTTCATCTAAGGCTAAATACTTACATGAGTTCGATCGAGAACTACTTTGGAGAGAGTAAACCGTGCGGGACATTGAGAATGTCCACATACTCATCAGGGCTAGATAAGGGTGAAGAATAAGGATCATGACTCAATTGATGGTTAGGGTCAGGAATTAGATTTATGGTTTTTATAAATTATAGTCTCACCAAAAATGGTTCTCTGTAGCACAAACCGGGAAGATATCCACTTAAGTCTTTACTCACGGCTTTTCATTGTAATGATAATCTGTTTGGTCCTTGGAAAACTTTTCAAAACAGCCTTTGGATGTAGATTAAGGTAGGGTGCAGTAGTCTTGAGGTCATAATTTACTTATCCCTCATCGAAATGGAAACCAAATGTTGTAAAGACTCGAGAGAAACACCTCGCTGCCACCATCTCTATGTTTCTGCAGCAGATTGCATTGTAATAGTACCTGTAATCATACCACTACCCAATCAACATTAAAATTACAATCCTAATTAATACACGTTCCAGTTAGTATACTTTGACTAGAGGACTGCTATAAATAAACCATAATTATCAAGTTAAAGTGTCAACTGTTAGCTGAGCATTAACATCATGATGTACATTCAAGTAAGTTTCTTGTTAAAAGCTTTATATCGGATTTTTATTAGCCTTAAAACTTGAGTTTTTATTTAAAAAATAAATGTAATAGATACAGTTTTGGCAGTTAGAGGTACTCATCGACTTTAGATACTTCCCAATTTTCTTAGGGATCCTGGTATCCCATCAGGGGCAAAGTTAACTTATCACATCGAAGTTTTAAAAGTTGATGACCCTCCTTGTTATGCCAGTATGTCGAATTCGGAAAGACTTGCAGTTGCTAATCAGAAGAAAGACAGAGGCAACTATTACTACAGGTAGGTAAAATTAAACAAAATGATATCTTTAAACCAGGAGAGAAGAATTTGCATTCGCTATCGACAGTTATAACAAAGCATTGAAAATTTTACAATTGCCTCCTGTAATTCCTACCCGGTCTTCAGAGGAGAAATTTCCGGAAACCGACTGTTCAGCAGAGCTTATTAATGATGCAAAGTTGAAATTAGAAAACAATCTCGCAGCTGCTCAGTTAAAGGTAAAGTATATGAATAAGTAATCAATTAATTATCATTTCTTCACCAATCCACTTTGTATATTTTTTGCCCAAACTTACAACACTTCACAGGGAGCTGCTTTTTAAAATTTCGTTGAACCATATACCTAATGTTTGTATTCTGATTTTTAATTGGTTCTGATAAAACCCTGATATTTGCGTCTTATTTGTAATATTGTGGAGTAGTTTGGGAAATCCTATTTCTGTTGTTAGTAGTAGACAAGTGTTATGCCAGTTACATTATATATTTCCACTTTGAACCGTTGTTGATAAAACCAGTGGTTTGTGTGATCATTAAGATACGAACTCTAGATCTTCGATGCTCTTAAACTTAATGGGTGAATGGAATTGTCTTTTCATGATCAGACCAATATTATCGACTCAACAGGTCTCATTTTTTCAAGCACTTCCCGTGTTAATAAATAACGGTTAATATGTAGCCCATTTAGATGGCCTACTTGGAATTTGAGCTATGTTAAAGTTTAAGAGTAAAATAAATCTAAATAAGAGACTTTTGCTTTTGCAGATTTTCACTGAAAACCATTAGAATAATGATTGTGCTCCAAAGTGATGATACATAAATTCCTTAATCTTTATTTTTACCAGCAGCACAGAAAATCAATATTCCTCTTGTTTAGTGTAGTCATGACTGAGTATTTTAACCAATAGATTTCAAATACTGGCTCTGTGTAAATCGACCAACTTGGTCAGTAGCCTATTGCATCAACTTCTGTTGCCAACATCTGGCCATATCTTTTATTGGATTCATATTAAGCACATATGTGTAGAAATAATTATGGTTGGTCATCTTTGCCTCAGTTTTAGCTATTCCTGACTGTATTATTATTATTTATTATTTAAACATAAACATTGGTACAACGAGGCATCAAATATATATGCGCCACACTCCGTCATTCGATTTGTGTAAGGGCTGGAGTACTGCCCTGGCGCCCAAACCGAAGCAGGTAGTTTTCTTAAAGGTTCACACTCTGAGCCTTTGACCTAAAGGTCTAGTTCACAAGGCAGTGGGGAAACGTTAAGAGATGCGGTGCATTGGTAATCGGCGGCCAATGATAGGTTCATACGCCATTTATTCTTTAAGGGTTCTGGAGCTCATGTGCACCATTAGTTTGGAATCAGGGTTTCCCAACTCCCTTAAATGGAATCTCCATATCCACCAACATGGTTAACGCGCCGGACATTCGCTTTTCGTCCTCAATCGTAAACAAGACCCTCGTGTAGGCAGTAAGTAGGACTTCTCTGACAGTGTCTGTATACGGGAGGTCATCTGAGAGCGCTTTGAGGGAGACAGTGGACTCACCACACCATCTGCTGTATCAGAGCTTTGAGGTTTTCCTCAATGTAGAATAATCCTTTGCATCTAAATGAGCATTAGACCCTGGGTAGTCACATCAGTAAATTTAGAAATAACCGCTAATCATTTCAGATTTTATTCGTGTCACGAAATTTCCCTTCATTTGATGGATTAAGGAAGTGTTCGATCGGTGTAGACAATGTGGGAGTTGTAGTCCTAGCTAAAATACAATGTATGGTCATCAAGTTGCTTTTTTAACATATTTCAACACCAATAATATTATATGGAAAATTTTAAACTGTACTAATAATACGTTTAAAAGACGATCTCTTGTAAAAGAAGAAAGATTAGATAAACTGGTGAATGTTTTCGGACTCACTACTCAAAATAGTGTTTGGCACGTAAAATAAATATGCAATAATTTCACCTAGTCGCTAATATATTGCATATAAATATCAGACTTTCACTGTTTCTAGTGTTATTCTAGTCTATTCAGAACATTATTAACTAGTGCTTATCCTCTTTCTCTCTGTATATGTATAGGTAGAAGCATACGATGCCGCTATAATGTCTTGTGATGCTGTTTTGCAAAGCGATCCACAAAATATTAAGGCTTTATTCAGGAAAGGAAAGGTCAGTTGTGTGTTGTTTATCTGCTAGGCTAATATTTATGGTTTTATAATATAGGTTGTAATTCTTTGAGGTATGGTCATTTTAACACCTTATATTTATTGTACCTCATTCGGAATTACTCAGCATCTTTCTCTAGATCTTGTGTTTCGAAGTGTCACTGCTGACTTTTAATCTCGTAAATATATCTTTTCCGTTTGAATCTTGTTGTGTATCTGTAGTTTTTCTTACTATATTAGATAGTACTACTACTTCGACCCCTGTGCTATATATCCCGATAGTTCGTCGTTATTTTGGTATGCTGTACTAAATTGAATCATTGCACATACTGAATAGTTCGTTGTTTTTGATGGACTGACTTATTTCGAGAATTTTATGCAAATTATTCCATTAAAATTTTTTTGATACGCTGCGTGGCTCCATCCAAAAATACCGAGTCTTCAGAAAAGAATATCAAACACTGATTTTGTCGTCTTATTCCCCTTTGTATTTACGTCAGTTTTAGGGATTTCATCTTTTCAAAAAAACTGTCGGGAAGGTTGAAAAAAGAACATGTGAATCTCAATGTCATTGTTTTCTGACTTAATTTATTAGTTGAAATAATAGTCGTTTTTCAGAAAAACATCTTAGTGGCATCATTCCACAAGTATGTTGTGAGTTAAATATATTTAATGCAATAACCGCTTACAGTCTGCCGTAAAATTTGACACGATATAATTTCCAATTCGACAACATTAGCTACTTACCTTTTCTTGACATACGACTTCAATGTACAGCTGTTCCAGACAGTTTTATTATTTATTTATTTGAACACATAAATATTAGTACAAAGGAGCACCGAATACATATGCGCGGCACAAATCTCATTTGATTTGTGTGAGGGCCGTGATACTGCCCAGGTGCCCAAACCGAAGTAGGTGGTTTTCTTAGGGTCACACCCGGAGCCTTTGACCTAAAGGTCTTATCCACAAGGCTGTGGAGCATCGTAAGGAGATGCAGTCCCATGGTAGCCGGTGACCAACAATTGATTCATACGCCATTTGTTCCCTTAGGATACTGGAACCCATGTGCACCAATGGATTGGAATCAGGGTTTTCCAACTCCCCTAGGTGGATCCTCAGAGTCAACCAACCCGGTTAAAGCGCCGGACATTCGCTTTTCGTCCTCTCAATTTTGTAAACAACAGTAATGCCACGAGAAGGCAGTGAGTAGGACTTCCTTGGCAGAAGCTATATATTCGCGTGACCATGTGAGAGCATTTCGAGAGGGAGAGCGGACTCTCCCTACTCTCGGCCGTACCAGGGCATTTGGGGGCAAGGTGTTGATCACTTAGTGAGTCATGGATTCAGCTGGGACCCTAGCAGATAATTAGTTCAATAGGTACTCAAACTAAGTTATTCAGGTAGTTTTTGCACTCTATCCCAGCAGAGCGTAGTTAGGGGCGTTTTGATTAATGAAAATGGGACAATCGTATTGTCACAGGTGAAGATTATCTTAGGGTGAACAAAAGTTGTCTTCAAAATTACATAAAATAAAAATTTTGTGAACGCTGCGTATTTGCTAGATAAATGGCTCATTAGTGCTTATAAATCCTCACATTGGCGGACTATGTACTCTCTTCCTTGCATCAGTTTTATATTCAGTTACTTATTTGCACTTTTATTGTTGTAATAGTTTCACCCTTAACCGGATAGTATAATTACGTTCTTATTGTTAAACCAAGTATGGTAAATGCAAGGACCGAAATCACCCCTCAATGAATGATAAATCAGTCTCTTATGAGTCTGAATATAATCATACCGATCTTTGTAACAGTGTATCTACCAACTGATAGATCAGATTCGTGTGGATACTTTTTGATTTATCGCCGATCAAATTATATTTAAAGAGAAACCATCTGAATTCATAATTCTTTTGACTGGATATTTTTTTCAAGACTCGTGGATTTTAATCAGCTTAATTCATTAAGTACATAGCTGCTAAATGAGTTATATTTTTTGTTGAGCACTAATTATACGTTCAATGTGATTACAGACGTATCAAATTTATATTTTTTATCATCCCTTATAATAGGCTCTTTTGGAAATGAACGAAGTAGATGATGCTATTCCAATCCTCCAAAAAGTACTAACAATATCCCCAGGCTCACAAATGGCTAGTGTTGAGTTAGCTCGTGCCCAAGCTGTACGACAGAAAGAACGAGAGCATTGGTCACGGTCTGTTAATCGTAGGTTCCCGAAAACTAAACAAAATAAGAATACAAAACTGTCCGCTGCATCCAGAGTTAAACTGGTGATGGTAAGTAAATCTGGATTATAATTTATGCAATAGGTTGATGAGTTGGTTTAATCAGACTTTGTTATGACTCGCGGTTCCCGAGACTGATACTAATACACAAGCTTTCCATAAGAAAGTTGCCAATCAGTGAGAAAACTGAAAGTAAAGGTTGAGGTTTATTAGGTTCAATCGATTCACTCACATAGGCATATATATATATATATATATATATATATATATATATATATATATATATAGCTTAATAAACGAAACTATTTCTTGCCCAATAAAATGTACATGTCATTAGGAAGTTTTTGATTGACACAACTTAGCTTTCTCATTCACTGACTTGCCCACTATATCAGCCTTATACTTTAACGTATATATAGTCCCCTGTGAGTATTTGCTCTGTTCCTTTGTATGAGTCATACAGAAACGTGTTGGCTTCTATGACTTGACGGTAACCATTTGTGATACTGTCCAACAGTGGTAGTTATTTTTAAGCTTTGACAGAAGATTACTTTCCTCACGTATGTATTTAGTTATCAAAATGTAACAATTTTTAACTAACATGTTTCATCATTTTAAGCAAGAGTTGAATACTTATTGTTGTTTATTTATTATTTACAGACTTCTCGTCCTGTGATTGTAACAAGTATCATGGCGATTCTCTCTGTTCTCGTTGGGTTCGTTGCATACATTTATCAACCTGCCATTATGAACATCAATATATAGAAATTATTTAATTATTTCTATTTTATTCCATCTTTACATTATTGGATCGGGGTATATTATAATCAGAAGAAATATAAAATCCATTAGTTATCATTTGTAAATAAATAATAACGAACTAAGTTGTATTTAACTTGAAGTTAATTGAAATAAACGTACCGTTTCGCCTTACACGTTCATATTTGTTGTTTCTTCTTTTCTTTATGTAATGAGTGGATACAGTTGTCATGGTATCTTGCTGATTGATCAATTTATAGAGTTCAACTTTTTCTTTTCTAACTTTGATGTTAATACTGATAAGTTTTTTGTTTTTAGGTTAGAAGAGAACTTTATTCATTTCATTAGGTATTATTACAAACTAAAATAATACGTATAATATGTAATAGGTTGTTTTAAAAAAGCACATTGATTGATTCATTTAGAAGCTTTCCTAATAAACATTACTACAAATGTACGTTATCATAATATCATTATTATTACTTTATAGGGATCTTTATCATGTTATCTATGTAACTTGTGTTTTTTTTCCAACAAAATCTTATAATTTTCTTGCTTTAATTGTTATTTAAGTATTTAGTTTGTAATTAGTAGTTAGCTTTACTTTGTGAGTTAAACATTTCTAAATAATGTTTTGTTAATTTCCATGTTAGTTTTATAATTTTTCATACGCAGCAAGATTATTCAACTCAACACTGAAGTAAAGATTCTTACTCTAGGTCATAAAAATTGTATAAGGTTTGAAGATATAGTTTCATCGTCTTAACTGCCAATTAAGTGAAGTGTTATTTATACTGGCTATACTAAGGTTAAAAGTTACTGAACAGTGATTGGACAACTGGTTAATTTATTGACTGATGTTCGTGTTTGAAAGTAATAATACCATTCAGAGCAGTAGCTTGTAAGGAGAATTAAGTGTGCTTCTTTTGCTGTAAATATTTTGATCCTATTTGCTTCCATAGTCTTACATTTTATTTAGGTTAAGTTGTCGATTGTTTTTTCCTGCTTTGGAAACCTGTTGCAACATAGATGTATGCACTCGATTTAATCAAGGAGAACTTTTCTACGAGCTTCCTTTGTCTTTCTTAGGCTTGTAATTGAGCTAGTTTTTGTTTTAATGATTTTAAGGTAAATTAGTCTGAAAGTTAACATCTATCTATCTATCCAAAGATACACTCCGATTCCCCTGATTTTCCGTTTTTCTAGTATTCTAGCTAAGCGAACAGATAATGGTGATCGTCTGCTGCATTTGTGTTCAGACAATCGTTTATTTTTAGCAAGCACTAATTTTAAGCATAAGGAGAGATATCGTTTAACATAGCAACCTCGTGCATCAAACCAACGATGGACTTAAATAGACCCTATTGCCATCGATCATTGTTAGAGAGGCTCGATAAAAGATTATCGCTCGTTCTGGAGTACATGTTTAGACTCTGATCATGCACGCATTTGCTTGCGCCTCACTGGACGCAGAAAAATCACATTAAGAGGACCCATTAGAATTGAACTGAGTAACGAGAAAGCCAAAAGTAGATCCCAGAAACAACTGAGTTCACACTTAGGCAGTTGTGAAAACGAAGCTGATCCAGATGTTGCTTAGAAAGACTTACTAAGAGCTACGGAAACAGCAGCGACACCTATTGGTGATCTTAAACAAAGGGTCACGAAAAACCAGTGGATTTCTTTCAAGTCTATTGCACTGGTAGATTCTCATAAACTCATCCCATCAGGCTCTGAACACGATGAAGAGAGAAAGCAAATCAGATCTAGGTTAACCAAGAGTCTACGGAACGACCGTAAGCAGTGATGGGCAACGAAAGCAAAAGAGATGGAAAAGGCAGCAACTGTAGGCAACACCAGACAACTCTTCAGACCAATAAAAGAAACTGGAATTAAGAAATCAAGTGTAAGTGAGATAATCTTGGAAAAAGGTGAAACTATCATCAGCTCTCAGTCTAGATGTTTAGAACGATGGATGGAACAGTTTAAAGAGCAGTCCAGCTGGCCTTCAGCTTTTCTACAACTAATACCATTCCCAAACAGCCTAAATAGAACATTGAAGTAGGTTTCCCGGCTCTAGCTGAAGTTCAAAAGGATATAGCTAATCTGAAACGAGGAGGAGCAGCTGGTCCAGATGGATTGGCTCTAGAGTTCTTTGAATATGGTGGTCCAATTTTAGCGATCAGGTTGACTAATATTTTAGCTAAAATCTGGGAGTTGTACGTAATCTCATCTGACTGTAACAATCTTTGATTGTCCCAATATATAAAAGGGGGTCAAAGTCATCCTCCTTTAACCATCGAGGGATTATTCCAACTAAAATACTAGCCTCATTAATTATCGGGCGCCTAACAAAGATTCGTGAACTGCAAACACGAGAAAATCAGACTGGCTTCAGACCTGGTCGTGGCTGTATCGACCACATATTCACCATTCGTCAAGTTTTAGAGCACAGACATGTTTATCGGCGTCCAACAATGATAGTTTTTCTTGACTTGAAAGCAGCATTTGACTCTGTAGACCGAGAGGTTCTGTGGCAGTGTCTGTCATTGAAAGGTGTACCTGAGAAGTACATAAACCTTGTGAAGGCTCTTTACTCGAACACTACCAGTCGAGTGAGAGCTTATGGTGAACTTTCGTCTGATTTTCCAACCTCAAGTGGTGTCCGGCAAGGCTGTCCACTATCTCCATTTTTGATCAATTTCACCATAGACCTACTGCTAGAAATAACATTCTCGTCGACTGAATTTTCAGGAATTGATCTTCCAGGAGTTAAAATACGCATATGACATATTCCTGTGTGGTGAGGACGCTGATAAATGGAGAGTCTTTTGGTAGCAGTACCAGGATGTTTGGAATGCGTTTCTTTCCTCTCTAAATGCAAGTTGTTGCTTCAGAACTGGTCTGCGTCAACACCTGAACTAAGAATAGAAAGTCTGGTCAGCCTTAATAGGTTGGCGTCTGACGAAGTTTCTGCACTGGTTTGAAAACCTCGTTTGGCCTTTGCCAACTTGTCATCTATTCCGAATGCGAGATGTCTGTCTATTAATTAAGGGACGAGTATACTGCGCAGCAGTTCGTTCTGTTCTACTTTACGGCTGCTAAATGTGCCTTCAAGAGTAGAGAATAATCGTAAGTTCCTAGTATTTGGCCACAGATGTCTTGGGAATATTGCTCGCATCTCCTGGAATCACTAGGTAAGTAATAGTGAGGTTAGACACAGGGTATTAGGGAATACTGGTAAATCACTCGATCAGGTTGTGGATCTTCATCGACTGGGATGGTTGGGTCATGTATTGCGCATGCCCAAGCACCGATTTCGACTGTGCGAAATGCTAACTAGTGTTGGGAACGATTGGAAGAAAGTTAGGAGCGGCCAAATCAAAACGTGGCATCAGTCCTTGAGGTCACTAACTTCTGGTCTGAGCTATGTTGGTAGATGCAGACTACCTGGTTGGGGTCCGCGTGACTATCGTAACCAATGGTTAGAGACTCTATGTGACATGGCTCAGAATCGATCACAATGGCGTAGGTGTATACACCCTAAGTGTGCCCTTAAACAGTGAGATTGAAATTGCTGTATATATTTCTTCCTGTACAATATCCTTATATGCAATCTTTATATATTACTTGGTGTTTATGAAAACCTACCCTTACTACGATTATTTCTGTTGCGGCTGTTTACAATTTCGTACATACATGAATTGACAAAATGATAGCTCCCTAGGCGAGAAAACGTTACAGGTATCAGGAAATCATGAAGCCACACTGTATGATGTGGCTGTTTCAGCCTGTTTTAATTTTATTATAGTATTGTTTACGATTCCGTTTGTCGACTTATGATTGTGAGTTCGGTAGATTTAAAACAGCTACCATAACAATGGAAACGGTAGTTTAATAGATCAACCGCTCAACTTTTAGTCCCGTTTTACCTACTTTAGTTCGGACAACCGAGTAGTATCAAAATCTCACAAAACGTGTGACTTAAAGCCGATTACGTAAACTTGTACCTGGTAAGTAATTTATACTATTGTTAATATTCATTACCATGCAGCGCAGATATTCTGAGGAACAGACCCAGTAACGAAAATCCAGTTTTAAAGTGTAGCTGTCTCTCTAATTTGGTTGATATATTAAGAGTTCCGCCTCCTCACTGCTGTAAAAGGAGTTTATAAAACCCCCTCTGTACACTAACGAATCTTTCTTGTCGTAAATATTTCTAACACAGACTACGTTATAAAAATACGAATTCGAAATTGGAAATAAGTACAAAAGGCAATGTCCCTCATGCAGGTTACCAACGGGCTCTAGATCACGCTTTAAGGTGAATTGAACTACCAACACATCCTATTTCCTCAAGAATAAACATCCTATGTCATAATGACTTAACGACAAAAATATGTATTTAAAATAGTATTTTATACAGTATAAGGTATATATATATATATATATCAAAAATGAGTACAGAATTTAGTTGTATAGTCCAGAGAGGATTTATTCAATATAATTTGTTTCAATTGTTCAACAGTTGAGCTTCTCGTTCATGAATTTGCTTCATAACTAATCTAAATAATAATAAAAATAAAAAAATAAAAAATAACTTTTGACTAACATTCTACGCAGCATGTTAGATCAATTAGAGAAAAAAGGTAAATGGAATCTAGGCAATTGCTTTGATTTTTGCCATATATATATATATGACAGTGATCGATTAAAACCTCATATACTTTAAACTCTAAGGATTGATTAATCAAATGCAACGTAGTATATGGCTTGAAAGTGTATCGGTTTAAGTTGTTATATTTGACTTCTACACAGCAAATAAGGAAGTTAGCACGTTTCAAATTTAAAGTATACATACAGTTCAATATGGTTATAGAAATAAAGTTAGTCAGAAATTATTGTCAATACGTATCAGCATAGTGTAGTCAAAGTTCAGTTAGAATCAGAAAGATTAGATATAGGGTTGCAAATATATTTCATATATATTCATATCTGTAATGGCGATAGTGAAGGTAGCAAAGGACTGTATAATCAAGACTAGGAAGTTATGTTGTGTAGTAATTGAACGAAAGTAAATGATGACCAAGAATAAAGTGAATAAGGCTCAGATAATAATAAAGTTAAGAACTATAAGAAAGTCAAGAAGCGATTCAATCAAGAGCTGGAACGTATTGCGCAATTGAATTAGTGTCTTGCTACCAGAACTCAGGAGAAATTGATAACTGTCTCTTTTGGATGTAAAGCAGACTGAACAGATTGCAAATTTGATAACTCACAGGTTAGTTTTTCATTAATTATCTGAAAGTAGTTCATAGTGTTCACCAAACGTAGTGTGCCCGAGATATTTCTAGAAATACCACTACCGAAAATTGTTAGTTCTTGTGACTGGAGATTTTTCGAAACAATCTAGGAATCTAAGGTAAACCCTTCTTTTGACTAAACTAATGTAACTGCTCCGAGGGATATAGATGAATTTATCCACATAACTAATATTTACATGAAATAACCACATTAGACTGTAAATTCGATATCGAAAACATTATATATAATTATCAGTTTGGCTGCAGGATACAGTTTTTAGTTAATAAAGTCCGGGACAGTTAGTCAGTCACGAGTAACATAGGACGTAATACATGCGCATCGACCGGAGTTGCCTACACAATATCGGCGCAGCAAAATGAGATTGTCATCTTATTCGAGATGAGCAAAGTTGTGTTAAAGTTTCGTTCGATCTGTTTTTAACTTTTCTTTGTTTATCAATAAAGTTTTGTGGATAGTAGTTGGACGTCTCTCAACGTCCCTCAGTTCAGAAAAACCGAATACGTATCCTTCTGTGCAAAATGAATCAATTTTTGATTGTGAACTACTGAACAAAAACTAATAAACTTCAGGTATTTAGTGCCATGGCAAAGCAAGAGCGATTCTTCGAAGACATTTAGTCTGCGTATAACTCCCAACCATATTGTACAACGAGGCACACGTTTGCGCATTATACTGTTTATTTAACAGGCAGTCACATGTCTCACCACTAATACAAATGATGTAGGTTTATAGATGCCATATGAGCCTTCTAATCCTCTTCTTAGATAGTCTTTGACTAATTCATAAGGATCAATGCAACTCTTGCATTAGGTAATCTATACTTCACTCCCTATTCTTAGACAACAGTTTCTACAAGTTTTTATTCTTGCCATTGAGAAGACACCTGATTGAGTCAGTGTCTTTGGCAGGACCGGAAAGATACCTACCTCATTTTCAAAATACAATTGGTTCGACGTCTTCGTAGATCGTGCAAAATTTCATCCTCAGGGAATCTTTGATCAGGTCCTTCCACATTATTCAAATTTTCCTCCATATAACGCGCAATTGTCAAACCTATTTGAACCTCCTTATCGAAAGCAGATTTACTGGATGTCAATTCAGTAGACGTAGGACCAGGTAAGTGAGTAGAGGTTTGATTTGATATTTTTTCAGACGGGCGGGCTTATTAGATTACAAAAAAATTATGTGAACATTGGGTTAAGAAAAACGTAAATATATAAAAATATAGAAAAATTTTCAAAAATAAAGGTCACAGCGTTAATCGTGTCAAGTGATTAATACATCTCAATAACCGACCACCAGCTGAAATAATAGGCTTTAAGCCTTTATTTGGAAACTAGTACAATGGCACTGGGCTACCTAAACAAAAGTGGATTGAGAGAATTCTAGTGTGCAGTAAAGCATTTGGAATTAAAGTTGCTTGACAACTGATCTTCCACGACAACAGCGGTACAGAATTTAAGTGGTTAAAAGTGACCATCGCAAAGCTCTGTATCTACTTGATATTGAGTCACCTGGGTCCGAATCTGATGTTAGTTTCTCTAAGGAATGCGGACACACCTTGCCGGTGGATCTCAGCCAGCACAAAACATAGATCCAACGTTTTCCGGTCACTATCAGTTACATAACACCAAAAAATCTGCACTATTAAGTTAATCTGTATTGCAACTTAATCGACAAATTTTGATCGGTATTAACTAATAAATGTGTCACTAGTTACTTCTTAGTGTTCAGTTAGTATAAGAGTGTATACATTGAAAATACTTTCAAAATAATAGCAACTTGAAATACCATAACTTAGAATACTTATTGTTCTAGGAAACCATATAAAACGTTTAAATCATGAAATACTTTAAAAAGAGATGAATTTACATGTATGGTGTTGCTGGTAATCAATTTCTTGTCCAATATAACTATCGCAAGTACTAGTTGTTAAGTGATTTGAATTCTTATCATTTCTTATTGATGGAGGAGTTGCAGGCCATATCCAACTGTCAGATTCAATTGATTGAGCGCTTTCAGAGATATCAACCGGTAAAAACTGAGGGACGCGAATATTATAATCCACTAGTGTATTGTTATCAGCAATAGTAGTATCGTTGGTCATAGTCATAGTTGTTGTCTGTTGGTGCTGTTGATGAGATGTTTTATCCACAGATATGCATAAGTTTTTATTCATGGGACGCTATAAATTAACGAATAACAGTTTTCATCATTTGAATGCTTGTAAAAGAATTATTCACCATCTTCATTTTTTATAACACAGACTGATCTCAGTTAGGCAAACATTGAAAATCATGAAGCGTTGAACAGCCTTTTTATTTTAGAATGGTTCAATGAATAATAATCGGAAAGTTTAGATTAGTGAAATACAATCCCATCTAAAGTGATGAGACGAACAATGAAATTGAGGTGTGAAGATAATATAGGAACTAAATACCGGATAGTAAAAGAAGTCACACTCTAAGTGTGAAGGTTAATTATACTACCTGGTTGCCCAAACCGAATTAGATGGAGTGGAGTTTTTCAACCTGTGACTGATCAGCTAAAAGTCGAATACCTTAACCAATAAGACACCGCTCCAATAACTCGTAGCAACGGAAAGCGGATTCTTAAAAATAATAATACCAATTTTAATAGTTGAGATCATGAATCAATTGAAACTAGACCACCATGGAAAACCTGGAAGCACTGGATGGCCGTTTCGTCCTATTGTGAGCCTAGCGATTGGCTTCAAGAGGTATTATCTGGAGTTCTAGTGAGAAGCAGTGGCCATTGGAGTTCAATCACGTCTGTTGTGAGATAGTAACTCACTGAAGACGTTGGTGGATGTGTCGCTTAATCTTATGGATCGGGTGAAGTTAGACAGTAACACCGTTGGATACCGGCTCAGTGGTCTAGAGGTTAAGCGCTCGCGCGAGAAACTGATAAGTCCTGGGTTCGAATCTCGCGAGGAGGGATCGTGGATGCGCACTGCTGAGGAGTCCCGCAATGGGGCGAAACGGCCGTCCAGTGCTTCCAGGTTTTCCATGTTGGTCTAGCTTCAATTGGTTCATGATCTCAACTATTAAAGTTACTATAATATCCACAAAACCCCTTCTGATAACAAGTTGGATAATGCACCGGTTCAAGTCTCAGTATGGACATTGACACTAGAGTGCACGTACATACAGCTACCGAAAAATATGTAATCATTCTGAAGACAAGTACAACAAACACTTGGTTAACTCATGTGCAGTATGTGTTTGAAATGAAGAGCATCTTTTATCCTCATCATTGGAATAATCGTTTCGAATTAAATGTTCCAAACACATTTCGGAAAAGCTTGTTTTATCAAATATCAATTTGTCTATTTTTGTAACAAAATAATGGACTATTAAATCTCTGGAAATATTGCGGTAGATGAACTAATAATTCATTGTCTGGAACGAACTTTCTAGTGGCAACAGAATACATCTCAAATGTCAGAATGTTGGCTTTACCGATAATATATTAGATAATTAAAACCCATTTTGAAAGGATCGTAAATAAAGATTCTAGCAGAATAGCATGAATTCATTTTATTTTGTTTGGTTTCTTGTTAGCTGTTTACAACCTGTGATATTTAAAATCATTATTAGAAAAGGGGTTTAAATTACTTACATGAAAGGGGTTAGTTGGAAGTTATGTTGAAGACACATCAGTATAGTATAGGGAGGATGTAAATAAATTTAATAGACTGAATATTGTAAATATATATACCTTGCTTTTCAAAGTTGAAATCATGAGTCAATTGAAGCTAGACCACCATCGAAAACCTGGAAGCACTGGACGGCCGTCTCGTCCTACTATGGGACCCGTCAGCAGTGCGCATTCACGAACCCACTCTCGCGGGATTCGAACCCAGGACCTACCTGTTTCGAGCCGAAGCCCTCAACTTCGTGGATCAGTTGAAGTTAGACATTAACACCGTTGGATGCCAGCTCAGTGGTCTATGAGTTAAGGGCTTCGGCTCGAAACAGGTAGGTCCTGGGTTCGAATCCCGCGAGAGTGGGTTCGTGGATGCGCACTGCTGACGAGTCCCATAATAGGACGAAACGGCCGTCCAGTGCTTCCAGGTTTTCGATGGTGGTCTAGCTTCAATTGACTCATGATTTCAACTTTGAAAAGCAAGGTATATATATTTACAATATTCAGTCTATTAAATTTATTTACATCCTCCCTATACTATACTGATGTGTCTTCAACATAACTTCCAACTAACCCCTTTCATGTAAGCAATTTAAACCCCTTTTCTAATAATGATTTTAAATATCACAGGTTGTAAACAGCTAACAAGAAACCAAACAAAATAAAATGAATTCATGCTATTCTGCTAGAATCTTTATTTACGATCCTTTCAAAATGCTATTTGACTGAGAATTTGAAACTAACTAAATTAACTTTATGATCAATGTTGAACACTCTTGATATCACTCACATTATTTGAACCATTTGTTATATTGGATGATATCATATTCAATGGTGTTTGAAGTTTAACATTTCTTGATTGTGGTCGAACCATAACACGAATAGATTTATGTTTTGCTTCCAAACCTGTTTTAGAAATAATCCCATCTGTCGCTGTCCCAACATCACGTATATTCGATCTTTAATAATAATTAAAACGAGTATTATTAACCGTGGAAAAATAAAAGGAATAATACTTATGAGTAGTTATAGTTGTAGTGGTAAAATGAACAAGTAGGTTGCGATCACAGATAACTTAAGTTCGGAATGAAACTCACCGTAATATGGAAATTGCTTAACAGCAGTATGGTTACTAGAAGATCTAAAGTTTACAGTTTGATATCAGCTAGCGAGGTATTCACTGTAGAGGATTCTGGAAATAAAATGAAGCATCTTTCATATACTTTTGCAGTTAGCGTTAAATTCTGAAAATGATGGACTAACCAACATATGTTGAGAAAGCGCAAACAAACAGCACGTTCAACTACTACATAGTGTGTGCTTATTGTTATCACTACTGTCACTAAGTGATACGATTCTGTAATATGATGGTCGATAATAAGCTCTGGGATCTAGGAATTAACGCCGATAACGTAAGTGGATAAAATATTGATACATGAAGAGTTATTAGAGGCACGAAATCTCAATTAATCGATCCTAGTTCGAGATGAGTCATAGATCTACACAACGAGAATAGGCTCAAATTTACATAACATTCATTTTCTAATGTTATTTGGATGATCAAAGTTTAAGTGAAAATCATCTCTAGAATAAACATAAATATTTAATACATATTATAGCTACTAGCTTCGATTTCCATGGACATGAGCATAGACAAAATGAATCAGGTCAATGAAGACAACAGATTGAAGCTAGTTTAACATTTTTAATAAATTTACCATCTGATCACACCAATGCTTCAACTTAACTACCATAGGTGATCAAGTATTTAATGCTAGATATTTCAATATCAAACAGTAGATCAATGAAGCTATACAGTCAGGAACTAGTCGAATTCGGAGTGAAGTTGAATTAGCTATTGTATACGAGATATACAAAGTGAACGAAACTTTACTTGGTACTGATAATCCTTAGAATGTAAATGAATGAGATATATTGATAAAAACAAAAACAAAACAACTTACTCATTGAACAAATTGATTGATTTTAAACAATTGAATGAAGCATTCAAAACACTTTGATTTGTTTGAATTTGTGAATCATTAGTTGAAGAGTTTTTTAAAATATCACATTGAACATACGTATCTTTAATGTGAATTTTAATTGGAAACGATTTGTTTGATTCAAATGTTGATTGACATATTGATGGTAGATTATAAGATGTTTTATTCTAAGAAAAAATATATGAAGTCACTGATTAAAAAGTTTCTTTTAAATACTTAGTAAAAATAATATTAGCAAAGAATACAAAGGTTTGTGCCAAACAATTTACCAAATATGGATTTATACATTCCACATTGATCTATACTGCTTGAGTCAAGGCCACCTGGAATGAATTAAATAAAGAGAGTCTGGGGACTGCGACTGCCCTAATTGTCAGGTTATTGAGTATTTGTATGACGTGATAAAACCGCTAATCAGAGAGCAGCGAATTATCGATTGGAACAGTGACATACGAAAACCGTACGAACAGTCTAGAGTGCTTATCGATCCTGTTTTCTGCTTAGTCCAGTCAGTTAAGTCCAGAACACCAATAACAGCCTCTGCGGTATGAATCCATGTATTTCAAACATACTGAGTTAATATAGCAAACAGACTGACCACGTCGCACCAATAAAATAGAAAATAACATTTGTACAAGATTTGGACAAATGTGGCTGTGAATGTGGGAGGCAGTAATCGATAGACTAGGGATAACTCAAGAATGGTAAATCGTATAATAATAGTTTGTAGTTCAAAATAAAGCTCATGATAAGGGAACATGAATACGAATATATGCATAATATTGGTCCATAAATGGATCCCAAAGTTACCATTCACTATTGCTATCGGGACATAAAAATTTGGTAGTACATATGTGGCTCGTATTGATATACTCTGCATTATGTAACAGTTTGGAGAAAACCAATAGAAAAAACACGAAGAAAAATTAGAAGGACACTAATAAATAAGAGAAAACTGAATTTGATGCAACATACTGTTGTCCTATAACCAGTGTCTACTTCGTAAGACTATACATTACATAATGCATCATACTCTCTGACTCCCAGTGCTTTTATTATTGAAATGAAACTTAGTATTCTGAGGTTTTCTCGAAATCAAACACTAGTTACTACAAAATTGAATCTGACTATGCCATAATTATTATATTTCAGTCATTCGTTATTAATAATTAAGTAAAAAGTAGATGAATCAATGCAATAACCTGGTTTTCCGATGAAGATCATTGATCAAGTCATTCGAATCTCAGTGATTGTGTTGCAGGTTCGAAATCCTTCTCCCCGTGTACTTCGATTTTGACAGCTAAGTAGAATTACTAAACCTCAAGTACCATCACCCACACATGAAGAAGAAATATTTGATGAATGAGTTACATCAAATTAAAAAGCAAATGTAAAAATCCTTATTAACATTACAATTACGTCACAATAGAAATGTGATTACGTTCAAGTGGTATATCTCACAACTTATTCACCAATCAAAATTTAATAACATGGTACATCTGTACCAAGTTATAAGATGATTATGACTGAAAGTAAATAACTGGGGAAATCTAAGAAGCATATTACGTAGCCTATTTGATGACCTCCTGAAGTATGAATCAGTGTATACTAGTCTTGAACCTCAGATAATTATACCAATATTTGATAGATAAATATTATACAAAAGGAAACCCAAGATACCATAGTATTATTTATTTATTATAAATTATACCTATTTTCATCATAAACATCCATGATTCAAGACGTATTTTCTTTGTCAGTAAACTAACAAAAAACTTACTTCCAAACTAATATTACCAGGGTGAAAGTAACCATTATCTTCATAACTTGTATCATGAATCTTAATACATTCATCATATGCAAACAGTTTACTACGTTCAAAACTATTCAACAATCCATTCATATTAAATTTATAACGTGACTCCTCCATTAATGTCATATAAACATTATAAGGTTGTATAACACTTTCCACTAAACACAATGAATTATTACTATCATTATCATTATTGTTTTCATTTAAGAAGAATAATCTATCCATACTAGATGTAATATAGTCAGATGAGAACATTGATTCTATGAATGAAGATGATGATGGTGTTACAGATAATGGAAATCTCATCGACTTATCATATGCGATTGATGAAATATACTGATAATTTTCTGTTTTCTTCTGTAAATATTCTTTCAATGTTGCAGTATATTTATCATCGATATGAATTTTCATAATTAATGGTAGATTATTTTCATTCAAAGATGATAAGTGAAGTGTTTCGGTTTCCATTGAAGAGTAAATAACATAGGCAAAGAATAATAATAATAGTGATGACGATGATGATATTGACAACTACTACACAATTCGTAAAAAATTAAACCTGTGAAATTAAGTGCTCTTATATAGTCATCTATTGTCGATACAATAAAGGCTTTCTTTCTTATAATTGGTTAATTATTTCTATTTTTTGAAATGAAAATTATTCGCTAGTTTATTACTGATATTTCTACTATATACGGGCAATGCTTTGAAGACACCTATGATCGAATACTAGTAGCCTACAGATATCCTCTACTCTTACCGGCCATGTTTCACAGCTATAAAGTAGGACGGAACGAACTGCTATGCAATAAATCCATATTTTGGTTGGTAAACGGATATCTCGCCTAAATGTAGCTAATTGGAAAAAAAGCCTAAATGAAATGTTGCAAGCGTGAGTCAATTGAAGCTAGACCACCTTAGAAAATCTGAAAGCACTGGATGGCCGTTTCATCCTATTCCGGGACTCCTCAGCATTGCGCATCCACGACCTCGCCTCGCGAAATTCTAACCCAGAACCTACCAGTCTCGAGCCAGAGCACTTAACTGATAGACCACCGAGCCAGCATCCGATAAGTTTATGTCTAACTCCAACCAATCCACGAAGTTGAGCAACCGTTCACCAATAAAGGCTTTCTTTCTTATAATTGGTTAATTATTTCTATTTTTTGAAATGAAAATTATTCGCTAGTTTATTACTGATATTTCTACTATATACGGGCAATGCTTTGAAGACACCTATGATCGAATACTAGTAGCCTACAGATATCCTCTACTCTTACCGGCCATGTTTCACAGCTATAAAGTAGGACGGAACGAACTGCTATGCAATAAATCCATATTTTGGTTGGTAAACGGATATCTCGCCTAAATGTAGCTAATTGGAAAAAAAGCCTAAATGAAATGTTGCAAGCGTGAGTCAATTGAAGCTAGACCACCTTAGAAAATCTGAAAGCACTGGATGGCCGTTTCATCCTATTCCGGGACTCCTCAGCATTGCGCATCCACGACCTCGCCTCGCGAAATTCTAACCCAGAACCTACCAGTCTCGAGCCAGAGCACTTAACTGATAGACCACCGAGCCAGCATCCGATAAGTTTATGTCTAACTCCAACCAATCCACGAAGTTGAGCAACCGTTCACCAATTGTCTTCAGTGAGTTGATATCTCACAACAGACGGATTAAGTAATACGAAATGAAATACATAAATTGTAGATAAGGATAATGGAACAATTAGTTTCCATTTGCAGTAGAAATAAAAAGAAGTAGATGGATTGTTGTTAACATAGAAATCTCCAACAACTGGTCAAAAAGGTTTCCAAGGCAACTTAGATTAACAGTTGATAATTTGATAAATTTATAGTTTGATCACCAACTAAGGATTTAAAAGGAACAAATGAAATGAAAAGATGATAAGTATAGAATATTACTTCTCATTTACCAAGTACAGATTTGTTCACTTATCTTCAAGCCATCTCCTACGTGTGAGGGGTAGTGGACACTACCTGTCTACTCAAACAGAAGTAGATAAAGCAGAAAACGGACGTGTATTTCAGTGGTTGAATACCGTAACCACTGAGATACTGCTCCAATAATAACATATAATACTAATGGACTTTAAAGATAACTAATACATAGTGAGAGACAAAGCCGTGTATACCGTTACAAGTTACAGTGCTTACATTTTATAAAGTTTATATCAAAGGCAGAATAAATTTCAGACTGAAACCAAGGATATTCTTTGACGAGTTATGTAGATTTGTGACTGTTGTAATCATACGACAATTATGTAAGATTTAATTACAGAAAGTCAACAGGTTGAAGTGTCCATCCAAAATGAGATTTATAAGAACACTAGTCTAAATCTGAGCGAATATTTTGACAGAAATTACGTGCTAAATATATAAAGGATACTAAAAATGAAATAATCTGCAAATATTAAATTGGTTACATAACTTATTGTAAATCGTGTATTTCATACCTGATCAGGGAATTGTGAATATTGCGGTAGAGTTATACTTGAGAATGGTGTCGCTAATTGTATATATTCATTAGATCGAGGGTAAGATTCCTTGGAAATTTCCATTCTTGCTTGTTCCATACGACGACGTAAACGCCATTGTGCTAAAATATCATCTTCCGGATTTGATATAGGAGAATAAACTATAAAAAAGTTATTCAAAGAATAAGATTCGTGTAAGGCATAAAAAGTTTAACGACCTGCTTCAGGTTTCTGATTATGGTTGAATTTGGCGGAATTAACAGATAAACTATTGAGAGTTTTACTGGGTTCTAATATTTGATCAATCCACCTATAAAACAAAACCGACAAAACAAACAAGGTGGATGTTAGTTATTTGGTAATACAAACAATTGAAAATCATAGGAGGAATCGATTCGAGGACGTTATGGTGTTTGTACAGAGCCGAACTAGGGGTAATAACTGATAGGATAAAGTTTATTTTTTATTATATGTTCTAAAATAGAATCTTGCTCAGTCGATTCACTTTTAAGTACTCGAAGAAAAAGTTGTTTTAAATTCAATCTTAGCGTTGCTCATCAAATAATTTCATAACATGTGAATCAAACTTTCAAGACAGAAGTTTACACATTCATCTAACTAATTGTTTATTGGAGAGGAAAATTACCAACAGCTGACTGACTTTAAAAGGCTATATCCATTTTCCATCAGAAATTTGATTGACGACAGACTAATATCAGTTGAAAAATCATGAAAGCTCGATCACTGAGTAGTGGTCGATGTTATGTTTGTCTAGTACTTGGTGCTGATCGGGTTCTGATGTGACCACTAGCTCGTAACTCGTCATCGCATGTACTATGTTTCGATGTTAAGTGTTTGGAGGTAATCACGAAATCCTTCAACCTTCAGGAAACTGGTGGATTTGAACTCGAGTAACCCAGTTTCACAGTCAGAGAAGTTAACACTGAACTTTGCTAGGCACAAATGTGTTTCTTACAGATTATCTTCAACCAGAACAATCATACATTGATCCATACTCTTGAACAACTTTCCATATGATGTAAGTATATGGTAAAAATTAAATTCGAATATAGCTGGCGAAATGAAATTTTGTGAATGAGGAAAGACTTCAACCAATTCAGGAGTGAGACAATTATTTACCAATATTGTTAAATAATTATTGTACTGTATCGTGAACTGGTCTCAGTTGGGATTTTGAGATATTGGGTTCGCCTTGTTTCCAAAATGGTAGTAATCTATAGATAGATCATAAATGTAGGAAAGATTCATTCTGAATACATTGTAATTATGCCACCATTTTATATCAGCTTAGTAGTGTACTAACTAATTTAATAAGGATCCCTTTAAAAATTAAGTCATAAGAGCTTACATCTTGATTAGGAATTTGATTGACATAAACCTTAATTACGTATAAATTACAAACCTGTGTAATATCTTACTTAATACAGTACAATACTTAGCAAAAAATATTTTTTCGTAAAATTTGTCTAACATAACAATATCATTCACTTAGTATTGTTTGTTTGAATCTTCCCATTAATGTTTAGGACTGCAACTGGTCAGTCTCTAATTGGCATATGTGCATACTGTGCGCATTGCCTCGATATAGCTTAAATTCACAAACATTGTAAGCAAAGATGAATAATGGCTAATAGTGGACTCAATGGTCGAGTGGATAACGCGATGGCGTTTGAAGCGAAAGGTACTGGGTTCGAGTCGCAGAGTGAACATCAACTCTGAGATGCAGGTACATCCAGCTGACATGTCCCAAATAGGACGAAATGCGCGTTCTGGATTCCACTGCTAGCCACTATCCATCTTTGCTTACAATAACAATATCATATTAAATTTCATGCAAATGTCAAACATCAAGCTTATATAAGTTACTTATGGTGAAAATTAGCTAGCTGAATACGGTAAATTCAACAACGTGATATACAGAAATTTACAGAGACACGGTATAAATGTGTTAGAAAGTTACCTAATACTGATTTAACACAAATTTATTGATATGGGATACTTTTGAGATGATTTTAGGAAAATACTACGATCTTTTAAATTACAGGTTATGTATTTAATATTACATTGAATGATTCGGAGAGGCTTGCATATTCTGGTAATAGTTTTCATTACGCAGAATCATCGAAGACTAAAGAACACTGGGCAACTATTTCGTTCTACATTATGGCCTGATGTAATATAACGCAACTCATTTACGAAGTACACGTTTATATGCTCGCTTTCGAACTATATCGTCTTCATGAGAGAGGAATACTACCGGGCTATTGAAGCCGAAGGTGGAGTAGAGTTCGAACCTGGAATTTAAAGATTAAAACTTTGGTTTTTTAAACACTACACTATTGCCTCGCAATTTCGGACTATTTGAAGATATACAGCGATGAGCACGTACGAGATTTGAATTAGGTAACTCATAGCTCGCAGTGACCGGAATGCATATAGATCATTAAATAGGAATCCGATGGACATTTTTCAACTTCATTGGGTTATCCAACTGTCGACTGTTTTCAGAAGTCTATCAGCTGATATTAATCCACGATAAAACTTATTCATACCTAGCCATACTTTTAATCGAAGTTTATCAACTATGAAACAAAATCTAGTGAGTCGGTCAAATGATTAATTACTATGGTGAATATTATTTCGTGTTTTCATATCCAAAGATAATTCTTCTGTAGGGGGAAGTGACGTTAAAACGTAGAGCAATGCAATAGTATAAGATGTTGTTACGTTGAGTCAATTAACTAAGGAATTACAATCGAACCTAAAAACTGTTGTATAATATTAGTCATGCTCACCGTTGTATACACATACTTTTCTAGCAAGGTATTTTAGGCATTTCATTGCATTATTCAATAAACGTGGAAAACTCAAACAGAAGCACAATTACATTTTATTCACTATGTATGATAGTTACTTACATAATTGCAAAAACGTAAAGTTTGAATTATATGGTAATCAAGTAAATGAATAATTAAAACATGTTCACCTCATGCTGAGTTATAAAAAGTGTCATTTTATCATAAATATAGATGGTCATCAGCATCTTCGTGAATACCCCCCCTAGTTTACTTGACCCATTCTATTAATTACCGAACAATTAAAATTTTAATATCTACATTATTATTGCTACTATTGTCATTGGATTGTTTTATTGATGATCAACCAAAAAAACTGATTATATGAACCAACTGCTAGAAATGATTCTATAACAAGCAAAAAACCACGAACAAATTTTTTCATGATCTCATCAAAAATGACATTTTCACATTTTAAGCAGGCTACTATTCTCATAACGATAAATAAAACTTATAGGTAAGATGGTGGTTGGAGGTGGTCAACAGGAAACCCTGGACCCGGGTTTCGTGCTACTTGGCACTCGTCAGCACGCAGTGTCAAGCCACCTAGACTAGTGGCCACATTGCAACTTGATCGATAGCATTCGATCAGCACAAAGAAGGACTTGACACGCAAAACGTTGATTACCACCCAGTGATCAATCAATTGTGAAAACTTATAGGTCTTATGGGAAATATATTCGGTCATTGAATTGGAATTTATTGAGTAGTTTATCTAGTCTCAACTGTTGTTACACCATCATAACAATAATAGTAACTAGAGGTTATAACCTCTAAGTTTATAAATTCTGTAGATTCAACAGTTGGTTGTTCTCAGTGTATTATTTTAGTAACATCTAAATTTTTTCAGAAAATCCAAGTTCCCATTAAACGATTTATTGACATTACTTATCGGGATCACATTTATCATTTATTTGTTGAATAATACTAAAGCTTAATAGTCAAAACCCAGTTCATCTCTACTCGATTTCGAGTCAAACGTTTAGACTAAAGATTAGTGATCAAACCCACCCTAACGAGACGATATAGGTGGAACGTAAATTGAATCTGCAACTAAATGGATACAAATGAAGTAATTTATTCACTAATTAAAACATTTTTTCTAATTGCCTCTCTTAAGTTTGTTGTGACTTGAACTAGGAAGTTAACAAAGAACTCTAAAAAAAATTCATCTTGATTCCAGTAGTAGGTCATTCAATAGTTAATCGACAAGAGCGAATGTAAAATACAAGCAAATGAAGAAAAATAGGAAAATATGATGAAAATGATTAGGAGGAATGATGAAACTGTTTAGAGAAATTGTGCTCGCTACCCTACCCAAACGTTACGAGCTCGATTTCATGTAGAGTTGTGGGTACAAAATAACAGAACAATAAATCTTTAAAGTGGTTGGAAAAAATGTCATCTAAAAGTACTTTACATAACATTGACATAGGTAACTTTCACAAGTAAAACGTGTATGATACTTAAAATAAATTACGCAACATATAGAATTCGAAAGTACATCATTGAACACTGTATTTATGGATTTAACTATGAAATAAACATGTCCGTGAATAACACTTTCATGACTTCACGAGGTAAACAAATTGAAAGCTAGAAGATAATCAGTATGATACTCCAAATATGTCAATAAAATTCTATGAACCAAGAAATGTAGTGTTATATATATAACAGAAATTGATCATCTTTTCTCAAAAAATTACTCAATCCCTTGAATTTACACCTTAAAATAGTATGTAATACACACAAAAGAATTAATGACTGACTTACTGCGATATTTGATTTTTAGCAAGGTATTCTTTATTATCATCCTTCTCTTCTTCTAACTCTTCACCGTCATCATCATTGTAAATAGATGTTTGGTTAACTATGTCGGACAGCTTTTGAACATCATAGTTATCGTTATCATTGTCATCTTGACTAGTTACACAAATAGAGTCTTCACTATCTCGATGTTTAGAACATTTGATATTTACACAATCATTTTTAGATATCTTGATACCGCACTGATTTTGTGTAATATGATTCAATTTAGAAGTTAAATAGTTATACTGTAGCATATGGGAAGAAATGAACAGAAAGATATTACTGAGAAATATTTTATCTACTTTGTTTCGCATTTCATAACTGTAGGGATATTACAATGATGGTGTTATTGTGTACTTTTTCAAAACTATCCAATATTGATCTTTTTAATGTTACCGAATGATTTAGAGACATGTGGTCTAACGAAACACACAAAAATGGATTCCCTCTTAATCTTATTCTCCTGGGATTCGTAACAATTCACCTGATTTTGTGAAACAAGGTATATTGACTGTTCGATGAACACTTTGTCCAAGTGGGTCAGGGGACACTACCTCACGAAGTTAGGAAAAGACAACGGTAGTTGCATTAAAAAAGCAATTGGACAGCATTTCGTCAACACTAGTTGCCTATTTAAGACAGGTTTGTCGTTTAAACTCCCCTACAAATAGAACTGAAACCTACACAAACATATATTCTTCCGTCTCCAATGTATTGTTGAGACTCTCACCAAACATTTGCAAAATCCCGAGATAAACGCAAGAAGGAAACTTTTCCGACTTCACATCTTACTAAAGACTTATCCTTTAAAACGTTTTATCATTTGAAATAATGTTTCTTCTCGTCATTAAAATATTTTTGTTTTAAAACATCAAGAATCACCTTTTAATAACATGAATGAACTTCAGCCCAAACCTATTTAATCGCTGGACCTCTCAGATAAATTCAACTTTCAAATACTATCCCACCACACTAACCAATTCAGTTTCGCTATTACTGGTCTGTGTTAAATTTCTTAACGCACTTGCACTCGACACCTAAAAAAATTACAACCCTGCACGTTTTTTCAACTAGCAATTCGAACTACTTGTTATTGCACTTCAGTAGCATTATATATATGATGTCAAAATGAGTGCGTTGAAAGTTAGATTTTTTGAGACTATCGGGAAAACCCAATTTACTTCAATCTTCTGATTATTAAAGTCAATCACCAAGGCTTTTAAGGGACTTTGGGTTTTTTTGTGAACCCTCAGAATCTCAAAACTGTATCACTCGGTGACTCAATCAAAAATGTTATCATATAGATTCAAAATATTAACAAATTGGTGATTCTAATAAGTGTAGCAAAACGCAATTACAGTGACGGACAGTTGAATATAAGAGAATAAGTAATTAATGAGTTCAAAGGGCAGACGTTTAACCACTATAAACCAAGACATTGGTCAACATGAACATTTTATTATGTAAAAATCTGTTACCAGTAATCATAGGTTCCCTGCTCAAATCACTGAATACATTTCCCAACTATGAAACATTTCAATACGTCCCTTTATTTCAAACTTATTCTGATTAATTAGTTTGAAACTGTGACCGCACAATGTATTCATGTGTCTTCATAAAAAGTTAACAAACTTTCCTGAAGCATCAAATAAGAAATTAGTACTAGGAGAACTGGTCGGAAAAACTTCCAAATGAAGATGAATATTGAGAAAATATTTGGATATGAACATGTAAAAGGGATATGAGGGAAGAAAGAAACATATTCACTTATACTTATTTTTTTCGGACATATCGTAATGAATATATTAAAATGGTGAAAGAACTATAAATCAGAAAGGGTTTTGTGGAGATTTCAGTATTTTCATAGTTGAAATCATGAGTCAATTGAAGCGAGTGCAGGATCGTGGATGCGCACTGCTGAAGAGTCCCAAAATAGGACGAAACATCTGTCCAGTGCTTCCAGGTTTTCCATGGTGGTTTAGCTTCAATTGACTCATGATTTCAACTATGAAAAAGAACTATAAGTAAAATATCCATTACAAATATGTGAGCAAAGAATGTGTACAATTTTCGTAAATGATTGTTAGCTAAACGTTATTATCAACTAACAAGGAAATTCTATACAAATTTTCCCATCGAAAAATCCAAATAAATCAAGAACAACGAACGTAGCACAATAGTATAAATTCGTTTATTTAATGAACCCTTCAGGTGCTTAAAATTTGGAAATAATAGTAATAGTCATTTAAAATTTATGTACATACTACATATCTCATTATGAAGAAAGGGCGATAAATATTGAAGATGCAGAGTCATAATTGCGCACTATTGAGGAGTTATATATTGGATAAAACGGGTATACAGGTTTCCAATACCCGTCTAAGATTAGTTGTGATTTAAAATCTGAAAATTCTATAATTCTCACTAATTCCTCTGCATTATTAATTCAGTGACTACCAAAGGTAACAATGATCTAGTTGTTGAATATTTATATGTGAAGTATTCTGAAAATTATAGCGTAAAAATAGTAAGAACGTATGGAGACAGGTTGCAAATTTTATAAAGACAGCTGTAAAAACATAGATTAACAGAGTAAAACAAACAGAGCTAAAAAAACGAATGACTCAAGAATGAAATGAATAATTGAGGGAATGAGATAAGATATTACTCCCATATTAGGACGAAACAGGCTTCCAGGTTTTCAGTGGTCTAACTTAGATCGTTTCATGATTTCAATGAAGCCACCATAAAAGTCCGAAATTCACAACTATATCCTTTTGGAAGCATAAGTTCGGTTCCAAACTTCTGATAGATATAACATTGGTGAGACGGAGTCAATTTCAAATTGTTTCCTCATTGATAATCTTGAGGGATTTTAGGACATCGTCGTTGTGACTGTTATCAAGCAGATGACAGGCAAATACATTGTTAAAAATATGTTTAATTTTTAGTCTGGATTAACGTGGAATGTACTCTGATATATGAACGAGGACCTTACTTTCTGTTCTTCAAACGGAAATACTTTGAAACAGTCAGTCAGTCAGCCACAACGTAGGACCAGGCACATTTATGCATCGGTCCAAGTTGCCATACCTCGTTAGCACAACAAGATGAACACCGGGTTCATAGAAGTAATTAATTTAGTGGTGGTAGTATATAAAAGATAGGTTGTATATAAAGACATAGTACAGGAAGAAAGACAAATAAGAAGCAATTTTAATTTCAAGGTTTGAGGGAAGATAAAGAGTGTATACACCGACGCCATTGTGATCGATTCTGAGCCATGTCACCTAGAGTCTCCAACCATTGGATACGATAGTCACGCAGACCCCAACCAGGTAGTCTGCATCTGCCAACATGGCTCAGACTAGAAGTTAGTGACTTCAAGCACCTATGCAACGTTTTGGTTTGGCCGCCCCTAACTCTCTTCCAACCATTCCCTATACTAGTCAGCATAGCGCATCGTGGTAATCGGTGTTCAGGCATACGTAACACGTGGCCTAACCATCTCAGTCGATGAAGATTCATCACCTCATCAACTGATTTACCATCGTTCCCTAATACCCTGCGTCTAACCTCACTATTACTTACCCGGTTACCCCAGCAGATGCGAACAATATTTCTAAGGCATCTGTGGTCAAATACTATTAACCTACGAGTATCTTCTACTCTTAATGGCCATGTTTCACACCCGTAAAGTAGAACAGAGCGAACTGCTGTGCAGTATACTCGTCCCTTAATTGATAGACGGATATCTCGTCTTCACCATAGGTGACGTAAGTTGGCAAAAGCCAAACGAGCGTTTTGAATCCGTGCCGAGATTTCGTCAGACACCAACCCATTAGGGCTGATCAGACTTCCAAGATAAGTGAAGTTGTCCACGCATTCGACTACTTCACTCCCTATCCTTAGTTCACATGTCGACGCAGGCCAGTCCTGGAGTAACAATTTACATTTAGATGCGGAGAAACGCATCCTAAACATCCTGGTGTTATGTTTTTGACCTATACTGTAGCCAATTGTTATGACTTGATCAAGGTCGTCGCTGATTCGTTATGACCTTACGAATTTAACAAGGACTTAATCCGCGTAAATTATCCACCAATAGAATACGCCTTCTACGACCTTCACACTGTGACAATGACGTTCGATTAATATGAGTAATCTAGCGTCCTTATTGGTCCTTATCCGCCTAATCCGTCCACTTGAGTCCAAAACACCAATAGCAGTTGCTGTAATGCGAATCGTTTATTTCAAGAATACTTTATCTATATACCAGACAGGCAGACCACACCACACCATAAAATAGAAAATAATATTTGTACAAAACCAGGCCAAATGAGGCTGTAAGCGTGGGAGACAATAATCAATAAAACTGAGTATAACATAGGGACAGTAAATCACATAGTAATAATCAAGGTTTATGTACTTCTCAGGTACACCTTTCAATGACAGACACTGCCACAGAACCTCTCGGTCTACAGAGTCAAATGCTGCTTTCAAGTCAAGAAAAACTATCATTGTTGGACGCCGATAAACATGTCTGCGTTCTAAAACTTGACGAATAGTGAATATGTGGTCGATGCAGCCACGATCAGGTCTTAAGCCAGCCTGATTTTCTCGTGTTTGCAGTTCACGAGTCTTAGTTAGGCGCCCGATAATTATTGAGGCTAGTATTTTAGATGCTGTGTTAGTCAGACTAATCCCCCTATAGTTATCGCAGGATGATTTGGACCCCTTCTTATATATTGAGACAATCAGTGATTGTGACCAGTCGGATGGGATTACGTCCGTCTCCCAGATTTTAGCCAGAATGTTAGTCAACCTAATCGCTAAAATTGGGCCACCATATTTAAAGACCTCTTAAGCCAATCCATCAGGACCAGCTGCTCTTCCTCGTTTTAGATTTGTTATAGCCTTTTGAACTTCAGGTAGGGTCGGGGGGCCTACTTCAATGTTCCATTCAGGTTTTCTGGGAATAGTGGGTAGTTGTGCAGTAGCTGAAGGCCAGCTAAACTGCTCCTTAAAGTGTTCCGCCCATCGTTCTAAACGTTTGGGTTGAGAGCAGATAGGGGTTCCGTCTTTTTCCGAGATTGTCTCACTTACACTTGACTTCTTAATTCCGGTTTCTTTTATTAGTCTGAATAGTTGCCTGGTGTTGCCTACAGCCGCTGCCTTTTCCATCTCTTTTGCTTTCGTTGCCCACCACTGCTCACGATCGTTCCTTAGGCTTTTAGTTAACCTAGATCTAACTTGTTTACGCTCTTCGTCATGTTCAGAGCCTGATGGGATGAGTTTACGCGAATCCATCAGTGAAATGGACTTGGAGGAAATCCATTCGCTCTTTGGAACCCTATGGTTTAAATTACTAATAGATGTGACTGCTGTTTCCACAGCTGTTCGTGTGTCTTTCCAAGCAGCATCTGGGTCAGTCTCGTTTACAGAACTGCCTAGATGTGAACTCAGTTGTTTCTGGAATTCGCATTTGGCTTTCTCGTCCTCCAGTTCAATCCTAATGGGTCTTCTTAGTGTAGTTTTCCTGCGCCAAGTGAGGCGCAGAGAAATGCGTGCTCGTATTAAGGCATGATCAGAGTCTAAAAAAGTATTGCAATACGAGCGACAATCTTATATCGAGCCTCTCCAACGATGGCTGATGGCAATATGGTCTATTTGAGTCCATCGTTGGTTTGGTGCAGGTGGTCACCATGTTAGACGATGTCTCTCCTTATGTTTAAAGTTAGTGTTTGCTAAAAATAAACGATTGTCTGAGCATAATTACAACAGACAATCACCATTATCGGTTCGTTGAGCCGGAATACTAAAATACTCACCTAAATGTCTTTTTGTTTGATTTAAGCTACCTACCTGGGCATTAAAGTCACTAGCTACGAGTACTATGTCTGAGCGCTTAGCTTTCTGAAGAAGCTCAGAGAGCTTTCTGTAAAAGTCATCTTTAATTTCAGTCAGTGGGAGCGTAGACAGAAACGACGAAAAGGCAACGATGTGTGTCCCTGTCCTTCCAAGTTCTTACGGAGCCATTCAGCCGGACAGCACACAGGCGACTGTTAACGGGGATCCATTCTAGTAGTGCTTGTTCTTCCCTCGTACTAAGTGCTATGCCTACACCTGCAAGTCCGCGAAAACTAGTCATGGGGTCGTCAGATACACAGAGGGTGTATTTCGTTGGCTGTTCATTTTGGCGAGGTGAGGTCAAGTGAATGACCACACTGGGATCCTGTATGCGTGTTTCGGAGACACAACATACATCGATGGTACGAGATTCTAGGGTCTTAGCCAAGGAGGCCTTTTGACCGATTTGACTTAGGGTACGTACGTTGAAGGCTTCAATGTGTAGTTTGGAGCGAGGTTTTAGTAGACCTGGGACAGTGTTTCGCACACTAGAATCGTTGGCCATGGTGACAGTTGAGGAGGAAACCGAAAGAGGAAGTTTAGTGTTGAAAGTTGAGGTAGAAGTAATAGTGGAAAGTGAAGGAGATTGATTATGAATACAGTGGTCTTGGGTGCTGTTAGAGGTATGAGGGCATTTATCACTTCCCGGCTGCCCACACCGTGGAAGAGTATTTGTTGAGGAACCTGAAAAAGAAGTTGGATTAGTGTTGGTCTTAACGACATGGGAGCGCGACCGCAGAGTTCAAGGGATAACTGCTTGAGGCCGGTCACGCACGGCCTTTTTGTGGGGGATTTTTGACGTGTTACTTCCGTTCTTTAAAGGACCTTACTGCCGGAGACGGAAATCCGTGGGATAAGGCGAGGTGTGCATTTTTAAGATCGACCTTTTCTAACCCCACCCCTCCTTGTGGGAAGGCAGCATCGCTGTCATGCTGGTTGTCTGAAGGAAACACCTTACTGCTGTCACACCTCTGTACAGTCAGTAGTACGACTTCGCCTTCGGACCTTGGGTTTGCTGCTTTTAGTCTTACCGCTCTTCAACTGACCTGTCTGGCATGGTAGGACCTTGAAAAACGATTGTTCCAGCCAGTATAGCTCGATTGGTTCATCACGATAGGCAATCCCGACCACCACGTCAAGGTAGCAGCAACGATCGGGACTTTGAAACGTACATGTAAAATGATAAACACAACTGCAGGTAATTTATAATGGGAGTTTGCCCACCTTTGTTTGTTCCATTGGGCAGTCAGTTTGATACAGGAACACTAGTTTAGAGGCTGCACACAGTCTTTTTAATGCAGCGATTAGTCTAATATTAGTATTGTCAGCTTTTTTCATCACCTTTATAGATAAACTGTGGAGAGACTGGCCTTCTCTCAGCTGTAAAACATTCCATTCCCCCAGTTCGTGTTTACTTATTATTACTGATGAACATACGGTGGTCTTGAGTGCTGTTAGAGGTATGAGGGCAGTTATCACTTCCCGGTTGCCCACACCGTGGAAGGGTTCTCCTGGGGGCCATGTTGGCAGATGCAGACTACCTGGTTGGGGTCCGCGTGACTATCGTAACCAATGGTTGGAGACTCTAGGTGACATGGCTCAGAATCGATCACAATGGCGTAGGTGTATACACTCTTTATCTTCCTTTAAACCTTGAGACTAAAATTGCTTCATATCTCTCCTCCTTCCTGTACTATATCCTTATATACAACCTATAATTTATATACTATTACCACCACTAAATTAATTACTTCTATGAACCCGGTGTTCATCTTGTTGTGCTAACGAGGTATGGCAACTTGGACCGATGCATAAATGTGCCTGGTCCTACGTTGTAGCTGACTGACTGACTGATGAACATTTGTGGGTAACTATTATGCCGCAGACACTTCTTAATTATTATTAGTTGAGATCATGAATCGATTGATGTTAGATCATCATTGAAAACCCGGAAGCACTGAACGGCCGTTTCGTCCTAGTATGGGACTCCTCAGCAGTGCGTATCCGCGATCCCACCCGCGGGGTTCGAACCCAAGACCTTCGATCTCGCGCTCAGACACTTAGTCTTAATTAGTTATTTTCTCCCCAATATTCTCCATGCAGTACGATTCTAGCACACGAAAAAATAATGTTCTAAACAAAGCTCGTATATAGCACGTTAGACAGAAACTATTGAAATTCAAACAAAGGCGACTCCAAGTGTCTTTTTGATGAATAGATCTTTCAGTTTAGACATGTTTATCACGTTGCATACTAATATAAAGAAAATTAAACTTGCTGTTATGTTCGTAGTTCACTATAAACCGTATATTTAAATGAACTTTACTGAGATTCGATATATGAGAGATATATTTGTAACTACTACAAAAACAAAATGTGTTGTCAGAATACGTAAAGTACGGTTTTGCTTCATTAATTATTGGCCTCATTTTGGTTTGCTCTAAGCTAACAATAAAAATATCTACTGATATTGGATACAAGGTCATGAAATAATCAATTTGAAGTTAAGTTTTGGTCTTGTATTTTCAATGCTATTACATCCAATGTTATTTTATTACACTGAAGTCGCAGCAGTTGAACATCGGAGAAATTTAATAGAAACAAACGACAAACGACCAGAGTTTATAGAACAAATAGATAACAATGTATAATGTAACGTTCATATACACGTGATTTGTGTTAAGATTACCTAACATATATAAAAGCTAAAAAACACTCGAAATATGTAGACCCTAATACCTGGTGACGACGATCACTGCAGTTTGAGGCTGATGACGGTGAGTGAGATAGACGAGGTCTGGGGGGTTTTCCTAGAACTCTGAAATGAAATTAGAAATTATGATTCGATGAGTAAAGTGAAAAAGGTTCATTGATTGTTAGTCCTAGAATTTATAATGATTCTAAAGGTAATGATTATGTTCCATAAATCTTTGTACTCGCCGTTTAGAAGAGTAGTTTGTTCGAGAGTATTTGAGGTCCAGATATGCTTTCTTATCTGTTAATATACGAATAAATCTGAAGAAAAACGCTTTCTCAAGTTACTACTGAAAAACATGGATATTGGTGAGCTTACATTGTGCACTAAGTCAACACCTTGTTGTATTGCCAAAAAGTATTTTTCAATTAGCAATATGTATTTGGTGATTATAAATTAGTTACATGGTTAAAAAAAGTAGATGGATGACATGTGACGCAACAATAATTAAAACTTAACTAACTTAATAAAACACCAATAATGTATTATTCTTTCCAAGGATGTGTAGAAGTTGGAAAGTGACGACCGCCTTCATACTTTTAACAGCATTTGAGCTAATCTTGTTTACTCACTCTCAAATATTTCTCCTACTTCCACTACCAATCCATCTCTTCTATCTTCGACTTTGACATGGACAGCCGATCAGAAGTAACCTAATGGAAAGATCAGTCAATAGCAACCGGAAGTCATATAAAAGTCAAGTGCATTTTATTCGGTAGCCCAATATACTTTCTCGCCCAAGTAGTTAGTTGGAGGGTTAGTGCGCAGCACACCGTACATTGCATGCCACAACAAACTTTCCCCCAACATGCTACTAGCCCTACCAATTCGAGCTCATGCAATGCAAACTCAAGCTTCTTGGAACCGCTTTTTAAGATATGTTGGCGTTGTTTTTGTGGTGAGCCGGCTGGTTTGACTCCTTTTTGGATGAAAGTATGAATATACGATGAGTATAAATCTTCCATTTAACTTCGTACATCACCTAGGCTAACCCGTTTGTGTAACGGCGGTAATAAGAAGCCCAATACAGGGTGGCGTTGAAGGAATTTATTTCAAGCATCCGTTTATCCAGACAGAGATTCAGAATAAGAAGCAGGAAAGAGAAGCGGATAAGAGAAGGAAAGTGAGCTAACTCGATTTAATCAAGCGTGACTCATTATTTATATTCAGACCGAAAATAAGTTACAGACACATAATGAATAGGATAAGCAATTAACACACATACGATTACATAAGACAGTCAGGGTTAATAAGCGAATAACTGACAAGGTCAAAATGTAGCTTCAGACGAATGAATAAATTGGTCTGCCCAGAAGCTACAATAACCTATTTGGGCACGACATAGTACCAGCCACTATATTATCAATACCAAACCCCTAAACCCCTTCTAACAACCAGAACAACAATGAATATAGGTACATGGAATGACCGAACAATGTGGGACACTGAGAGGGCCAATGAAATAGCTGTAAGAATGAGAAAATATAACATGACGGTTCTCGGAATAAGTGAAAATCACTAGAAGAAAGCTGGAGAGAAAAAATTAGATTCGAGAGAGGGGCTTTTGTACTGAGATCATGAAAAAAAATCCGTCACACACACACGTGAAGTTGCACTGATCCTGTCCAAAGAAGTACGGAAAGCACTTATAGGAAATGAATTTCGTGAACCAAGAATCACCAAAGCATACTTCGAAACAAAGAGGGAGGAATCACAATGAATGTTAACCAGTCCTATGCATCTACCAATAACAACAATGAAGACGATTAAGCGGCCTGATTGAATATCTGGGCTACCTGCTCCTGCCATCTAGATATTTCAACAAGTTATATGTCATTTATTTGTTTCAACAGATCATGTCAATTAGTTGCATAACGTATTCAGGTGCGTTTGTGAAAAGTTCACGACTTTTCACTGTACAAGTTAGAAAAGATCACAATCAGAGACATTTTGGTTTCTGGCATATACATTGAAAAGAATGTACATTATTCAAGTGTCGATTACTGAACTGCTAACATCTAATTGGCGACCACCCAATATTTATTGTCAGGATCGATCAAGAAATAAGGAAGGGAAACTTGTTGAATTACTTTGCGCTAAGAATTCTATATTGTACAAAAAATATGTTAAATAAAGCCAATAATAATAATAATAATAATAATAATAATAATAATAATAATAATAATAATAAGGCCTGACCATCCTGATGGGGGACCAAAACACAGAGGTTGTAATGGAAAATACCAAGTATGAAGATATTATGGGACAACATGGACTAGGAGAAAAGAATGAGAATGACGAGAGATTCCCAAATCTATGTACTATCAACAAAATGGTCAATGAAAAACGTGCGAACAAAGAGAGGAGCTGGCTACCGAGATGAAACGTAAGCCAGAAAAACACTAAACAAATGGACAAACAGCATTACAAATGTTTGATACAGTCTTGCTTCAACATACTGACAAATTCAAGGAATCTAATATGGCTCTCAACAACTTAAAAGCGCTGCAAGATCTGCTCAAAGAAAAGGAAACTACTATGGTGAACAACCGGAAAGGGATCAAAGAAGCACTAAGTCTAACGTATCATCAGGTCATGAGTCACAATAAAGCATCATCATAAGGAATGGATTTCCATCAAAACTCTGTTCAATATTCAAGAAAGGGGGAACAATAGGACAGAAATTAACAAGAGTCCAACAACAGCATGGAAAGTCAAGTCACAAGCTGATAACACAGAAGCAAACAAGCGAGTGGAGAAGAACATTAAAGCTGAAAAGCAGAAACACTCAAAAGATCTAGCAATGACAACGAAACATGCTGCAAAGTAATGAAGTATGAAACAACTATGTGATAAAGCGAATAAACTGGTAGTCAAATATAATAAAGCAGAGTGACCAGTCAAACACAAACAAGAAAAGTCAATCACTCAGATTCAAAAGAGGAACAGGTGAGTAGAACACTTTGAGGAACTTTTGAGTAGGTCAACTCCATTGAATCGATAGGACATCGAAGCAGCACACACGGACCTTCCTATAGATGTCAGTCTACCAACAATCGAAGAAATCAGCTTGACCATCGGAAAAATCAAGAGTGAGAAAGCAGCAGGATCAGACAACATACCAGGTGAAGCATGGAACACAATGGACAGCTTGGAAGCAACTAGACGATCTGAACTTCGCAAATGACCAAGCTCTGCTATCCCATATACACTAGTAAATGCAGGTGAAGACAGCCAATTTAGCAGCAGCCTCTGCAGAAGTAGGCCTCAACATACAGAATCAAAAGAGCATAATTCTTAGATATAACACATAGGACACCGACTACAAAAACAATCAAAAAAGTGCAAGTATTTATAAACAATTGTCTACGCAAGATACTCAATTTCTGTTCGCCAGATAGCATCGGCAACAACCCACTGTGGGAGAGAACAAGCCAGCTTTTGGCTCAGGAGGAAACTAGGAAAAGATGCTGAAGGTGGATAGGAACTGCATCGTGGAAACCACTAAAATGCATCACTAGACGATGACTAAGTAGGAGTGCTGAAAGGAAAAGGAAAGGAAGGGGACCAGGGAATATATTGCGTTAGTAATTGGTAGCAGGTACCAAAAGAATGAGTAGTAGATGGAAAGAAGTGCCCAGGACACATTTCAGTGGAGGATTCTTGTGAGAGGCATATACATGAGGTAACAAGAGTAAGTAAGTAATGTTACATCAACCAAAACGCTGACTAACTAAAATCACAAGTTCTCGTGTTTTCTGTGTTTTTAAAATACACGCAAACGGTTCTGGTGTTTTTGACATCACCTAGCCAGTATGGGTAGTAAACGAGATTTTCCCTTCGTCTATTCGGATACACAAGAGCTGCTAATAGTGTTCTTATCGATATACAAAACTAATTTTGAGGGCAGAAAAAGAACCCCATGAGGAAATCCCTGTTGAAATTCGCTTGTGTACCAACAAACGAAATAGTATTAAATATATAATAAATATTAAAAAGATAGAAAACAAATGCCGTTGTCTCTCAGTCATTCCTGAATACACTCCTAATTACTGCATCACGAATGAGCTAGACCTAAAGGTGGCATAAGTATGTTAAACTGACTACCATTTAGCGACTTATCAACCAATCAAAAAAGTACTTAGTTCTAAAACGATTTGCTAGTAGGAAAAAGTAAAATTACAATAAATAATCGCTTCTTATATGATAATTGAGCGTTACTACAGTAAAAATGTTAGTGTCAAGAACTAGTATTTTGTGTACGATCAGAAATTATGCCTATGAAATTGGGTTAGCAGAGTTAAGCTCAGGAGTTGGTGAAAGATACCTTAAGTATAACATATTGACAAACCAGTCACACTAAAGTTAGCGTCACTCGAACTTCTAAAACTCAGAACATAATTGTAATTAATTTGTATTGTATCAGGGTCTGAGTGAAAATTACCCATCATAAGAGTCTTGCCCGCTATTTAAAAGGACAGTGGTATTGTTTCTCGTTGAGCTTAATTCACTGTTTTGATCGTAAATTACGTATCAAAACTACCGTTTACACTTTAATTGAATTTATTTCAGTTAACGTGACATTGTATTTGTGTGTTTTGATCCTGCTTTAGTGTATTTACTGCATCAAAGCATTCTTGGTCGACTGCGGCTGACCATTTGATCAAGGTTGTGATTTGTCTTACATATCTATCTTGCCTATCATTTTGCTTCATTCTAAGATGGTCGGCTCTGCACACAAGTGTGGACAGCCATATTGCTTATTCCCCGTGGAAGAAGAGATGCAATGTGACGAATGTAAGAAGTGGTTTCACAAAATGTGCACCCGCTTAAGCCCTACTGCCTATAAAAGGTGTTCGAAACCCGATTCTCATTGGCTCTGTATGTTTTGTTGTTCAAGCAAGACATAATTCATTCAAGAAGCCAATAGCCTTCTAGCGTTAGCTAAAAGGGTCGACGTAGGCCGTGCCGGCAACATGGATACTGATAACGAAGATTGTATCAGTGTCGTAAATGCTGCCATGGCAGGTACCAGACATTCGATTTTGCAACACGAAACAGAAATTTATACTCCGATACAACTAATGAAAGACACGCCATTAAGTATTGAGGGACAAGTTGCTTTAGCAGCGACTGATGACCCGGCTAGAACCACTATCGTCCAGATTAGTTCCAATCTGGATGCTGAGACTAGTGGGAAATGGATTACGCGGAAACGTAAAAGAGAAGGAAAAATACCCAAAGAAATCGCGCGTATAGTCGACAAGTCCTTGTTGGACTCACGTCCTGCACATCAGGCAACTCCGCTCAAGTCCAAATGTAAGAAAATATTTAGTACTGTTGTGGATGGGAACAGTTTGACTTCACCAAATGTTGTTGTGAGTCACTCGCTCGACTCACACGACACTGTTATAAAGAAAGCTAACAGTAAGAAGCCAGTAGCTTACCGGCAGGATCTGACATCACGGTCGAAAGCCGTGAACACGACTTTTAAGGAAGTTAAACAGGTCCCTAGTGTAATCATCTTGAACTTGAAAGAATAGAAAGACACCGATCCTGCTAAGAGACATGCCCACGACCTGCAGTTAGTGGGATCTCTCATCAGAAATGTACTGCCCGATGAGGTCCCAGGGGTACATATCTCGAAAGTCCTCAGACTCGGTAAATATGTTGGAGGCGAAACCCAACAGAGAAGGATCCTGAAATTAGTACTCGGTAATTTTGAGGAAACGGACGTAGTACTGAATAACGCACGCAAATTTCGGGACTCAAATATTCGTATTCGACCAGACTGGCCACTTGAGGATCGGATCAAGTGGAAGAATGCCCTAACGAAGTTAAAAACTCGAAAGCTAAACGGTGAAGCGAACCTTACGATTGAGGGTTTTCGAGTAGTCAGGTCTTGGAAGCCAATGCTTCCGAGACCTGTGTGGGTAGAACGTATGTCTCCAAAAACACCTTAAATGTGTGTTACACGAATGCCCGTAGTCTTCGGAATAAGATGTCTGAGCCAAGTTTGATGGTAGACGAATTAAATCCGGATATAATTGTTATCGCCGAAACTTGGCTTACTGTAGATATAGACTGTTCTCCAGTCAAATCAGGCTACATCTGTATCAGAAGTGATAGAGTTAGAAGTCGCAAGGGAGGAGGCATAATATTATATGTTAGGGACCGCTTCCGCATAAACTCGATTATTTCGGAGCCGCATGTAAGTGGTACGTGTGAGGTAGTATGTTGTACAATTAGGTCTAGAAACGGGTTAGTGACTATAGGAGGAATATATCGTAGTCCGTGTTGTCTCGCTGACGACTTTATCCTAAGACACGTCTGTTCTTGGAGTAAGGCAGAATCTTGTTTCATCGTTGGAGACTTCAATGCACCCCATATAAACTGGATAGAGCTCACAGCTCCAGGTGGGGGTTTCGATAGCGTCCTTCTGTCATCAACTATTCAATGTGAACTTGTACAATGTATTGTTAAGCCGATGCATATAGACTTGGAACATAATCCGTCATTGATAGATCCTGTCCTCACACACCACTGTGAAGATATCGTCGACACCAAACACCTTCCCCCACTGGTGAATAGTGACCATGTCGTACTTTCCTATAAGTTCCGGATACTTGGTATAGAATTTGCATCTGCTCCACCCCGTCCTAATATCTGGAGAGCTAACATTCCAGCAATCAGGGACTATGCTATCTCGGTTGACTGGTCGGTCGATGCTGACGGATCGATCGATGATGCACGGAATAGGTTTAAGTCTACGTTCGAATCCGTAACTCAACCGTTTATCCCATAAAATATCACATTGCCCTCCATTATTAAGAAAACCTGGAAGCTGTTGAAGCGTAGGAAACACTTCTGGGACTTATTTTTGTCAACAGGTTAGGCATCACTTAAGTGCGAATATAAAAAAACCCGGAATATATGTAAAAAAAGACCATAGCTAAATCCCGCACGGCTTACGAACGACAGTTGGCATACGATAGCCGTACCTGTCCGAAGTGACTGTTTTCGTACGTTAAAAGGCGGACGAAACGTAGTGATGGTATCCCCCCGTTACTATTAAGCGAAAATTCAGATTTATTGGCTGAATCTGATCTAGCGAAAGCGGAGACATTTGCTAACTATTTCAGTGAAGTCTACTCTACGTGTAGTGCTACAAATACTTGTCCCGTTGACAATGAGATACCAGCCATAGAACCTGTACACGTGACAGAGGATATTGTTCTTCCTTTGATAACTGACCTCAAACCTTGTAAGATATCGGGCCCCGATGGGTTACACCCACGTTTGCTGTCATCGCTTGTGGACCAGCATAGTAGTTAAGTTACTTAAAAAATTAATTCGAGCTAAGCTACTGAGTCACATAGACTCGTACAATCTGTTAACTCCAGAGCAACATGGGTTTTGTAACAAGCATTCATGCTTGACTAACTTACTCATTGCGAGAGAGGATTGGACAGCTGCCCTAGACAACGGCCTATCTGTCGACGTGACATTCATAGATTTTAGCAAAGCGTTTGACAAGGTTTCACACTTAGGTCTTATGCAGAAGCTCTTGAGCTTTGGAATAACAGGTGCTATACAGGAATGGATAAGAAACTTATGTGACCGCAGACAGAGAGTGAGAGTCAATGGAACGCTATCCGAATGGGAACCGGTCAAAAGTGGTATACCCCAAGGCACCATCTTAGGCCCTTTACTTTTCCTTCTGTATGTTAATGAATCACCTCTATTGCTTAAGTCGTCGACATTATTGTTTGCGTATGATGTCAAAACCTGGATAACAATAAGAAGTGAGGCTGATCGTTGTCATCTCCAAGCTAACTTAGAAGAATTAGTTTTATAGGCTCATGATTGGGGCCTGGAAGTTAATTCCAGGAAGAGCGTGTTCATGCACATCGAGCACGATATTAGTTACCATTATACCATTAATGGTACATCTCTTCCACGCGTTCAAGAGCACAAAGACTTAGAAGTAACTATAAGTCATGACTTGAAAACCACTACGCACTGCAATGTGGTTGCTTCCAAAGGTTATCGTGCGCTATGGTCGCTTCGCAGGGCATTTAAATGCTTCGACGAGGATATGTTTCGAATTTTATATCCCACCTATGTAAGGCCATACTTAGAATACTGTATCCAAGCAGCTAGCCCATGTCTGATAAAGGATACTAAATCGCTTGAGCGTGTGGGGACAAAATTAGTAAAGGGTCTTTCTAAACTCCCTTACGATGAGCGTTTAAAACGTCTGAACCTTTTCCACTTATCTTATCGTAGGACACGAGGTGACCTTATACTGGCATTTCGTATCTTTAATTATGATCTAGGTGTTAATATATCTTATCTTTTTGCTCCCTCCAGCACTAATAATCTCCGAGGTCATAGCAAGAAGGTTCTGAAACCGCGATCTAATAAACTAAAGGTGGGGTCCCGTTTTTCGCATCGAGTGGTCAATGACTGGAACGCTTTACCAGAACAAGTGGTATCAGCACCATCAGTGAACATTTTCAAAAAGAAGCTAGACCTTCACTGGAAGGAAATCTGTCAGGATTAACACAGGTTCACCAACCTACTATCCTTATTACTGAAGACTGATAGTTCTTAAGATGCCCAAAATTGATGAACACAGTTATTATGGTGCCACAATGAATGTGATATTGTAGATACGCTAAACCACCAAAAACACTTTCTCCTGATGCGGACAAGATCATAATAGTTGAAACTGGATGGGCATAAGTAATGTGTTTTAGGATCTAGTGAAAATGTTTTTGTGTGAGTAATAAGTAGTTTTCAAATGAACCCTAGTTCGTAACATTTTTAGTATCAGTTATAACTGATAAACATTTCTATCATGACTATACTTTCCAACCCAAATCCAAATAATTCGACCTTTATCCGCCACTTTATTAAATAATTTACTATTTAATCGCTTTTTATAATGTAAAACTGTTTGCACAAACAGTTTTACATGACAATGGAAGTCTGTTGCAATATTGCTAGTTCTCACTATCATTCGCTTTATAAGTCGCTAATAGTTATTGAAGTCGGTATACTTCAAACGATAATATTCAGTTTTATTATAGCCATGACATTTTCTTTTCTTCAAATGTCACTGGATCAAGTACTTCGCGGTTTCATCATAGTTAAATGGAAAAAAGTTTGAGATAAAAATCATAAAGTGAGAATAATCAGCTATAATGACAGTAGTGGGCATAACAACTCAATTAGAAAACAACTTCCGTACCGGTCACCAGCCATGTATTCCAAACCCAGCGGTCGACCTTGTCAAATGACAGTAGCTAGTGTAACACTTATTATGTGTCGCTAAACAAAACAGAGTAATTAGAATCTGGCGTTGCGTTACTCACCGACCCTTTCATAATCACTGTTATTATTTTTTATTCTCAGTTCACCTACTGACAGTTATTCATCATACTCCAAATAAAGGTATTTCATATTCAGATTTGTATAGTAAGGACAGAAGGCCTATGGCATATGTTGTTCCTTTTCTAGTATGCTTCTATGAGTATCCAGTTTTCTTTTGAATGAGTCAATTGAAGGTGGGAACACCACTGCTCCGGGTAACAGGTTCCAAGTATTGATGACTTGGTATGAAAACCAGTATGTAATGTCCTCTGAGATGTCCCACTCTGGTGGGAAGAAAAAGAGAGAATATATTAAGTCCAAAATCATTTCTTAGTATTTCATACATCAAAATCAGATCACCTCTTTATCTGCTCTAGGACAGAGTAAAGAGGTCTAGCTTATGAAGCCGCTCTTTGTATGCTTAACCCGTAGTGCAGGAATTGCATGGGTAGCTGCCCTCATTACATTTTCTAGGATATCCGAGACATCTTATAGACATAGGCTTGCAGCGTGAACTCATTTCTGAAGCTTAGTTCTCACTAAGGTTATGCTATCGTGAACATGGTAGTATCTAACTTGGTGAATGTCCGTCTTAGGGTCCATAGGGTTCTGAATCCCTTAGATGCAAACCTCCAGGCAAAGTGCAGTGGTCTTAAGATCATGACTCAATGTCACTGTATGATCCTTGTGAGAATGAACTACAGGTACAGGCACTTCCACTGTGCTGTACCTATTTACTTTTGTATCCCTAAAGTTCATTTAGACACAATTCGCCGCGTTGATAGGCATCAGTCACTCTTTAGACTAGATAATCACAATATTTAAGTATGTCTGAAGAGCACATACATCAACGTCTACTCGCCATATTTTTATATCGTCAGCGTTTAATAGCATTGGGGACTTTACCATGCTTGAGAGATCATTTACATGTAGTATGAAAGTAAAAAATCCAGAATAGAACCTTCAGGTACTCTACTAAGTACTGGTCTCCAGGTGGAGCGCTTGGAATTTATTGTTACTTTTTGTCTACGACCTACTAGGAAATCCCTGAGGCATTTTAAGAGACGTCCGGCAATAACATGATTTTCTAGCTTCAATAACGGTTTATTTGTTGGCACCTTGTCAAATGGTTTACTGGAGTCTATGTAGACAACATCCGCTGCTTTTTCGTTGTCTACAACCTTTGTCCTGTGCTTCTTTGCTATAAGGAGGTTCGTTGTACAAGATAAACCCTTTCTAAAACTATGTAGTTCGCTGTTTGGTAGGCTATTGGTTTCCATAAATGTAATTATGGTCTTTTTGACTATTCTTTCCAGTATTTTGACCACGACACTGGTGAGGCTGACAAGTCTGTAATTCGATGGAAGTTGTCTTGGTACTGCTTAATGTATGGCGGTGACGATTGCATCCTTCCAGTCCGTCGGTAACACACATGGTCAAGTGACATATTGAATATCACAGCCAGTGGGACTGCGATATATTGTACAATATGTCTCCGGATTCTGGGGTGTAATTCATCCGTGCCTGATGACTTTTCCATGTCTAAGGTGCTAAGAGCCTTAAGCGCATCGTCTTGGTCAAAGTCCACAGTCAGCAGAAGGTTTTTGTATGTGGGTTTAGTTTTTCGTCTAGTTGGGTTTCCTGAGTAAAAACTGCCCCAAAATAGTTTGTCATAGCCTCTGTTTTTTCTTGATCGTCCTCTATTAATTCGGGTGCACTCCCTTCCTCAATTAGGTAGGGAACCTAATGCTGCATCCCTGTCTTGAAATTTATGTACGAGGATATCCTCTTAGATTGGTTGAGTGCACATTGTGCCAAAATTATTTCGTATTTCCTCTGAGATCCACAGATTCTAATAATGCCTCCTAGTCGAATTTCCAGTTTACAGCCGATGCTGCAGAGTTAATTATCTCCACGTCTGCCTTCTATATGTTAGGACGGGCCAGTGCAACTGTATGACAGACCATCTTAGCCACAGACCCCTACAGGATGGTCGCATGATCGCTTCACCTTAGGGGTGGCAAGAAGTTCATTTCACCGATGTCATCATAGTGTGTGAAGATTAAGTCCAAAAGGGACGTGGAGCTTCGTAGGTCACATCTTGTTCGATTTCTAATATGTTGAAATGAAGGTTCCTCACAGTTGTCGATCAGGTGACGTTATCTATGACCCTACTTCTAAGTTCACCCAGTTTATATTCCATGCATTAATGTCACCTACTCCGAGGCTTTTACCACTATTACAGAAGGACTTTATTTTGCTTAGGAGGAAGTCATCTACTACCCATTTTGGATTGCGATATACTACAACTAATTCAATATCTTGCTGTCTACTTTTCAGCCTGCAACCCACAAATTCACATGTCCCTGAATCATGTTTTCCCCCCAATAATAGTTATACAAACTTCCTCATGATACAGAAGAATGTTATGATGAGGATCATCCTAAGACTTTCTTTCAGCCACATAAGAAACTACATAAAATGAACAAAAAGTTTAATGAATTCTGATGATGGGAGTATAATCAGTGTCACTTATCAGAGTACAATATATCATCTATAGTGGATTCCCTGAGTACCGCTTGTCTATCAAAGACTTCACGGAAAAAATCAATTACTTAAAGAAACATGCAGTACTAAACACAGTAATAAGTGAAATACTCCTGTGTTGTATCCAACCTGGAGAAGAGCATATAGAAACACCCCAGCCATAGTAAAACCAACAAAGTAATAAAAGCTGCTTTACCCGAAATGCTTTTTGTCGTACGTTTTCACCACTTTCAAAAGATCGAGATCTCTTTTCAAAAGTATCATCTTGTTATTTGAAGCTCTCATTTATTTTATTTGTATGAAGATCTTTTCAGCTGTCATGAGTGATACTTATTTGTGAGTAATTCTGTAATTCATCTAGAATTGATACATTTAAACCAAACTGATGTCATCTCTGATAATGATATTACTGTAAATTATACACTTAAGAAGTTATAAAGCCTGATCCCTGTCTATTGAAGAAGAGACTCAGAGGTCCTTACATAGTTTGGATCCATAGTTGGAAGACTTTGGCTTGGCAACGCTGTAGTTCTCTTTAACCATGAAGTGGGTTCAAGCAGTAAAATCAAACTCATCTTTGTATATCACTAGCGTGGGTGGTCTATGTAGATCGTAGGGTTTTAATGCTTGGTCCTAATGGCCCGACCAATAACGACAGTGATGCAGCTAACCTTTTGGCTGAACAATACTCCGGGACATTCCAGCTGACCCACATTAACCATACTGACGAAAGCTTCACCTGCACCTGTACAGGACTTTCCGAAGTGGACTTGAGTGCTGACCTGGTGCTCCGTAAACTGCAGTACCTAAGAAAAGACACTTCTCCTGGTCCGGACATGGTTCATTCCTCTGTATTGAGGGAAGCAGCTTCAATCCTGGCGACACCACTTAGCGTGATGCTTGCACACTCGCTAAGCAGAGGCAAATTACCGGAAATATGGAAGCTGGCCCACATCACACCAATTTTCAAAGGAGGTCGACGAAGTGAACCCGCAAGCTACCGACCAGTGGCCCTTCTCTCCATACCTTCAAAAATTATGGAATCCCTAGTATTCGATGGCATACTAGAACACTTATCATCCTCAAAGTTCTTCTCGCCTCAACAGCATGGTTTCAGAAAAGGCCATTCTTGTATGACCAACCTGCTGACTGCGGTGGATAGATGGATAACCATCCTTGATCGCAAGGGGAAGGTTGACGTCATCTAGCTGGACTTCTCAAAAGCTTTTGATAGGGTCAACCATGAACGTCTTATCAATAAGCTTGGACGATTGGGTATAAAACCCCCTTTAATTGATTGGCTCTCTTCATATTTAGAAAATCGACACTTTAAGGTCAGGGTTAACTTCACTCTCTATCAGGCTATGGAATGTTCTGGTGGGGTCCCCCAGGGCTCAATACTAGGACCTCTTCTCTTCTTGATTTATATTAACGATCTTCCTCAACAAGTTTCATCTGATTTATTGCTTTTTGCTGATGATGTGAAACTTTGGAGGGAGATACGTACGCACAATGATATACTAGTTCTGCAGGAGGATCTGACTCGACTTCAAAGTTGGGCAGACGACAACGGACTTACCTTCAACACTTCAAAGTGCAAGGTAGTTCATCTGAGACATGTTGCAGACTATAGTTATAACTTAGGTAACTCACCTCTAGAAGTTTCCCAAGTTGAAAAAGATTTAGGAGTGTTGGTACCCTACGACCTGAAATCGTATGCGAACTGTGACAAAAACGCCTCTCAAGCAAACCTTGCACTGGTAACATTCAAGCGCATTTTTGGCCAGTTTGACGGTAGAACCTTCCATATAATCTTCAACAGTTTTATTCGTCCCCACTTAGAGTACGGAAACATAGTATTTCCTCCCTCCCTCCAAAAGGATAAGGTCACTCTGGAACGTATACAACGTCGAGCCACGAAATCAGTTCGGGGTCTCAAATTCAAACCTTATGAAGAGCGCCTCAAATCACTTAACCCTCGCCCGTTAGAGTATAGGCGTCTTAGAGGTGGTCTTCTTATGACTTATAGTATCCTTAATACTTCTGGTCATTCCCTTAAACATCTTCTTAAGCTTAGTCATAACACTAACCTCAGAGGTAACACCCAGAAATTGGAGACCCTACATAGCAGAACATACTGCAGACACAACTTCTACTCCGTTAGAGTTGTCAGGTGCTGGAATTCGCTGCCGACTGAGCTATTCCAAGCGACTTCCCAGGAGTCCTTTAAGAGGAAACTTGACTTATTCTTAAGGATAAGGATAACATATTATTATGATTTACCAAATTCTTTTTTTCCTTCTATTATCGTTCATAAACCTAGGTTTCTGTCTGGAGGTATTGAT